TATCCAGGAAATGGTGGTGTTGCATCGCGGTCAGCTGTGAATACTGGAATCCGGTATCAGTGCACCTTGCCAGGGTAGACTCATGTCATGCTCTAAAATGGCCTGTCTAACTGTTCCATTACACAATAACTGGGCAGATAGACTCTCATGGATTCAGTTGTAGCCACCTTATATCGGTCACATCCAGGGGAAATTTTATCAGGGTACCGTAAATCACCCTGATACCCTGATAATCAGGGTGGTTTTTGGGGGTCACACTGATGGCCCCGGGTAATTTTTTTAGGAGCTAGTTTTACCATGATGAACCAGGGTTTACATTTATGTCACACTGATGCATAAGGGTTCCCGGATCCCATAACGAGTTTTACCCTGAAACGAGTACCCTACCCCCCCCCCCCTCGCCCCCCAGTACCCCCACCCCCCCTTTCCCGTAACCCTGGAATCCCGATTGACAAGTGTCGAAGCCTGATTTTCGGCCTTGACAGCGCATGTGCTGGCACACATTGGGCCACCATTGGCCAGGCTTACAGTTTCTTTGTATTGAGTGCGAGTATAAAAACTAGTGAACAGGGTTTGTTTTTTATGAACACTGATGCGCCAGGGTATATTTTTCCAAAACGGGGAAAACCCTGATGGGAAAGTTTTTTCACAAGGAGTCACACTGATAATCAGGTTTTTTAGCCTGTGCCACACTGATCGTAAGGGTAGGCCAAATCCAAAAATTTGCCCTGGTCACATCATGTGGTTGCAAACTTGTACACACTTATTGTGAATACAACATTCTAGAAGACACGTGAATACATGCAAGCTGCAGGGGGGAGTGCTGCTGAATAAAAAACACTGGCTATTTACCTAAGCTAGGTACATGGTGGATTCCTTCTGGTGCACACACGTACAGCTCCTAGATGCACCAACAATTATCAAGCATTCAGCTGGCCTTGCTCACAGCTCATCCCTACCACCAGCACCAGCGTCACCATCAGCATCACCATCAGCATCACCCTCTGCATCCTCTTCCTTCTCACCCACAGCACCACCCTCCGCCTCTCCTTCCCCACCCTCCTGCCCAAATTTCCCGGGCAGCTTCACCTTGACCGGGTAATCCAGCACGTGCAAATGAGGCATGATCACAGAGCCCATCCACAGCTGCCCGTTCCGCTCCTCCACCTCACTGATCGCCCGCACCACGAGCCCCAGGCTGTCTTCCAGAACCTCCGTGATCTCCCCGTTTTCGTCCACCTCTATCAAGTACCCGTGCGGCGCCCCCACTATCATGGCATAGAGAATCTTCACTTCGAGCGGTAACCGCATCAGGATGCGACGTAACCACGGGCGCGTGGCCAGGGTGTCTGTAAGAAGGGATCGAGAGTGATGGTGGAGAGGGAGGGGAAGGGGAGGGAGGGAGGGCAGGAGGTCAGCGGTTTAGGGGCGCTGCCGGTGGTAACTGCATCAGGTTGTGGCGCAACCAAGAACATGAGGCCTAATTGTTTTGGGTAGCGTTGAGTGGAAAGGGTGACAGGTGGTGGGAAGAGGAAAAAACAGAGGGTAAGGGAAGGGAAGAAAGAACAGTGCACGGGGAGAGGAAATGGTGATCAATCACCCATGAAACCAGGGAGGGAGTGCGCATACAGTGCACATAAGCAGATCCAAGACCCCCGAAATCGCAGCCCTCAAGTTTGAGCCCAACCCTGATCCAGAATTCAAACTTTGACACAAACCAACGACATGAGGGAGGGCGTGGAGAGTAGTCACCAATAACAATGCCTCGCTTGGCATGGAGCGCAACCCAGAAGCGGCCGCGCGGATTGAGGCGAACATTGTCGGGCAGCCCGGGCAGGTCCAGGAAAAGCTGAGTGGTGCCCGCCTTGGGTCCCTTGATCCAATAGCGCATGCACCTGCAGCCGTGGGTGGGAGATGGGCGGTGAATTGACTGCCGTGTTGGATACTGCGAGATGAATGTTCAGCTGGATGATGAGGTGGATGATAGGTGGATGTGATACCACAGTTGTGGTGCAACGTGCGTGATACAGATGAGGGAGTGCAGGGCACAGTGCTGTTGCTGCTCCTGCTCTCGCTGTTACAGACGCCACTGCTTGTGCTGCTGCTTGTGTTACTACTGCCGCCACCCACCTGGCTTTGGTGGTTTCACAAACGACAAGGAAGGACTGGTCCTTGGAGAGAGCAACACCGTTTATGACAGCAAGGTATATTGGATCCAACGTTGTTGCCATGCTGCCACCCACCTGGCTTTGGTCGTTTCACAGACGACAAGGAAGGACTTGTCCTTGGAGAGAGCAACACCGTTGGCGAAGGCGAGGTTGCGCAGCAGCACCTGCACCTCGCCCGTCGCCAGATCCACCTTCATCAGCCGCCCATCGGACCACCCCTCCATTATCGCCACAAAGAAATTCCTGCAGGAGCATGAAGGTGGTAGGTAGGGGGAGTGGCCGAGAGCGATTGACGGGAGGCAGTGAATGGCAGAGGGACAGATAGAAACAAAGAGCCAAGAGTGCTCTTGTACCGTCACCTGCGCTGCAAGTGCTTGCTGCTGTGCATCCCCCTCTCCCCACATCCCCTTCTACCCTCACTTGTGTCACCTGCAAGCACCTCTCTCCAATTCCACCTCTCACCTCTCCTCCCCTCCTTCTCCCTCTCCCCCCCTTTTCTTGCATCACAGGCGCTGGAAGAAAGTGCTGCCTTCCTGTCATAAGCTGTGCGCCCCCCCCCCCCCTCCCCTTCTCACCAGAGCTGGAGGCACACTACTGTTTAATCTGTAGCCGTGCACCCTCATCCCACCCCCCTCTTCTCTCCCAACCCCCCTCGTGTCTCACCGGCGGTGGAAGCGTTTGCTGGTGTCGGTGAAATAGAGGGTGCCGTTCTCGTCGCTGGCGGCAATATCAAGGTCGTTGGCGAACAGCAGCGGGCGGCCGTCCACGCGCGTCACGACAGGCTGCGCCAGCCCGCCCTGCCGCCCAACCTTGAACACGCCAAAGTACGCATCCGCGAAGAACAGCTCCCCCGTCACCGGGTGGAACCGCAGCCCCAGCGGCCGCCCGCATATGTGCTCCGTGGTGAGATTGGGGACCAGGGTCATGTTGACGCCATATACGATAGGTGATTTACCCTCCTCCAGCTCCACGGGCTTCAAATCGCATAGTTCCGGGGTTCTGACGGGGGGACGAAACGAGCAGGAAGGGAGCGATGCAGGTGTGTAAGGCACGTAGTTGGGAGCAGCGGATATGAATGGAGCAATGGCAGGGGAACTCGAAAAGGTAGATCGCGAGGATCAGCGCGCGGAATGCAAACACGTGAGTAGTAGTCGTAACGTCATTCACGTTTAGAGCGGAACTGAGGACGAATTGAGCCATAAGGTAAAAGGGTGGTACCGCTGGGGGGAGGCCCAGGCGAAAGTCTCCCAGGCAGTGTCGTCGGCGTTGCGGCGCACCACCCGGCCGTCGCTGAGCCCCGCGTACGGGCCGCGCCCCTCCAGATCCCATGCCAGACTCTCTGGCCCGAAACCCTCTCCTTCGTACCTGACGAGCCAAAACAGCATGATGCAAATTCACCGAATTTCCTACAGAACAAGTCATTTGAAACAAGGAACGGAGCTAGATTGACGTGAATGTGGTGTCCAAACCAGCGATGTGCGTCTGGATCCGGAAATTTTTTATCAGCACTGTGCGAAGGAAAAGGCGCAGCAGAAGTTTTGCGAGGCGATCGAACCTGCGCTGCGCGTAGGTGAGCTTCTCGGTGAGATCGATAATGGGCGGCCACATGCGCGGCGGCGCGTCATGCTGCACCGGCTCGAAGGGCAGATGCGCGATCGGGCTGCGCTTCAACGGATCGGTCAGCAGGAACGTGACGAAGCATGCGAACACTCCCGCGGCGAACGCCCGCCGAACGGTGTAATTGGGCATCGTGGAGACTGGGATGCGAAGCCAGTCTCTCACGTCATTAGTCGTACACGTATATAGATTTGAGAAGAGATAAATGCGGGAATGAGCGGAAGTGCTTTGTTGTTCAACTGGAAGCAGTAGAAATTGCTTGTGGACTGGAACTTGGACGCTCCAGATCTTCGGGTCCTGGCGAAGATTCCCAAGGTGTGGCCCGTATTTCCGAGCAGGTGACATCCGCTGCGGACGGTTCATTTTTCCCGAGGGACTGTGACGGTGAATCCTAGGCGTCCAGTTAGATTAGATTAGTTACAGCCATAACAAATTCGTCAATCATGCGAGAATCCTTTCGCTCTCGAGTCAAACTAGTTCAGTCCTCCGCTACGCACCTCTCGCTATTATCACTGCGCGGCATTCCTCCTCCCTGCAACCGGCCCTCCTCACGGATCTCTGTTGTGGAGCCTCCTCTCCCGCCTGGTGAACCTCACATCAACCCATCCACCTCCCCTGTCTCTGGAACCGAATCCAGGGTGCTGAAAGCGTCTCTAATGAAACCAAACCCAATCGCTCCGTGAAACACATCAACCAGTGTGAAAGCCATCACATCGTATCCCACCGCATTAAAGTGAATGTCGACGACACCCGTGGATCCCCTGTGTAGCAGGAGAGCCTCTCAGGTTTGCCGAATGATGCTGCATTGCCATCAAAGTCTTTCCCTCACCAATCCAACCATGACATTCTAAATTCCGTAATTCCGTTATCTCCTGAAACACCTGCATAGACACACGTATGCTGGTCAGTAAAGGCGGGAGATCCGTCAGTGTAGCTCCGATTTCAACCCTAATTATTCTTCTGACATCATTGTCGAAAGCATTTTTTTCGGACACAGCAGGCGATCGTGTTCGCTATTCGACGTGCTTATCTGTGCCTATCGAATTAATAGACAATTGATTTAGTTTTTTTACAAGGAGCACGCATGGTGGTGAGGTAGTCTCAGGTGGAGGCAATAAGTTCCACGATCTCGTCAGCCTTCGCTCTTGAACGATTGATCGCAGCTGTCCATTCGGCGCCATGTCCGGTGACGTGGCGTCGAGGGACCGCTCGGCAATGCGGCGCGATGTCGCGGAGTTTCTCGTGAAAGAGCGTTACTTTCTCGCAGCGCTAGAGCTGCTACACGAGCTGCAAGAGGACCATGGCGGTCAGGACGGTCACGACGACCACGACGCGTCGGAAGTGGCTCGTTTTCTCGAGCGCGTTTTCGCGGACGAGCAGCGGTTTCCGCGCGACAAGATCGCAGCTCTCGCAGCGGCTGCGAAACCACCAGGTTGGACCAGATTCCGAGTTTGCTTCGTTCCCAAAATGGTCGAACATTGTGCGCTTCAAAAGAGGAGCCGAGCCTTGTGTCTTAGATCGGAAGGAAACAGCTTGTGGGTAGCTTGGCTTTTCAATCAGGGTGCTTTGGTTGGAAGCAGTTGTTTTTACATCGCTCACCGTCGTTTTCTCCAAGCCTGCTCCGCCGCCTCTCGGCTTCCAGCTTCCCCCCTTCCCAGCAGCCCCCTGACAGCAGCTCGCTCACATTGCTCATACCCTGACTGTGCGTCGCCATGCCTGTCCCTGCCTGCCTGTGCCCTTCCCTTTCGCAGCCAGTGCCGCAGCTCCCGCTGTAAATGGCGGAACTGGGGGGATTGCGGAAGCAGGGGTGGGCGGCGGAGGTGAGCAGGCGGCGGAGGACGACGGTGAGCCGTTGGATGCGATGAGCGAGGAGGAGAGGCGCGATCTGAACTTCGCGGTGCGGGAATATCTGGTGCAGGCGCGCTACAAGCTCACCGCCATGACCCTGCAGGACGAGGCAATCTCTCTCTCTCTCTCTGCCCTCCCACTCGCTGTCTCTCCACTCTCTCTCCCATTCCCCAGCGCCTCGCATGCGCTGCCTGCGCATCCTATCTCCCACATTTTGTCCCTGTATCGCCATTTCACACCCTCCCTCCCGTGCCTTCCACTCCCGTTCACTGCCCTGCCCTGCCCCGCCATGCGCGGTGGTGCGCGCAGGTGGGGGATCAGGACTGGGACGACTGGGAGGACGGCCCCGCCAAGGCGGAGAGCGCGCTCAGGCGCTACCTGCGCCACTACCTGCGCCGCAGGGAGGCAAGCAAGAGCGCGGCGGCGGCTGGGCGCGCCGCTGCTGACCTGGCGGAGGTGCGCCAGGAGATGGAGCAGCGATTGGCTGGCGCTGCACGAGAAAAGGCTGACGTGGAGAGATCTCTGGCCACCTCCTCTGCTGCGGTTGAAACTCTTAAAGCCAAGGTGGGATGTCTGGTCTTGAAGGTGGTTTGATCAATATTCTCCCGTCCACACTCGTGTGTCTACTTCCACAGTGTCTCACGGACACCCCTTCACTCACCGTCTCTGTTCTTCTCCCACAAATCTCTTTCACCGCCCGTCTTGCAGTTGCAAGGCATGGAGGCGGAGAGGCAAGCACAGGACAACGACTTGCAGAAGCTTAGAGCAGAGCTTGAGGCAGCTTCCGAGAAGGCTCGTGGTCGTGGCGTGTCCGAGGCGTCTCTTCTTGCACGGGCGGAGGGAGCAGAGCGCCAGCTGGACGCCGCCCAGGCTGACGTGTCCTCGCTTCGTGCGGACGTGGCGTCCCTGCGGGCTGAGGTGGCTTCGGCACGCGATGAGCTGGCAGCAGCTCAGCGTGAGTCGGCATCCCTAAAAGACAAGATCAAGTCGATGGAAGCAGCAGCTGAAGCAGCGCGATTGGAGCAGGACGAGGAGTGGGAGAAGGCAGGACAGGTCGCAGCAGACGCAGAGAGAACAGTAGCGAGGCTCCAACGAGAGATAGATGCAGCGAGGAAAGCAGCAGCTGACGCTGGGGCGAGGGGAGAGGAGCTGAAAGCGCAGGTGCAGCAGGCTCGGGCCGAAGCTGAGGCTCGGTTGGCTGAAGCACGGGCAGCAGCGGCGGAGGCGAGGGCGGAAGCAGAGGCGAAGGGGAAGGCGGAGGAGGTGGCGCGGGGGGAGATTGCCCGCGTGCAGGAGGTGGCTAGGGGCGAGATCGCCCGCATGCAAGGGGAGATTAAGGCGCTCAGGGACGCGCAGAGGGAGCAGGCAGGGGAGAGCGGGGCAGCACCTGCTGCTGCCGCTGTTGCTGCAGCTGCTGTGTCTGGTGGTGCTGGGGGAGCGGGCGAGGCGGAGGGGAGGATTGCAGAGCTGCAGCGGAAGCTTGAAGAGGCGAGGAGGGAGGCGGAGGCCTCTGCAGCGCAGGTGGAGGTGGTGCGGGGCGAGATGTGGGACATGCGGGAGGCTGGGAAGAAGGACCAGGCGGAGAGGGAGAGGGTGGAGGCGGAGAGGAGAGGGGAGGTGGAGCGGTTGCGGGAAGAAGCGGAGAAGCGGGGAGAGGAGGCGAGGGAGGCGAAGGCAGAGGTAGAGAGAGCACAAAAGGAGCTGGAGATTGTGCGTGATGAGCTGGCGAGAGTCAAGAGTGAGTCTAAGGTTGGGGGAGCAGGAGGGGGAGGAGCGGGAGGAGGGGGAGGAGGCGAGGATTCAATGGAGGTGTTGTTGGAGGCGGAGAGGAAGATCGTGGAGCTGCAGCGAGAGGTGGACGCCGCCAGGCGCGAAGCAGCAGAGGCCAGGGCGCAGGCCGACGCCTCTGCCAAGGCTGCTGCTGCTGCTGCCGCCGCTGCTGCTTCTGCTGCAGCTGCCTCTGCTGCCAGTGGTGGTTCTGGCGGTGCTGCTGCTGCTGTGGGTGTTGATAAAGCGGTGGAAGGGGGTGTGGGGGCAGGAGGCGCGGAGGAGAAGAGAGGGGAGGCGGAGACGATGGAGGTGCGGAGGGCGGGGGCGGGCAGGGAGGGGGAGGGGGCGGTGGAGGACGAGGCGGTGGTGTGCCTGCTGGCGGACTGCCTTCCCCGCATCATCCCCAACGTGCTCATCAACCACCGCGAGGTACCACCATGCTCTCTTGTCCGCTGCCCCTGCCCCCTTGCTGCTCGCCTCTCCCCTCTCGTACTGCAGTGCTGCTACCACGGGGTACCACAGTGCTCTGTTGTGTTGTCCCGCGCCTTCCACTGCTGTGCCCCCTGCTCCCCTGCTGCTCGTCTCGCCCGTCTCCTCCCGTGCACTGCCAGGAACTCTCATCTCCTGCCAGTAACTTCCATCGCAGCAGTCGTAAGATCTCCTATGGTCGTATAGCAGCAGATTTATCCTGACCTACCGCCCTCCCTCCACACTCCCGCCCCTGTTCCCCACCAATGTCCCCTCACATCACACCCATGACCATTGCCAGGAGCTGCTGCCGCTGATCATGTGTGCTATAGAGAAGCACCCATTGGAAGCAGCGAGGAAGGCGCAGGTGGCGTGGCTGTTCAATCTGATTAAAAAGCCTGACGACGAGCAGCGCTCCGCCGTGGTGGCCGCGTGCGTGCAGCTCAAAGAGCGCGTGGGGGAGAGGCGCACCGAGACTGAGATCCTCAGCCAGTGCTGGGATGAGGTGAGGGAGGAGGTGGGAAGGGAGAGGGCGCATGAAAGGGAGTGAGTAACATGTCTGCCTCCCTCTTGCTCTCAACTATTCCTTGCTCTCTCTCTCCCTCTCTTCCTCTCTTACCTCACATTCGCCTTTCCTCTCCCTGTGCACCATTCTCCCCCTGCAGATGGGGCACAAGAACGAGGAGAAGCGGCTGCTGGTGGTGCAGCTGTGCAGGGAGATGGCGCCTCTCATGCCCCGCCGCGTGCAGGACGGAGTGCTGCTGCCCATGCTGCTGCAACTCGCCACTGACAGCGCCCCTGCTGTTAGAGAGGCTGTTGCTGTCAACCTCGCCCCGCTGCTGCCGCTGTTTGATGACACTGCTGTGCTGCCCAAGGTGAGAGGAGGCACAGTGCGGTGCAGTGAGGTGCAGTGCGGTAAGGCATGGTGTGTCGAGGCAGCGTTGAACATTTTTGGGCAGGCACCAGCTGTTGAAGCAGGGGAGTTTATGTATCGTGTCCGCACACCTATCAAGTCCCTCTACTTGCAACGTCTCTCCACATAGCACACGCTCTCATATCCCACGTGCTCGTATCAGGTGCAGGAGGCACTCTTCCTGCTGGCGTGCGATGTGGACGGGGGTGTGGTGGAGGAGACGATCAGGGCGCTGCTTGTTGCATCCCTTGTGCTTGTACCCCCAGTGCTCCCAACACGTGTGCTCATCGCACGTACTCGTATTGCTGTGCTCCTGTCAGGTGGAGGAGGCGCTCTTCCTGCTGGCGTGCGATGTGGACGGGGGCGTGGTGGAGGAGACACTCAAGACGCTGCTTAAGTCATTCGTTGTGCTTCTACCACCTGTGCTTGTATCCCACGTGCTCCTATCAGGTGGAGGAGGCGTTGTTCCTGCTGGCATGCGATGTGGACGGGGGCGTGGTGGAGGAGACGCTCAAGACGCTGCTGCCGGCCTTTGTGGCGTGGGCCAAGTCCCGCCGCCACCCCTTTGGCCAGGTGCTGCGGGCCGTCATGCAGCGCCTCATGGGGCAGATCCAGGTGCGTGGGTGCAAGGCCGGAAGGGGGAGGGGAGAAGGGAAGACGGGGAGGAGGGTGGTGCGGGTGAGCGGAAAGGGTGGGAGGGAGGATAGGGTGGGAGGGGTGAGTGGAAATGGATGGAGGGGTGGGAGGGGAATGATGCATCCCAAAACGGTAAAACCCATGATGCTCATGGTGTACATCAAGGTGAGTGGAAGGGGGTCAGGAGAGGAGAGTGTTTTGGGATGACTCATAAGAGGAAAGCATTATAGGGTTCCCTCATTCCGCCCTGTCCTTCCCCCACCTCACCCTCCCACCCCCAAACCTCCAGAAATGCCCTGCTGTGTCCGCAGTGGAAGGTTCGGCGGAGGCTCGGCTGCGCATGGTGGGGGAGCGGGAGCGGTGGAACATCGACGTGCTGCTTCGGCTGCTCACCGAGCTTCTCCCAGAGGTTCGGCACGTGGCTGTGAAGACCTGCCCCGAAGCTATCCTCGTCCTCGACAAGCCTGCTCCTGCTGCCACAGCTGATACGGCTGCTGGGGGTGGTGCTGCTGGTGGTGGGGGTGATGGGGGTGCAGGGTCAGAGGGAGGGGCAGGTGGAGAGGGGTCGGATGCGGCGTTGGGGCAGAGGAGTGGGAGTGGGCGGCTTCCGTCGGCAGCTTCCTTGGGTGGGATAGAGTACGAGGAGACCTTCTTCACTGACGCTCTGCTGAAGCGATACGGCAGGTGGGTCATGCTGTAATGGGTGGGTTTATTCCTGCTCATACTGCTGCTTCCTGCTTCCCGCCGCTGCGTCATGGTTCCCAGTACTCCTGTTTGACTCTGCTTCCCCTTTTGGCAGTGCTTGTGTAAGGGTCGGGTGGAATGGCCGGCATTTTGTGTGGATATATATAGACTCCCTGCCTACCGCTGTGCAGCTTTCCTCTTGCAGTGCTCTCACTTACCCACCTCCCACTGTTTCTCCCTGCTTCCGAACATCCTCTCCTCGCCTCCTTTTCCCCCCTCTGGCAGTGCGGGGTTGGACTGGCCGGCCTTCGACTGGGTGCCAATGGACTGCCTGCCCACGCTTGTGCAGCTGGCGCTCATGCTGCCACCCAAGGAGGAGCGCCTGCGCGTCCGCATCTGCACGGTGCGTGTTCCTCTCACTAGCGGTGGCTTTACAGGAGATGCACGTTCGTGTTCCTTGCTCTCTCTTCTCCTCTGGCTGTATGCTGCTGCCCGTCTTCCTCCTTCTCCTCTCCTTTTTCACATCTCCACTTCAAAGCTCTTTGGAACCCTCTTTCTCTGTCTCCCTGCCCATGCCATTCCGTCCAAATGCCTGAACAGCTGCTGCTGACAGTGAGCAAGCTGTTCGGGCGTTTCTACCTCATGGCAGTGCTGCTGCCAGTCTTCCTTACCGCTGCTGGCCACTCCATCGACACCTCCCACCTCCCTCCCAAGATCGCCTCCTCCATTGAAGGTACGGGCAGCGTGAGGTCCTGTTCAGGTGCATGCAGGCGCTCACAGCAGGCACCTGCTCGTTCCTCGAGATTCAAGCACGCGTCAATAAATTGCCGAGCGCCTGTTTGGCAGGTGCATGCAGCATGCTGCTGCCGCTGCTGCCGGCCATGCAACCTCTTCTCACCCTGCCCCTGCCCTGCCCCTCCCCCACACCTTCCCATTCCCCACATGCGCAGTGCTGCGCCCAGCCGGCCCCCCTCTGGAGCGGCTGTCCCGCATGTGTGTGCTGCCGCTGCTGCTGGCGGGTGTGCTGGGTTCACCCAACATGCGAGAGGGCTATCTCTTCAAGTACCTGCGCGAGTGGGTCGTGTCCACCTGTGCGCGCTCTGGCGCCTGGTCTCCTGCATCCACACCTGAGCTGATTGACGCCGTCCGCTTCCTCTGGTGAGATTGGAGTCGACTCAAACGTCTTCCTTTGATGAGTGCTATTCTTTCATTGCGCTCCTGTGGCATACCATCCCTCCTTGCCGCACACGACCTTTCCCATATCCAAAGGAACCTCATCCCAAGGATGGGTGCGTCCTCCATTTACTCACATACGAAACTTATATCACAAGCTTATGAATGCACAAGCTTGTGAATTGAATGAATGCACAAGCTTGTGAATTGAATGAATGCACAAGCTTGTGAATTGAATGAATGCACAACCTTTTACTCGCACCATCTTGTACTTGTTCCTCCCTCCCTCCGCCCCATGTCTCCTCAATTCTCCATCCCTCTTTCCCCCCTCCTGTCTCTCCCCCCACCCATTCCCCCGCAGTCTATTCGAGGAGCACAGGGAGACGTTGAGCAGTGTGGGGTGGGAGCTGGTGGTCAACCAGGCGCCAGCAGTGCGCATCACCGCTGCCGTCATCTTCCAGACCCTCGTGAGTGACTTGCTTTCTCTTTTCTTCTGTTGCTCACCGCTCTCTTGTTCTCTTGCTTGCTTTCTTTGTGAACGTGCAGCCAGCTCTTCGTGAACTGATCTCACCTCTGCCCATCCATCTCCCCACTCCCTCACCTCCCTCCACACCACTCTGCACCATCCCGAACCACGTTGCACCACAGGCACCCTTCGTGGACGTGAAGCGGGTGAGCCAGCAGGTGCTACCGGCACTGATCACGTTGGGATCAGACCCTGTGCCCGAGGTCAAGCACTCCACCATCGCTGCTTTGGGCTCCGTGGCCCAGCAGTTCAAGGACGCCCCGGTGAGCAGCATTCGTGGATAGAGTGAGGTGGAGCTAGGCTCATTAGCCTTTGAGTCAAAGCACAAGTCACCTTGCTCTGTATCCGTGTGTGCATGTCCCCATGTACCCATGCATTTGTGCCTCCCCATGCCCATCCCATCAGATAGTGGACAAGATCCGAGTGCAGCTGGACTCTCAAGACGCTCACTACTGACGTGCGTCCATGTGTCCATGCTATCTTCCTGTGCCCATTCCATGCCCACATGCCCCCATGCATCCATCTCATCAGATAGTGGACAAGATCCGGGTGCAGCTGGACTCGTTCCTGGAGGAGGGGTCACACGAGGCGGTGGTGGCGGTGCTCAAGACGCTCACAGCCGCCGTGCCTGTGACCTCCAGCACATTGAGAGAGTACTCGCTGCAGAAGGTTGCTAGCATGGCCACCGGCCCGCTGCTCGCTAATGGCACCGTTGCCAAGCGCAGGGAGAAGGCTGAGGCGCTCTGCTCTGCTCTGCGCGCGCTGGAGCACACAGGTACACTGGGGTGATGCGTTAGCACTTGGGAACTGTCTCGTCTGCCTGGATGACGTCTGCAAGCTGGTGCTGCCGTGCCAGTCACCTCCAGCATGCTGAGAGAGTACTCGCTGCAGAAGGTTGCTAGCATGGCCACCGGCCCGCTGCTCGCTAATGGCACCGTTGCCAAGCGCAGGGAGAAGGCTGAGGCGCTCTGCTCTGCTCTGCGAGCGCTGTTAGCACTTGCTTGCTGTGGGTTGATGCCAGGCTGTGAACACATTGATGCAGTGGGGTCATGCTGCGAACACAGGTATTCAGTGAGCGCGCGGGTACAGGTTAATTCTTGCCGTTCATGCACACAACAGTTGCAGCTCCCAGGGATCATAGGAACCTCCTCTGCCCTCCATTCATTCAATACCCATGTTCATCCCTCTCTACCTCCCTCCACCCATCCACACCCTCTCCAACCAAGCGTGCTGCAGATGACCCACAGCAGACCAACACGCTGTTCCTCCCAGCAGTGCAGGCGCTCCTCAAGGAGCCCGATCTAAAGGAGCCAGAGCTCTTCTCCAATGCTCATCCCTCTCAAACCCCCCCCTACCCATCCACACCCTTACAGAGATGACACCACAGCAGACCAACACGCTGTTCCTCCCGGCAGTGCAGGCGCTGCTCAAGGAGCCCGAGCTCCTCTCCACCAGCAGCAAAGACGCTCTAGAGGCCATACGCCGCGACCGCTGGGTTGGGAAAATCGAGGACCTGGGGAAATACGTTGGGAAGAATTTGTTCGGGTTTGAGACTTCCGGGCAGAATAAGAATCTGTTTGGTGGTGGGTTGCTTGGCTCGGCGTCTACTGCGAGCGGGTCGGCAAAGCCTGGAGCGGCTGGGGGTGGAGGGGCGGCTGGAGGGGGAGGTGCAACTGCTGCGAGTACTTTTAGTGGTGCCTTTAGTGGGGCGTTTGGCAACAAGCGGTAGGCGTGTAAGATTCGAGGTCGTACCTGATACTAGTTTATGTGATGGTCTTCCTGTATGAAGTATTTCCTACCCATTTTGGAGGATGTATAAGAAAATGGCAGTGGGGTTATTATTTTTCTTTGTAGAATTTAGTTTCAAGTCACTCAGCTTCGTTACGATCCGGTACTTCCACTTTCATCTGCGGTACACTTGTAGCTGGTGTAGTTCCCTTTCCCGAGACGCTGTTGAAAAAATGCAGGTAAGCACCCTCACCTCATTGGTCAATCTGGGCGCGTGTGTGTCAGAGTTACTTTTCCCGGTCAGGTTCAGCGTCAGAGGGCTCTTGCGACGCGGCACAGGTTTTATTTGGGAAGGCAATAACCATTCAATTCGACCCTCGCGCCCAGTTACAGTTTATACTGTACACCACACCTCTCCCAGATTCTCGGCCGCATCTCGCCAATTCCTGCCTCCAGCAACTTTCTCGCTCTTTCACGGTCTGCCCAGTGCCCACAACTGAAAGAGATGGGTTGATTTGCAGTTTCAGGGGCCACAGTTGAGAGCCTATAGGGTTAGCACGGCGAAGTTTGATTCAAAACGATTTCGAGTGGTTTCGGGCGGTATACCATCGACCAAAGCTGACTCACAAAAACGCTTGTTGTGAAAGCCAGGCAGCGCATCTCAGGCAAGCTTGAGCTGCCTATCTACCCACCTGCACAGCACGCTGACCTCACTACTTTCCACTACTATTTCCCAGACACCTTCATTTCATCAGAGCCGGAAGAATCAGCTATTCAGCTGCACGGCTACTCATTTAATAGAAAGAGCTGCTATCTGCTTGCTGGCTGCGATTGCTCCTATGATTAGAGCACCTTATGAGAATTCTCAGAAGCTGCTATGTGTTTACTGACTGGTGTTGCTCGCATGGTTTGAACCTTTTTGGTGGCGCGTAGCTCCCTGCCAGCGTTGCCAGATAACACAAGATTGCGCGCTCCCAACAACATAATATCGTTTACGGCGCAATTTCGGGCCACCCCATAGTTTCAAGAATCAAGGATCGCTTCTCTACCGCGAATGGGGAGTAATGAGGGCACAGCAGCCATGGATCAGAAAGCACAGCTGACCGACCAGGAGCACCGAGCTAAAAACGACCACCACTTTAGAACCGAGCACTACAGATTTAGATCCGAGAACTACTCGAGAGCTGAACAGTCGACGAGCGGCAAGGCCCAAATCGCATCGACCTTCCACTGGCGCGTCGCGCTTCCCGCGCTCGTCGCGGCGACGATTCTCGCACTCTTATTGGCCGATCCGCTGCGCCTGAGCCCCGTGGCGCACCTCCCGTTCGACCCGGTCGTCATCGACATCGCGCCGCCACCACCGCGCTCCGTCAAGGACCCTCTTAATCGGCTCGCTGATGCCGAGATCATGTAAGGCCATCACCGCTCTCCTTACCGCAATGCTTTATTGTGTACCTTCTGCTGGTCTGGCTGCACCCATCGCTCCCCGTGACGTGGCACGTACGACGTGCGAGGCGTGCGGTCCCGAGAGTATGGCGTGGGTCGTGGACGGCAGGGGGGCGCACGCAATGCCTTCTCAGTCGCCCATAAACTTTCAACTACAACACATACCCCATCGTTCTCCGTGACACGCCAGGTTCGAAGGCGAGGCGTTCGGGCCCGAGAGCCTGGCGTGGGATCTGGACGGCAGGGGGCTGCACGCAATGCCGTTAACGAGACTAAAAACCCATCGTTCTTCGTGACATGGCAGGTTCGAGGGCGAAGCGTTCGGTCCCGAGAGTATTGCATGGGACCTGGACGGCAGGGGGCCGTACGCGGGCGTGGGCGACGGACGAGTCGTGCGCCGCACGGCCGACGGCCGCGCGTGGGAGACGTTTGCGTGGGCATCGCCGCTTCGGTGAGCGCTGTGCTGACGCTGTTGAAATGACCCACCCACCCGTGCCGTACAGATGCCCGTTTGCTTTCTGTGGTACCGCTTCTCTGCCTCTTCACTCCCATCCCTATCCCCACCTCGCCCATTGCCCCAACTCGCTCTTCGCTCTTCTACCCCCCCTCCCCCCACCCCCCCCACCTCCATCCTAACCGCGCCAGGACTCCTGAGCTGTTCTCATTCCGACATACCTCAGTTTTGCCTCTTCGCTCCCGTTCCACGCCGCGCTCCTCTCCCCACCTCGATCTTCTCCCCCCCTCACCTCTATTCTATCTGCTCCAGGACGCCCGATCTCTGTGACACGCACGCCCCTCGGCGCTTCAGCAGCAGCTCTGCCACGTCGCAGGAGCTCGGACCAATGGAAAGGAGGCACGCGGCGGCAGCAGCAGCGACGCTGCCAGCCTCGGAGAGAGTGGCGACCGCGTTCGGCGTGTTTCCCAGCGACGTTTCTCTCGTGCAGCCTCACATCCGAACCACCGTTCAAGGCTCGGTGCCAGGCTCGGTGCTAGGCTCGGTGCCAGGCTCGTTGGAAGGTCCTGCTGGGAACCACTCTTCCCCAGACGTACCTTCAGAAGAGACTCAAAACACCGCCGCCTCTCCTGCCGCACAGGCTGCCAATGTAGAGTCATCACAACAGAACCAACTGTCCCAGCAAATCCAGCAATCTCAGCAATCCCATCAGGCCCAAAATTCCCATCAGGCTCAGAAATCCCAGCAGGAGCAGCAGGTGCAGCAATCCCAGCAAGCCCTCCCAAACCCCTCTATGGAGCCGGAGGAGGGTAAATCACCTATCGTATATGGCGTCAACATGACCCTGGTCCCCAATCTCACCACGGAGCACATATGCGGGCGGCCGCTGGGGCTGCGGTTCCACCCGGTGACGGGGGAGCTGTTCTTCGCGGATGCGTACTTTGGCGTGTTCAAGGTTGGGCGGCAGGGCGGGCTGGCGCAGCCTGTCGTGACGCGCGTGGACGGCCGCCCGCTGCTGTTCGCCAACGACCTTGATATTGCCGCCAGCGACGAGAATGGCACCCTCTATTTCACCGACACCAGCACTCGCTTCCACCGCCGGTGAGACAAAAGAGGGGTGATTTCGTGAAGTGAAGAGGGGCACCAGCCCTCGCTTCCAGCAACGGTGAGACGAAGGGTAGAGAGAAGGGGGTAGACACGAGCAAGCAGTTTCAGTGCGGGTGAGATGGGAGAGATGATTGGGTGAGGCGGAAGTGGGGCGAATGCTTCCATCGCTGGTGAGACAGGAGATGAGGGCGGCTGATTGTGCAGGAGCAGGGCAAATGGGCGGCTGATACAGGTGGTCCTGCCTCTCACCATCCCATGCCATCCCATCCCATCCCATCCCATCCCATGCCATCCAATCCCATTCCACCCCATCCCATCCCATTCCTCTCCTTCCCCTGCCTCCATTGCGCCCGGGACTGCTACGTGGCGATAGTGGAGAGCAGGAGGCTGGTTCCAGTAGACCTGCTTCTTGCCATCCCATTCCATTTCCATCCCTCTCACTCTCCTGCCTCCAACTCATTCTGTCTCCCCCACTCACCACCACAGGGTCTAGCGATAGTGGAGGGCAGGGAGACGGGCGGCTGGTGCAGGTGGACCTACCTCTCTCCCCCCCATTCCATCCCTCTCCTTCCCCTGCCTCCATCTCTCGCTGTCCTCACCTGCCATAGGGACTACTACGTGGCGATAGTGGAGGGGCGGGCGGACGGGCGGCTGCTGCAGGTGGACCTGACCACGGGCCGGGCGGCAGTGCTGGTGGTTGGGCTTGCATTTGCCAACGGCGTCGCTCTCTCAAGAGACAAGTCGTTCCTCGTATTCTGCGAAACCACCACTCTGAGGTAAACGGTCTTTCTGGCACTTCAAAAGCGACGGGCCGGGCGGGAGTGCTGGTGGATGGGCCTGCGTTTGTCAACGCCGCCGCGCTCTCAAGAGACAAGTCCTTACTCGTGTTCTGCGAAACCACCACTCTGAGGTAAGTGGATCTCTGAGCCATCTCAAATTTTAAGGCGCCTAAGGTAACTTGTTTGTCGGAGTCATCGCAAAAGCGTTGAGGTTGTGCTCTCTAGAGATAAAGATGTCCCCATGTCTTGTGAAACTGAAACTTTCACCCTTGGGTAAGTGCCCAGGCTTCTTGTTAACTCATGCATGTACCATGTAGCAACACTGCGCAAACGGCAGCATGGAATTCTTTACACCCCTGTGCTTACTCTCGATGACAGTGTATTACACATCTATTGTTTATATGTCCATGCTCCCCTCGTAGGTGCCATCGTTATTGGCTGAGGGGTCCAAAGGCAGGGACTCGTGAAGTTTTTGTTGATCTGCCCGGCATGCCCGACAATGTTCGCCTGAATCCTCGCGGCCGGTTTTGGATAGCCGTCCATTCGCGAAGAAAGTTCCTGCTGGGTGGGTGATGGTGTGATCGTGTGGTGTGAATATCATGTGGTGCGGTGATAATGTGGTGCGGTGATAATGTGGTGCGGTGATAATGTGGTGCGGTGATAATGTGGTGCGGTGATCATGTGGTGCGGTGATCATGTGGTGCGGTGATCATGTGGTGCAGTGATAATGTGGTGCAGTAATCATGTGGTGCGGTTATCGTATGGTTTTATTCGGTAATGGCTTGAATGGGCAGTCATGGATGAGTGATGCTTGTGATTGTGTGTCTCATTGAGCACTTTATGCCTTCTTTACCCTGTGTTTCTCTTCATCGTACTGATTTGTGAAGGAATTTGCTGTATATGATTGACATGTTGGTTCGGCGTTGATTGCCTCTCCTCTTTTTTTCTCTTCCATTGTGCTTGTATCTCCCTCTACCTTGACAGACATGGTGGCTCATAGGCCTTGGCTGCGCTCCCTCTTCCTCTCACTGCCAATCAGCATCAGCACAGCCCATCGTCTGTCTGTGGGCCGACCAAATGGGATTATTGTGGAGGTGGATGAAAACGGCACTATAACAGACGTGCTAGAAGACAGGTTGGGAAGTGCTGTGAGGTCTGTGAGTGAAGTGGAAGAAAGAGATGGGAAGCTCTGGTTGGGGTCCGTCGTGGTGCCTCATGTTGGCATGCTAGATTATCCACGTCCAACGGGGACAAGCACAATCAACCAGAGAGCATTTGAACTTTAGTTATACGATATGTTAATTATTAAGTGTTTAGTTGAAGCTGTAAAATAAGTACCTTCTTGCCAAGCAATGCTGCCCAGTCAAACTGCTTCCAACCTCCACGAGCCGCAACGGCACATGACGACAGGTGCTGTATCCAGCCACGCGAAGCACTATTTGCTGTCGCAAAGCCTGAACGAAGACGTGCGACAGAAATTCATGTTGTTGTCAGAATGGTTGTGTTGCTCTGACACTCCGTCACACGCCTTTCGCATACCCAAGGTAGCTTCTCCGCCCAGCGACACTGTTTTTACCTGGTGGATTTGTTGCGAGGAAAACTCCTCCCCCAGTTGTCGCAAGAAGCTTCGCAAGCCACTTGCTTGGCCTAAGCCATCGATGAATGATTTTTAGGACCAACCGACCAAGTGCGATTGGAGGGCGACGTGTTTGCGAACGAGCCGCATCCAGCTTTCAACACACTGCTCCGCGCCTCAAGAGCAGAGCGATGTGTTTCTGAGTCGCACTGCACGTCAGCAGTCGCAACGACGGCAATCCGCGTTGCTTCCTGCCCTCACCTAAATTTACAGCTCCATCCATCGTCGCATTCATTCAATATCTCGACCGAACTCCGAGCTCCGTAATTATCGGTAGCCCCTCTTTTTCGAATTCTCCCAGTCAGTTCTAGTCGTTCACCGTCGCAGCTCCCCAAACCACCGTGTCGGTCATCGTCGCAATCAGTCACGTCGCTTATCATCGAAACTCCAAGTCTATCTTGGTGCCGTCGCACACCCCTGTCAGATCAGCGATTTCACCAGATTTTTGAAAAGCATGGTCGCAGCTGCAATGGCCGCCACAGCAGCGGCTTACCAGCAACCATCATCTCCTATTCGCGTTTCCTTCTTCTCGCTCGCATTCACCTTTTTCGTCTTCCTCGTCACAGACCCGCTCCGACTTCGACCCATAGCCAATCTCCCCTTCCACGCAGCGCCGATTCCCTTATCACCGCGTCGACTACCCATTCCCTCGGACCAGTCAAATCGTCTCGCCAATGCTCATATCAGGTGCCTTTCCTCGTTCCGCTGCAAGCCTCACATCGGTTCCCGTCGCGCGCCTGCTCATCGCCGCCGCGCATTTCCAATGGCCTTAGTGACATCGCCTGTGTAGTTAGGTGGGGTAGGCTGTTATTCAGGTTGTCTCTTCAATGCCATCTGCGATGTTGGGTGCGCAGATACGCGGGCGAGGTGTTTGGCCCGGAAAGCCTGGCGTGGGACCTTGAGGGACGAGGACCGTACGCTGGTGTCAGCGACGGGCGAATCGTCCGACGATCACTGGACGATAGTGGATGGGAAACCTTCGCACACGCGTCGCCGCACTGGTAAGCGCTTGCATTTGGTTTTCCATTAGTACGTGGCACGACTCACTCTCGCAATGGGGCCATCAGTTCTGTATCACGTCACGCCCCCTTGTCTTATCGTAAAACTGATGTTTAGCCTTCGTAATCCCTCTCCCGCAGGTCGTCCAAACTGTGCGATCCCGTCGCACCAGTGCAACCCTCTCCATTCGCCTCCGCCCTCGCATATCTATCTGGAGCCGTCGAGGCGTCTGCCGACGCGTCCAACATCCATACCCGTTCGTCGCTCAACGGCTCGCTTAACCATGCGAACTATAGCGTGGGCCCCATCAGCGGGCTTTTCCAGGAACTCGATAGTAGATCGGTTGGATCCAGCAGTATTGCCTCCGCCCCCTCTATAGGCAGCGCGGTTAAGGGACGAGTCGGACCGAAGCTAGCCACGGAGCACATTTGTGGCCGTCCGTTGGGGTTACGATTTCATCCAGTAACTGGCGAGCTTTTTTTCGCGGACGCCTACTTCGGCATTTACAAGGTTGGGAAGAAGGGCGGGAAGGCTCGAGTTGTCGTGGATCACGTGGAGGGTCGAAAGCTGAGGTTTGCGAATGACGTGGCTATTGACGCGGATAACGAAAATGGAACAGTGTATTTTACTGATTCGAGCACACGGCACCAAAGACGGGACTTTGTCGTGGCGACCACCGAAGGCCAAGCTGACGGTCGCCTGATGAAAGTGGATCTTGCTACACGTCGGGTTACTGTGTTACTCCGCAATCTCGTCTTCCCCAACGGCCTTGCGCTTTCTGAGGACAAGTCGTTCCTTGTTTTCTGCGAGACAGTCCTTTTCAGGTAAGCTTATGGTATTCGCTGTTATCTCCGCTGTTCGGACCACAAGCATGATATCGCACCCTGTTGTTTGCAAAAATGGTGCTTACAAGCTTTGTCACTATGTCCTTTTTCTTCTCGATTTTGCAGGTGCAGCCGTTACTGGTTGAAGGGTCCGAAGGAGGGGACTCAGGAGGTGCTCGTTGACCTACCCGGCTCGCCAGACAACATCAGACTAAACCCGCGCGGACGATTCTGGGTAGCCATGCATTCGAGGAGGCGCCCCCTTATTGGTAAGTATCGTGAATCCTGAGATGCCTACTATTCCTTGCTTGCCTTCAATCAAGGATTAATGTATTCCTTTTGCGGATTCCCCTTGCAGATTACTTCGCCCCACGACCATGGCTAAGGAGTTTCGTCATGTCGCTTCCAGTTGACATCAAAATCATCTATGGCGTTATGGTCGGGTGGCCACATGGCCTGGTGGTGGAGGTGGATGGTGATGGACGAATCACAGACGTTTTGGAGGATCACATGGGACGCGCTGTCAAGGCTGTGAGTGAAGTGGAGGAGCGGAATGGCACACTCTGGATGGGATCCGTAATGATGCCACATGTTGCTGTGATGAAGTACAATCCAAGGGCCTAAACGAAGGGAGTGCAGCTTGAAGACTTCTAACACACTTCCTGCATGTTGGGCTGAAGCACAGGCGGGGAAGTGGCTGTGGAAGCAGCTCGGAGCACAGGCAGGAGGCGCTATACTAATCCAGATGACATCGTTCTAACATAGGATCATCACTTCGAGTTGGGGCTTCACATTAACGAATGTGTACCAAAATAAGGGGGCTCGAATAATGCCGGCTCGGAGTGATTACTTGTGCAGGACCATATTATGTGTCGTGCACTGTGTCTTACACCAAGCTAACTGAGTAAACGAGGTTGAATTCCATGCATTTTTTCGCCTACAAGGCTGCTCTCCACCTGGTAGTAAGAGTGAAGTTATTCTGTTTGTCATACCCGGCGACACGAGTGAAGTTATTCTGTTATTCTGCTCTCCGCCTGTAACTTCTGTTTGTGAAGTTACAGGCGAACGCCTGTAAGGAGTGTTTTTTCAAATAAGTGCACTTTTGCACCAGCCGTGTGATCCGATTGGACAAGTAGCTACTTGTCTGTCAAACCTCCGTTTCAGGGGAATTAGTGGTTGTTGATAAATGGCACGTCAGCGCGCTGCATTTCTTTTTGGGCGCGCAACGTCATCCGTTATCATGTGGACGTCGTGAAATTGTCCACCGACGAAGTCCATCCAACAAAGTCAGGCTCACAGCACTTTTCGCTCCTCGTTACCTCGCCCACTTTTCGCAATCCAAGCGAGCCGGTGGGGTAACCCTAGAACTCGCAACACTTGGCCTGCGATGTCGGTTGCACTCCCATTTTGCGGGATTCTTGGAGCCAAAATCTAGTTGACGCCAGCTCGCCAAGGCGCCACGTGAGAATCCGAGCGATGTCCAGCACATACTGTAACAAGAGGCTTTGAACCAACCATTCCACACGAGCGTCGAACGTCTCTGTGTGGCGGGCTTCCCGGGCAGCTTCACCATTCACCTGCCCGAAACCACCTCTTGTGCTTCCTTCATCCAATCATTCGTCGAATCAGCCACCTCGGGCCCCTCCGAAACACCCTCGGAAATTCTTCCCACACATCCCAACCTCCACCCTCCATAGCTTCCTGCTAATCAAAGCCATATTCCTTTCTGAACCAATTATGACCGTTTTGAACCGAACTGTGTCTGAGAAACGAACTGGCTGCTGTGCTGGGTGTTGTTGCGTGGGGTTCATCGTTCTGATTCATAAGAACACAACCAGTCTTCTCCAAGCTCATCTGTGATCCCTCTAGTTGTGATCAAGGAAGCGGAGTTCACTTGCGTCTGAAACAGCTCTGGGATTGTAGCTGCCACTTGTAGCACTCCGTGATGGCGGCCTCAGTCTCCCTCTCGATGGCGTCTCGCGCGGCCTTCGTTGCCAAGGTGTGTGAATGGGGATTTCAAGCAATGCATAGTGATCGGCTAGTATTTATCAGCCACTTGGTTCTAACGAGCTCCTCGTCTCCACGTGCCCCTTATCCCCCGGGTGCAGGCCAATGACGCTCTCAAGCTGGGAAGCCCAGGTCAGTAGACTTTGTCGTTGTTCTTATCCGCTTTTTCGCTACGAGAAGCAACTACCTTTCTTCCCGGCCTTATGCTGACGGCTGTTTTGTTTGGTTCTTGCAGTTGCTGTGCAGAGCACTCCCTTCCTGCCTCTTCGATCTCGCACCCACAACCTGGTACTATTCCTCTGGCATCCCCACCATTGTGTTGTTTTACGCGAGGAAACTTGGGAGAAAAACTAGGGAGAAAAGCTCGTTCGTATACGCCAGCTTAGTCGTCTCATCTATCTTCTGGGAACTTTTTGTGATGCAGAGGAAGCCTTCCATCGGCTTGAAGTCTCAGGCGTGCCGGCTAGTGAAGACGTCAGCCGCGGTCGCCGCTCCCGTCTCCAATCCCCTCTCCGATCCTCAAGAGCGGGAGAGACTGGCGGAAGAGTATGGCTTCCGACAAATCGGCGAGCCGTTGCCTGATGACATCACGCTGAAGCAAGTCATCGATACAATCCCGGCCGAGGTAAAACGAATTTAAGTCGCGAATGAGCAGATGCATTTGTTCGTGATCGTTCCTCTGTACCTCCTTGGTCGTCGTCCATGACCTGAACGCTTCATGTTGTTGTGGAACACGATTGTTTTAAAAATCTTTCATGGCTGTCTGCAGGCTTTTGAGATCAACGAGTGGAAGGCATGGAAGACCGTCTTTCTAACAATTGCCGCGATGGCCATCGGAGAGGTGTTCATCTACTACTCGCCGTGGTACCTTCTGCCTTTCGCGTGGGCCTGGGCTGGCACTGCCTTCACCGGGGTAAGTGCCAAGTAGTGTCTACCGTTTCGTTCTGTTTTATTATTGTTCCCCTACTCCGTGTTGCTTCACGTTTTTGTACCACGGTTCTGTGCTAAACAAGTTTTATCGCTCTGATTTGTTTGCCGAGCAGTTCTTCGTGGTGGGCCATGACTGCGCGCACAAGGCCTTTTCGAAGAACAAGCTGGTGGAGGACATTGTGGGAACCGTCATGATGGCGCCGCTCATCTACCCGTACGAGCCCTGGAGATTCAAGCACGACCGCCACCACGCCAAGACCAACATGTAAGCGTTCTTTTCCGTGTTCCGCGAATGTATTTTTGTGTCAACGCTTCGACAACGATTCCAAGCCAGACTTCAGTTTTCGTTTTCGGCTAATGCTGAATCCGTTTCATGACCGGGAACCATCACCGCAGCTTTCCGACTCCTCGATTCCCGACTTCCACATAACCCGAATATTGGTAACCATGCGTTGTTTCTTCCGTTCAGGCTGGTTGAGGACACGGCGTGGCATCCTATGATTCCGGGCATGTACAAGCGGATGAGCCCCACTGGCCGCGTGCTCATGCAGACCTTCATGGGCCCCCTCCGATTCCTCGCCTCCATCGGTCACTGGTACGCGCGGGGCATGCAAGATAAAGAACCTAGCAATATATTCTGAAGCAGCCAAACTAAACGCAAGTTCCGACGAGCTACACCGGCCAATCTTCTTATCCTGTACATAGAACTAAATAGCACATGATAACTGCCAGTCTCGGAAGTCGAATGAGATTTGTTTCTACGGTGGCTTGGTGTGCAGGCTGGTGTACCACTTCGACCTCGGGAAGTTCCGGCCGAGTGAGCTGCCACGTGTCAAGGTGTCGCTCGCTGCTGTTGGTGCCTTCGCGGTGATTGGCTTCCCCCTTATCATTGCCAACTTCGGCATTGACGGCTGGTTCAAGATGTGGCTCATGCCGTGGCTCGGCTTCCACTTCTGGGTGAGTCCCCTTCCCTGGCACCTGAAGATGGTTATATACGATTCTGTCTTTCGGGCAGGAAGTATGAAGATAGTTGGATTGCCTTCACAAGTGTCAATCAGATACTTACGGTATTCTTGTGTTAATTTATTTTTCTATGCCTCTGCTGCGTGGTGTGTTGTGCACTTCAGATGAGCACCTTCACCATGGTGCACCACACTGCTCCCCACATCCCCTTCAAGAAGCAATCCGAGTGGAACGCCGCTCAGGCTCAACTCGGCGGCACTGTGCACTGCGACTACCCGTCCTGGTATGTGAAATTGGTGGATGTATCCAGAAAGTTATCGGGAAACGTGGAAATCGGTAGCAATCCTTCTTTTGCAGAGGTGCAAATAATCATTGAAATGTCAAGAGCTGACGTAGAGCATGTGCACGGCGAAGCTCATCTGTCTCCCCTTTTTTCCATCGGTCTGGTTTGCAGGATCGAGATTCTGTGCCACGACATCAACGTGCACATCCCTCACCACGTGTCCCAGAAGATCCCCTCCTACAACTTGCGACTGGCCAATGATGCTCTGAGGAAGCACTGGGGCAAGGTGAGCTCAACGCGTCGTTAATAATATGAATGACCCTGTGAAGCCACTTACAATGTATTGAACTTGTTTTATCATAGGTGGGTGTCTGCCAGGCGTCCCAGTGTTTGTACAACAGTGGTTTCATCTTCACGTCTTGCACTTGGGTCTACCTGTTCACCCCCCAAATCCAGTTGTTACATAAATCAATTCTCTCCTCACCTCCCCTTTCTGCTGTGTGCAGTACATGAACGAGGCTACGTGGAACTGGAGGCTGATGAAGAACATCTTTGTGGAGTGCCATGTATTCGACAGGGAGAAGAACTACATTCCCTTCGATGCTCTTGAGAAAAGAGAGTCTCCAATTCTCGGCCTAACCAGAAAAATCATGCCCAACACCTTCAACAAAGAGCAGTAAATGCTTGGTGGGGGGGGGGGGGACAGGATAGGAATTTCCCACGTGATAGCAGAAGTACAGTGCGCTGTCTGCTGCGCCAATGATAAAGCATGTGGGGAGTATTTCTCTGCAAATTATTTTTAATGTAATCCAAAAACATTCAAAACTTGATACCTATACGGTGGTATAAATATGCCAGTAAACCATTGGGGATGTTGTGGTAAGGTCTCCAATTGTTATTGGCCAAAGATTCAGAACGTGTATGCTAACATGCTCCAGGCATGATGGCCACATATATGCTGATGCATTGTAACAGGATATTGCTTTTCTGCCTTCATACGGTGCGTTTCTGCCTTCCATGTTCCACTACAACTGGGGCATAACAGAACCAACCAAATAACTAGAAGAACTACTGCAGGAAAAAAGTACTGGTACTACAACAAAACGATTGGGGCCCAACATGAATGATTTGTGTGATTGGCTAGAGAATATCGTACTGGCAGCAAGACAAAGCTAAGGAACCAAGCAGCTGTATACCCAATATCACCATGTACAGCAATTGACCAATGTAGGCCACTACTATTTTCGAATCAGCACACTTGCAACATCCGACTGAGCATTTGATGAAATCCTGAAGCACAAGCTAAATCTGCTCGAGCCAGAGCTCACAATCCTACAGCATTGATTCACCATTACTGACCCGATTGGCTTGATTTTTGAACTGCCACCCACACCTGCCTCTGTTGGAACCGCGGTAAAGAGGGATCGACATAGCAAGAAGCAGGTGCAACAGCAGACTTGGAAGGGAATGAAACAATGGAGGTTGGACGAAAACAGAAGGGACAGTAGACAAGGCAGGAAGCAAGGGAGGAGGAAGAGGGGGGCGGAGGTGGGGGGTGAAGGGAGAAAGCCATACTCAGGGCTGGAAAACAAAGCCGAGGGAAGCAAGGGTTTCGTCACAAAAGAAAATTGAGAGAAACAGGTGGCGGTTGGAGAAGACGGGGAGAGGGAAGGGCAAAGAGGAGGAGGTGGGGTAGGGGGGCCAGGCAGGTACCTGGCTTTCGTTTCCTGCTGAGCCTGGTCCACTGTAGCCCCTCCCCCCTCCTCCCCCATGCCCCCCCCGCCGCCCTCCCCCCCTCCCCCTCTCACTCACTCGCCCTGCAGCAGCACACAAAAACACAGGCATGCAGTCCAATGTGAGGGAGTAAAACCAAGTGCCAGAACAAAGAATCTGACGACAATAAGGGAGAGCTGCGGAATCAATGTACTTGTTTTAAACGAATTTGGGCATACCTCCTCTGCCATAGTCACTGCCGCCCCTCCCTCTCCCACCATAGCTCCCTGCCCCTCCACCCCCTCTGCTCACAGCACCAGTGCCTGCTGCAGCTGAGGGAAGAGCAGACACGGCTGCTTCACTCGCTCCTGATAGTGGCGTTGCTGCTGCCGCTGCTCCTCCTGCTCCTCCTGCTCCTCCTCCTCCTCCTACTGCCCCTGCAGCTCTTGCTGCTGGCGCTGCTGATGACCCTGCTGCACGTGCCGATGCGGCACCACCAGGGGCTGCAGAGGCGGAAGGAATGGATGGAGCAGAGGAGGGAGCTGCTGCAGAGGCTGCTGCAACGCCAGCAGATGCAGTAGCAGCACCAGCTGTAGCAGAAGCAGCCGCAGTACCACCAGTACCACCTCCCCCAGACTGCCCTGCACCAGCAGCACCGCCCCCTCCCACGTCTGGGCGTCGCCTGGGAGTCCACACGGGTCGATCGGGCCGGTCCCGGTTCTTCAGCCTGCCTCGGCTGTCCCTCGCCTCCCTTGCTGCCTCCCTTTCTGCTCCTCCCCCTGCTGCTGCTGTCCCTGCCTTTCCTCCTGCTGCCCCTGCTGCTCCCGCTGCTCCTGCTGCACTGCCAGCAGCAGCAGGAGTTTCAGCCTTGCTTGCAACTGCTGTTGCTTCACCTGCCACGCTTCCTGCCCCTCCTTGCGCCTGCCGAACCTGCTGTGCCTGCTGCTGTGCCTGCTGTGCCTGCTGCTGTGCCTGCTGCTGTGCTGCCTGCATGCCCCCTCCCCGCCCATACTGCCTTTGCTGCTGCGGCTGCTGCTGAGTCTGCTGCTGCACATGTGGCTGTGCATGCTGCCGAGTAAAAATCTTCACCCCTGCACCCCGGCCAGACGGCACTGTGCGGATTGAGCCAGCACCAGCACCACTGTCACCACCACCAGCACCACCTGCTGTTGTGCTCGCACCTGTAGTGCCTGCTGCCACAATGCCAGACGCACCCCCAGCTGCAGTGTTGGTAACAGCTGCACCGGCTGTAGCAGAGGCGACTGCAGCTGTAGCAGCAGGCGCGAGGGAGGAAGGGGAGGGAGTGGCCCGAGCGTCCCTCTGAGCGTCTCTGTGGGCGTCGCTGCTGTTGGTGCCGCCTCTCTTGCGCCGCAGATCCGCCGCGTGACGGCGCGACGAGCGTGACTGTAATGAGGGGCGTGTGGTAGCATTGAGGGGACGCATGAGATGATTATCACGGGGGCATGCGATGATGATCATACAGGTGAGGGGGTGATGTTTCTTAGGATATCTATCAGCTGTTGGTTCAGGTGTTAAATCAGGTGCTTCTCAAGTGTTGATTCAGGTGGATCCTATGGCACATGTGTCTATGCAAAACCTGTCTCTGCTAGACTTACATGTGCTGCAGAAGTAACAGCAGCTGAATCGGCCTTCTCCCTTGCACCACCTGAAGCACCACCTGAAGCACCAGCTGCACCAGGTATGCCCGCCTCCCCCCCTCCTTTACCACCTCCCTCACCTCCCCCGCCCCTTCCCCCACTCCTCCCACCTCCACGTGCACCTCTTTCCCTGCCTCCCCCCTTACCCCCACCACCACTCCCCCCTCCCCCTCCCCCACCCCCACCCCCACGGCCTGCCCCACTCCCTGCAGCGGGGGGAGCATGCGTTCCCCCTGCGCCTCCCCCCATCCTCCCCGCAGCCCCCCTCTCTCCCCCTGCGCCCACAGGGCGAGTGGGTCTGCTGGTAACCACACGAGCCTGGGGGCCTGTCCGTGCATTGGCGCGTCTCTGGCACACATACTCCACCAGGGGCGTCAGCACTAGCGGCTCCTTGGCTCCTGGGGGAGGGGGGAAGGGGAAAAGGAGGGAAAGGGGGGGGGGGGTGGAGGATAGGGGCATTGGTGTGCCTCTAGCACACATAATCAACAAGGGGCGTCAGCACGAGGGGCAAGTGAAGTGCGAGCACGGCACACGCACCTGCAGCAGCTAATGAAAGAGCGCGCACCTGCAGCAGCGGCCTTGGCAGCGTCTGCCTTCTCCAGCTGCACCTCTGCGCTCGGAAGGCTCTCCTCGCCCTGCTCCAACGCTGCTAGGAACGCCACGTACTCGGGGTCTGGGGAAGGGATGGGAGGTGGGAGATGGGGGAGATGTGCGACGGAACGAGGGCGCTGCATTGCAACCCCTGGTCTAGTGCTGTCCAGACCTGGAATTCGGGGCCTGGGGGGAATCGGGGGGGATGGGGAGGCGGAGGGAAGAGGGAATGGCAGAACGAGGGTATGCATCAAAGAGAGTGAATGAGCGAGATCTTGACAATACCAGTGCTTTCTGGAAGTGAATGAACCCAAAAATACCTTTATTATGGCACATCCTTGACTTTTGCGAATTCCAACGTTCCTGATGATAATACCTACAAAACATCCTTCACTAGAGTCACTTTCGCTAGAAAGTCACCTTTGTCTATAGTCCCCTGCCTGGGGTCCTTTCGCTGCGGCGCCCTGGGGACTTTCTGCCATGGCGCGTACTCCACTGTTGCCTGGAACTGCTGCCCTGCAGTGCCAGCCAGGGGGTTGGATGGGGAAGGCGGGAATGAAACTCAAATCACATTTGAATCGCCTCATGAAACTTTCTGCCATGGCGCGTACTCCACTGTTGCCTGGAACTGCTGCCCTGCAGTACCAGGCAGGGGGAGGAGTGGATGTGACAGGCGGGAGCGGAACACAGAAAAGAAAAGAAGGGAAGGAGAGAATCGGAGAATACTTGGCTCACATGCTATGGTCCTCCTTGCAGGGCCTTCAAAAGAGCATACTGCAGTAGCTGCAAGGGGAGCTTTTCGGATGGACTCTGCACTGTTGCTGCTGCCATCTGATCTGCCTGCCTGTCGCCTTGACACACATTGCGCGTATTCAGACGTCTGAAACTACTTACCCAAGTTTAAGATACTCTTGACAGAGCCAGCCTGAATCTTGAAAGACTTCTTGAATCAACACTGATTTAAAAAAACCTTCGAATATCCCCCTGCGCATTGGGACCTAAAGGTCGTCTCCTTCTGATGCCATTTTGAAGAAATGTCCTCTCCACGTGTCCCATGAAATCAGACAAGAGCATTCATTGTCACATGACATGAGACTTACCCTTCTCATTGACGAAGGTGTGGCCGTGAAAGTCGGAGGAGAAACCGATGACGTCCTCCGGCGAGAGAAAGTTGATGTACGCCCTTGAGAGTGCCGCCTTCTTGGCCCTGCGACGAGGTGATGCGAGGTGATGCGTAAGCAGCTTTGATATGGCCGAGAAGATTATGGGAGAAGAGGCTACCTGGGGAGCCGGCTAAGAGAGGATGTGGAAATTGGTCTGGAGAGTGGGTGAAATATGGGTGTGTGAGTATGGAAACGTACGATGATTTTCCGGGGTAGAACATTATCCAGTTGTAGCGGCCTTGGTATTTCTTATTAAGCGCCTCGACGAATGACTCCTCCTTAAGATTCGGCGGTAGTTTGCGCACCACCACCTTCGTCTTCTTCAACGCGTCTTTCATCATGGGTTTCCGATCAAAGCTTCAAACCTATTTGGCAAATAAATGGCAGCTGTTTATAGCGAAACGGAAACCGTTGACGCGAAGGAACGAACAATTCTGCAATATCAGTCTGCAAAGCGCTCCTCTTCGCGAGGGAAATAGCCGCAATGGCTCCAACTCGCTCAGTGCCCTCTTTACTATCTCCTCAGGCTGATTCAGTGGCGCCTGGATGCTGTGGGAAAATTGGCGCTAGCGCTGGAATAACTGTGAGGTGAGAAGAAATAAGGGAATTACACGTTTATATGCAAATGAGGACTTTAACGGAACGAATAATTTTCCGTATCGAGGATGCAAACCTGCCTGTCATGACATGACATGAACAGCTGGGCGCTGTGGTGTGGGGAGGGGAAGGTGGGTCTGCTCTGCTGGGATTGGAGGGCGGCTGGGTGCAACCAACCAATCAACCTCGAGACTTCTAGCCGGGGTTCAGTGGGGTTCGATAAGATAAAGACCACTGGGATGGGATTCTTATGTTTGGTGGGTACACATCACCAATTTTCTTTGACCATAAGAACAATGTGAGAAATGCTGTCGAGATTCAGAAACTCAACGCGACAGTCTCGAGGAATTCTGCCATGGCGTCTGTGAGTGGGTTGCTGGGGTGAGTGAGTGAGTGAGCTCGAAGGCTGCTGTTCGTTGTCTGTCAGGGTGACCGTTGGCTGCTGCTGATGAGTCGGATTCAGCCATATCCACCTGCTCCTCCTCCTTCCTTTGTCAACCCCCACCTCCCTGCATACATTGTACAAGTATCTGAAGTGCTGCCATCATACGACATAGTGAAGTGGTCTTTACCTAGAGAATGGTTCTCGCTTTTGTATCGTCGTGCCGTTGGTCAGACGGGAGACTCAGGCTCCTCTCACTGCAAGTTCTAGAAGTATTGGCTATACGAGTTACACCGCGTTTCTCCAACTCTCATTTTGCGGATTAGCAAATACAATCTCAGTTGCGGTTTACCATTTCTCCCTGTACTTCTACAACTGCTGGTCGTGCAAGGCTCGCGTCATTATGCAATCTCTGAATCCGCGACTAGAAATCGCAAGCTGAGAAGCAACTATGACCTGCTCCCGCTGCAGGTTCTAGTTCTATTCTTACTATCAGGACTTGCAGGACTGCGCGTCACACGACAATATTCTCGCGCTCAACCTGCGAACTAGCAGTCACCCGCCGGTAGTCATGGCGACCGTTGTTATGCCCATCCATTCGTACACGTGGATCTTCGTGGTGACGCTGATATTCTCCCTCCTGGACGGCTATGCCATCGGTAAGCATGCAACGCGTCGCTGTTTTAAGTTTGTTTGTAACCACTTTCGCTCGCTTCTTCTGCGACGATTTTGAGCCAGCTTTCCAATTGTCGCAACGACTGTCGCAGGTACGAACGACGTCGCCAATTCCTTCGCCACGTCGGTGGGATCGCGGTCGCTCACCCTCAAGCAAGCCATCTGCATCGCCTTCTTCACTGAATTGGGAGGAGCGGTCGCTCTTGGCGCTACGACGGCCAAAACAGTCAAGGACGACATTATCAATATCAACATGTTCAGCAGCCGGCCAGACCTTTTAATGTCAGGCTTCATGTGCGCGTTAATAGCGTCCTCGACATGGGTCATGACCGCGTCTATTCTAGGCTTCCCTCTTTCTACCACACACTCCATAATCGGTGCGCTTATCGGAGTTGGCATTAGCGCGTACGGCAAGGACGCCGTGAACTGGGGGTGGGAGGGTAGAGGCGTGGCGCAGATCGCAACATCTTGGGTCCTAGCGCCTTGCCTAGCAGGCGTCCTCGCAGCAGCGGTTTACACGATCACACTCTTTGCTGTCATGAATCGGAGAAACTCTCTGCGAGCAGGAATCTGGGCCGTTCCTTTCTACTTCACCATCACCAGCTTCATCGTCAGTTTCTACGTCATCTCCCGAAACAGTCGGTGGGGGTTTTTGGGTGAAGAGGGTGTCCATAACAGCAGCAACGTTGGCCTGACGTTTGCCATCACAGGGGCCATCACAGGTGCGACTCTCGTCTTCGCCGTTGGATTCCTCGTCCCGTTCTTCATCCGACGGCTGGAGAAGGAGGAGAGCCTCAGGTGGTACCACGTGTTCTGCATCCACTGGCTGCCAGAGCAGCCGCACGACACCAGGATCGACACGTACTTGAAACGAACCTTCACCCCGCAGCTGCTGAACGACGAGGAAAGAACAGAGCTCGGAATGCCTGTGGAGGAGGAGGAGGAGCGCAAGGAGGAGCGGTGGGAGCGGGAAAAAACCCAGCACAAAAGCCTCGTCGTGCGACTCGCGCACCACATCAAATGGCTGCTGCTGCGCACACTCCTCATCGACATCGTGTCAGTGCAGCAGCGGAACCGTGGTGCAGTGCGCGCGCATGAGGTGGCAGTCCTGTACGACAACAAGACAGAGTACCTGTACTCGCTGCTGCAGGTGGTTACCGCATCCTTCGCGAGCTTCTCCCACGGCTCGAATGATGTTGCCGGCTCGCTGGGGCCCCTGGCAGGGGTGTACCAGCTGTGGGAGACCGGTACCTTTTCCACCCATGCCAGCATACCATACTGGATGCTGGTCAATGCCGGGATAATGATCGACCTCGGCCTTGCTCTTTGTAAGCCTGCTGCGTTTCCCCCTGCATGTTCTGCATACCCCTCTGCATGTCCTGCTGCATATCCTGCTCCATGCTTGCTCAACCATTGTAACTGTTCTCTCCTGCTTCCTTGTCTCCTTTCGCCCTAGCCTACATCTGCCATCACCTTTGGCCCTACACTCCTCTTCATTGCACCTTCCTCTCATCTTGGTCCACTCTCGCTTCCCTGGCCCCCACTTCCACCTCTCCCTACCCATCGAGACATGTGCAGCACAATGCGCAACCTGAGCAACACCTCGTACTACTCCTTTTTTCTTGAGGCACCTCAAAACTGCACGCAAACATAAATCTCTCAGTCGCCTCATAGAAGCTCTCTTCCTCCCCCCCTTCCCTCCCACCCATCCAGACGGGTACAACATAATGCGCAACCTGGGCAACAACATCACGTACCACTCGCCCTCCCGCGGTTTCTCCATGGAGCTAGGTGCAGCCCTCGCCGTCCTCACCGCCTCCTTCCTTGCTCTACCCGTCTCCACCACTCAGTGCATAGTGGGTGCCACAGTGGCTGTAGGCCTGTGCAACGGCAAGTGGAGAGCCATCAACTGGGGCATGGTGGCCATTGCTGGGTTCGGCTGGGTGATCACTCTCCCTGTGGCAGGTACTGCCGCTGGGCTGCTCTATGCGGTTCTCACTCGTGGCCCCAGCTTCACCTTGCCACCCTCACAGTGATCATAGCTCCTTCCTCGCGCTGCCTTCTCCACCACTCACTGCATAGCTGGTGCCACAGTGGCTGTGGGTTTGTGCAACGGCAAGTGGAGAGCCATTAACTGGGGGATGGTGGCCATTGCTGGCTTTGGCTGGGTGACCCCTCTCCCTGACTCGTGGACCCAGCTTCACCCTGAACCACTGGGTGACTAGGTTTGGCTTTTTGGACCAGAGCTGCTAACTTTGGTCGAGACTTGTTTTGAGTTTGGCCTTGCTGGCCGTGTCTATTACGTTCATTGCCCTAATTTGGCGAGTAAATGTACAGTCCTTGTCATATATGACTACTAACATATCTCAGTATTGTTGACTGCACACAAGGCTAACAAGTTGCAACATTGGCAGGGCCTTCACTATCAAGAGCTAAAACATATGCCTACCATATTGGTGGCTACCAGCACCTGTCTCCTTCATCCAGCCAGCCAGGGCCAGGCCTGAGGCCACCACCACCACCCACTGCATTACTCTACAGACTAAGTATCACTCCTGCCTTCCCCAGTCAGTGCCACGCGGCCACAAACACAGTGGGCGTGCCTCGCCACCTGAGCTCCGCCGACGCTCCAAACCACCGCTCGTCCACCTTCAGTTCAAACCGCCTATCCCGCCCCTCCGTCACCGCCCGCATCGCACTCACCGTGTCCGCATGCAGCGGCTTCGGCCGGAACCCTGCCGCCTCCAACCTCTTCCTCCACTGCTCCAGCCGCTCGGTCCTCAGCCACCGGTGCGTGCCCTCGCAGGCGATGCTGTTCACCATGTCATGCGCTAGAAACGCCTCGCAGGCCTGCCGCGGCGCCGCGGAGTGCGGGAGGTTTGTGTCCAGCGACTCGACGATCGCTGCGAAGTTGCGCGCGGCGTTCTGGAAGCGCGGGAGGAAGAAGGGCCCATTGGCATCCGCGTCGAGATCGACGTGCAGAAAGAGGAGAGGAGAGAGGTCATAAATCCACTTGAGGATGGCGTTTCTGGGGTTTGATCGGAGGACTGAGTCGTCTGGGAAGAGGTGGAGAGACCATTTGCCTAGCACCACTACCTCCTCTCCTTCTTCCACTTCCACCATTGACGGATGGAAATCCTCCGGTGCGGTTTTGACCCCCTGGAAGGTGAAGGGGAGGTCTAGCATCCGAGCTACTTGCTCCAGGTACCGCCCGCCCAGATAGACCATTCCTGACCGTTGAGATGAGAGCTTCACTGTGGAGAAATCGACGGCTGTGATCTTGAGCAGCGGGGTGGGGGGCGATGGGTAGGGTCGCTCCCATCCCCGGGTGCTGGTGCCTGTGTTGGCGTCTCCTGCAGGGGAGGGAGCAGCAGGGGGGCTAGCTGTAGTGCCTCTTGGTGCAGGCGAGAAGGGCGGTGCTGCAGAGGATGCAAGAGAAGTGGGAGGTGCAGTGGTAGGAGCAGATATTCTGGTGGAGGTGGGTGGGGAGCCCAAGGGAGTGGCGGACGAGGCAGGGGAGGGAGAGGAGGACATGCTCGCACCCGCTCTCTGCTCACCCTCACTCCTGCCTTGGCTGCTGCTCCCGGCCTTCCCACTGCTGATGCTGGCTGGGCCCGACGCAGTGCCAGTCTCACTGCCGGCTCTCGTGTCAGTTTCGGAATTGGGCGTGGCCTCACCTGCACCAGCTTCAGCCGCATCAGCAGCAGCAGAAGCAGCCGGAACAGTTCCAGCAGCAGCAGCAGCATGGGCAGGCGGCAGGGCAGTGAGTTGGGAGAAGTGAGCGGAGAGGCGCATGAGGATGTTCACCCACTGGGGCCCAGGGTAGAAACCCAGCGATATGATGTGCAGCCGCCGCCGCCGCACCCGACTCTTCCTGCTCGCCCCTGCACTCCCTGCCTCCTCTTCTGCTGCAGCTGCCTCCCCTACTGCATCCCTTGCTGCTGCTGCGGAAGTTCCTGTAGCTGCTGCTGCTTCTGGTGCTGTTGCTGGTGATGCAGCGGCATTACCGGAAGACTCTATGAAGGCTCGGGTTATCTCTTGCACCTGTGCCGCATAGTTGTACTCCATAAAGGATGGCACGCTATAAGCACTGTCGTGGCCCATCAGCTCCATGATACCCTGGTAACAGCGAGAAAAGGCAAAAAGAAGAAACAGAGCTTCTTGACACTCTGATTCAAAGCCGAACACAGCTGCCAGTGCCAACAGAGCTCACCACTCACACGTGCGCATATCAGCAAACAGCAAGTCTTACCCTAAGCTGTGACGTGCAGAAGGCACTGCACTGGTGGAAAGACAAACTATTATCCCTGAGGAGGGTTACACTCACCTCAGCGGAGCAAGCACGACGGTATTTGAACTGCTGGTGCTGGATGGCGGTGCCGTCGCCAAAACACACGTGGGCAGACACCTCAGTAGAGAGCTGAGGAATGATTACTACCCACCTCGGCGGAGCAAGTGCAGGCGCAATTGACCTGCTGGATGGCGGTGCCGTCAGTGCGAGCCTGCAACGCCTGGAGCACGACTTTGAGTTGACTCAAGAGTCCTCTACAGAGAGTGATAATCACCTCGGCAGAGCAAGCGCGGGCGCAACTGAACTGCTGGATGGCGGTGCCATTGGTGCGAGCCCGCAGCGCCTGCAGCGCGTGGAAGGCGATGCGCTGCAGCGTGTCCCCCCCCGCTGCCGCCTCCCTCCGTACCTGCCGCATGAAGTGCCGCCACCGCACCTGGTGGGCGCAGGGGTTTGGTTGAGAGTGATCCGGGATGAATCAACCAGTGGCAGTGATGCATGAAGTAGTGCGAGCACACCCAGTGGGCTTGTGTCACGTACCGAGTCGTCGGTGGAGAGGCGTGTCGGCTCAGCCCCAGGCTTGTGTCACTTACCGAATCATCGGTGGTGAGGCTTGTGTCACGTACCGAATCGTCGGTGGTGAGGCTTGTGTCACTTACCGAATCATCAGTGGTGAGGCTTGTGTCACTTACCGAATCATCGGTGGTGAGGCTTGTGTCACTTACCGAATCATCGGTGGTGAGGCTTGTGTCACTTACCGAATCATCGGTGGTGAGGCTTGTGTCACTTACCGAATCATCGGTGGTGAGGCTTGTGTCACTTACCAAATCATCGGTGGCGAGGCTTGTGTCACTTACCGAATCGTCGGTGGTGAGGCTTGTGTCACTTACCGAATCATCGGTGGTGAGGCTTGTGTCACTTACCGAATCATCGGTGGTGAGGCTTGTGTCACTTACCGAATCATCGGTGGTGAGGCTTGTGTCACTTACCAAATCATCGGTGGTGAGGCTTGTGTCACGTACCGAATCGTCGGTGGTGAGAGCTTCAGCCAGCGCTGACAGCTGCGACCACAGGTGCCTCTCCTTCCCGCCGTCCACCATGCCAGGAAGCAGCCCAGAAACATCCGGTTTCAGCGGCCGGCTGGGGTTTGCAATGGCGTTTGAAGGTGCTTCGAGGGCACTACTGCCAGCCCTGTTGCGCCTGCCATCGCTACTTTGTGTATTGCTGCTGCTCTGCTTCAGCAGCTGCTGTCGCAGCGGAAGCTGTTGCAGCAACAGCCGTTGGTGCGCCTGCCTTTTAGGCAGAGCCTGCAGCATCTTCTGAAGAAGCTTCCTCTCCTGCCTCCTCTCCTCCTCCTGCTGCCGCTCCGCACTCATCTCCCCTCGCTTGCGCCTCTGCTTCGGCTGATTCGACTGCTCCTGCTGGCCCCACTGCTGCTCCTGCTGCTGCTTCCCCCCGTTCCTCCCACTTCCTTCCAGCAGCACCCCTACCTGCTCCTTCCATCGCTCATAGCCAAAGTCCCTCTGGAAACCAAGGCTGGCACTTGCACCAAAGAACCCGCCTCCAATCGTCCCTCCTGCAGCCGTGCTGCTAGCAAAGCTTGCGCCCCCCCTTGCAGTCACATTCACGTCTCCCATCCCGCCCTCCTGCCCCTCCATAGAAGCATCTTCGCCTCCCTCTGCTGTGCTCCCAGCTTCGGCTGCCTGACCCGCACCGTGCGTACCTGCTGCTACATCCACTACCGGACCTATTCCCGAGCCTATCACCCCTAGGAGCCCCTTCAGTCGTGCTGACAGGTCAGGGGTGCGGCGAGCTTGCGTGGGGAGGGACGCCTTACTCCTGCTAGGCTGCACCTGGGAATTCACCTGAGAATGCGCCTGAGAATGCGCCTGGGAATGCACTCGCACTTGCTTGAAGGGCGATGAGGATGCAGCCGGGTGGTCCCAGTCCCGGCCTCTCACCCCGCCCACCTGGTCTATGGGCAGCGGTACCGGGGTTGGAATGGGGTTGTACGGCCTCGCATCGACACTTGCCTGGGTCACTGCCTGGCTGGATGCCAGCTGCTGCTGCTGCTGCTGCTGCTGCTGCTGCTGCTGCTGCTGCTGCTGCTGCTGCTGCTGCTGCTGCTGCTGCTGCTGCTGCTGCTGCTGCTGCTGCTGATGATGCACTTGTTGCTTTAAATAACGCAGTAAGAGCTGCTCCTGTTGCTTGTGCTCTTGCACTTGCTCTTGCTGGTTCTGCTGCTGGTTCTGCTGCTGGTTCTGCTGCTGCTCCTCCTCCTCCCTCTGTGCCTCCAGCAGCCTCCGCACCTGCTGCACCACTCCGCTGCTGCTCTCCCCCACACCCAGCGCGCTCAGAGCCCTCGTTACTGTCACACTCGTCAACCCCCCCAGCGACGCCGCAAGCCCCCCCTTCTCCTGCTGCTGCTGCGTTTCACGCTCTTGCTCGTACTGTGCCCCATGCACTTGTTGTTGCTGCTGCTGCTGCTGCTGCTGCTGCTGCTGCTGCTGTTGCTGTTGCTGCTGCTCCATGTCCTCGATCATCTGTAGCAACGCCTGTCCACGGTGATTGCCCTCGCTTGGCCCATTGCTACTCTCCATATTCCGCTCCCGCCCTCGTTGCTCCTCCTCTCTTTCCACCGCAGCAGCACAACCTGTGGGATCCACAATATCACCAACACCAGAATCAACTCCGTCAGCAGCACCATCAGCAAGTTGACTTTTGAGTCGACTCAAAAGTTCCACCGCAGCAGCACAACCTGTGGGATCCACACCATCACCAACACCAGAGTCAACTCCGTCAGCAGCACCATCAGCATCGGCGGCAGCATCACCGCCATCATCAGCATCACCAGCAGCAGTTTCCTGCAAGAGGGCCACAGACGCACAGGGCAACGCTCCTTCTCCAACCCCTGATGCCCTCGCCGCAGCTGCACCCCCCTCGTCCGCCCACCCTCCCCGCCTCCCTCCCAGCGCAGCAGGCGCAGTGGCGAGGAACAGCTGCTGCGCCGCTGCCTCAAACGTCATCGCCTCTCCTGCCCCCGCTGACACCACACCCGCCCCTCCTGACGTCCCCGCACCCATGGTCGCTGCAGCAGAGCTTCCGCCAGCAATCTCGCCACTACATGCCCCGCCAGCACTCCCGCCAGTACCCGCTCCGCCAGCACTCCCGCCAGTACTCGTTCCGCCAGAAATGCCCTGGGGCGCAGGCGGCGGCGCGGGGAGGGGAATAGGCGGAGAGCCTCGTGGAAGAAAAGTGGCAGGAGTGGGCGGCACGGGGGCCGGGGGAAGGGATGGGGAAAATGGGGCGGAAGGATTTCTGATGATATTTTGGGGCAGAGGGTGGTAGGAGAGGCGGTGGGGGAATTGCAAGGGGGGGCCTCCAGGGCCTGTGCCCGTCGCATTCATGTCTTGCATCGCTATCCACTCCAACAGAAGCCTCGTTACTGCAGCATCCGATACGGTGCCATCCACTTGAGCTGCTCCGGTTGCCATGTCTGCTGCTGCTGCTGCTGCTGCTGCGGCTGCTGGCGCAGCTGCTGCTGCTCCTCCTGCTCCTGCTCCTCCCGAGCGATCCTGTCCGTCCATTCCCAGCATGACATCGAACGGATGCAGAGCGACGCTGCCGCTGCTGCCACCATTGCCACCACCACCACCACCAAGCATAGCAGCAGCAGGACGATTGAAGGTAGCGTCGTTGTTCGCTGGAAGCACAGCTGCCTGCGAGCCACTGCCACCGCCACCGCCACCATGCAGACCGGCAGTAACACGACCGTTAGCACCGCCGTTTGTCGCTGTGGGGAGAACAACTGCCTGCGCGAGACTGCTACCTTCCGTCCCCGCGAGGCTATTAGTGCGCTGCTGCTGCAGCAGCAGCATCGTCAGTAGCAACTCCGCGTTGATATACTCCGCTGATGGCGGCACCATGACCGCTTCAGACCCTAGACTGCTGTTATCGCGAAGTCCTGTGCTTGCAGTGCCTGCCGTGGCCGTGAGGGGAGGCGCAGCTTCCGCCAGCGCGGCTGTTGGTTCCGTCGTTTGCGCCACGCCCGCCGCGCCCGCGGCTGCCAGCGCAAAAGCTTCCGCCACGGTTGCGACGGGCTTCGGCGAAAGAACCGCACTCGGTGCTGCGGCGGGGACTTCTGCGGGCGCGCGCCATCCAATTGCCGGAGACGCGCCCGCGCCGGGCGCGGAGGCTTGCGCGGAAGCAGTTTGCGCGGATGGTACAGGTGCGCGGAGTTCTTGCGCGGAGCAGGGGATTCTCACCGCGGGTTCCGCCAACAGCGCAGCCATTGCGGCGTCGAACTCCAAATCCATCTCGCAGGGCTGCTGCGGACCGTCCAGATTGTTCCCAGGCCACGACCAGCCGTCGATTCTTTGAAAAGATGGGTCGAATTCGTCAAGCGACGTTTGCGGAAGAACGGGCGGCTGCAGCAGGTCCATTAGATTCGCACTAAGCTGGTCGCACGGCTGCTGCAAAAAATCGCCGCACGGCTGCTGCGAAAAGTCGTCGCACAACGCTGCGAAGCTAAGGTCGTCCATGGTTCAGTGCGGCTTACGTGCGTGACAAGGGCGAAAGAACGACCATATACAGCGTAGCGTAGGAGCAGAAGAGGATGAGGGATAGCCTACCACACTGTGATATCGAAGCTAAGCAATGTATCGCACGGCTCGCAAGGACAAAGAAGACTGTGGTAGGTACAGAAAGAAATGAGGAGAGGTGACGGTGAACAGCGCTTCGAAAGAGCCACTGGTTCCAAGATTTGCGAGCGAGCGGAAATGGGGCCACAACAAGAACGGTCTGCAATGACTGTGTGACGCCACCACAAAACAAGAATGCCTCGCCTTCCATCACATCACATGCTAGTTGCGAGCTGCGACAGTAGAGGTGTGTGGGTCGGGTTGGTGGGAGGAGGGACGAGATGAGATGTCGGTGCGAGGGCGCGTTCCGTGTTCTCGTATCCGATTTTCGGGCGGGCAGGCAGACCCTCCTAAGCTGAAGGATGAGAGAGGCTTCGGTAGCCTGGGTCCAGATTCCCACGCAGGAAGTCAGGAACATTCAATACAGCTTGAGAGGTCCCGAAAGTGTGAGAACGCATCCTCGCCAGTGTACTTTTGCTCAGGAGTCGTCGTCGTTGCTATAGGGTTCACGGTTCTCTTGAATGAAATGTAGGGCTCTGGTGATACCTTATTGTTTCTTTGCCTGGAAGAAATTGACTGGTGTACACACACTGCTTCGGTACAGAGCTGTGCACTCCGCTCCGCGCAGCCCAGTGCGCTTCGCCCCGCGCGCCATCCCTGCACAGAAGCGCACAACTTTCTTCACCAATCAGCTCGCGATCCTTCTGCACCCCATTCACCGCCCCGCGCGCCGTTCCTGCACGCCATCCCCCGTGTGGTTTTTGCGGGAAACCGGCGCAAGTAGTCGCACCAATCGCATCGCATGATGCTTCACTGTTGGGCCAACTTTCATCACCAATCAGCTCGACGAAGTTTTCTGCTTGTGCGAAAAGTGTGAAACCTGGATTTCTCAGAACTTCGCGGAATTCGCCAAACAGCGCAACTGCATTCCATCCATCCTCAAACCCTAGCTCCCATGGCATTGTCGTCCTGACCTGACACAGCCACTCCAAACATTCAACTCTCACTGACACCCGCTGTGCCTCATTAGCCTCTCTCTCACTAGATTCCAAGACCTCACCGCCAATATTCAATCAAGGTGGTGCCCTCCTAGGTGATACCTTAGAAGCCGCTCGCGCCAATTTCAACGGTCGCTCTGCTTGAAACCGTGTCGACTACGTGTGGGAATGGTTCGTCGGCGATGCATTTGTCTCTTAATCCGTGGTTAGCCACGCATCTATAAAGCAACAGTTCATCCTCTCGCATTCCAACCTTCAAGCTTCTCTAGTGCAACGCAAATTCTCTCCGTTGTGCTCTTCAGCCTCCCCGACTTCAACCTCTGTCCGCGTAACTCGTCTTCTCGTTCAAGGATGGAACCTCCGTCGGTTCAAAGTGCGACCTGCTTGCGCTGTCCGAGCTTCACGACCTTCAGCTTATGTCGTTGCAAGTCGGAAGCTGTTGGAGACCCACAAGCTGCTTGAGCGTCCCAATTTCTCAAGGTAGATATAAGCTTCATTTTTCTTAATTTCGTGTATAGTACCGAGCTCAATGATTTCGTGGCTTCACAACATTACTCGTACTGATCCAGATTACGTTTTCATTGTGCAGTGAGCCATGATGAAGACGGTCGTCAACTTGCAGCATTCATCGCGACGGTGACAATGCGACCGTCCAGCCTTCTTCGCTTTCAAGTGCATGGAATTCCGCCATCCTGAGTTCTTCACCGGCCTGCTGTTGAAGTTTCCAGCTAAGTGCTCCTTCCACTACTATAATGTTTTTCCTTTTCCGTTTTCAATTTCGTTCGTGCTGTTTGTTTGTTTTCCAACCAAAGCGCCGCCGTAAAGCTCCCTGTCTCCTCCCCTAGGTCTGGTTAGTCTCTCTAGGTCGGTCTAGCGTCAGCGTCGCTAAGTCAATCATAGCTGCGTCGGTCTGTCTGAGCTCTGCGGTGTTGTTGCTTTGGCTGGAAAACATTCCCCCTTCCCCCACGTTACTTCGTCGCTTTTGTCGTTTTATGGCGTCTTCTTGCTACTTCAACTGACTTCTTTTTTTGTTCCTGGCAGGTACTCCTCTGTTGCTTCTAATTAACTGGGAGCAAACCAGGCAACACGGCTGGCGTTCAACAATACAAGGCTATGTGGATGAGCTCGAAGGCAACGCTGGGAGGCAAGACAATAAGACAACCTCCAAGCCAAGACTTTCAAGACAACTACCAAGTGAAGGCTTCGACCAAGACTTGACATGCAAACCCTCGTGCAGATAAGTGTCGTTTCCCTCTTGGTTCCGCTCAACTCCATTTCTACTCATCTTTGTCATGCTTTTTCATGCGCATCATGCTTGAGTGCTTACCACAATTGCTGCATGAACCATCCCCCTTAGAAGGTACAGGTTTGTTTTTAAAGGTACCCTTTTCTGGTGAGTCCCTAGGTTCTCTTCTGGTATTTTTTTGGTACTTGGTTCTTGTGGCTGTGGTGGTGAGCGCTTTTGCTGCATGCATCTGCATCCATACATACCATTCATCATGCAAATGCTTGCCTTTCTCGTCTGGACCTTCCAGTGCCACTTGTACTTACCCCCCCTCCTCCCTCCTTTGATTGGCAGAGGCTCGTCAACTTCATCAACCGCATCGAATCTGCAAGGCGCTTCAACACTTCCAGTCAACGTTGAAGTCGTGAAGCAAACACTTGGATTGGAGCCAACATCAAGACTTCTTCCACTCGTGTTTGAGCTCTGAGGCCAACTCTGCTCAACCCCTCAAGACTTTATGAAAAGCTAAGTACCGCTCTCCTCTTGTTTTCTGTCATGTTTCTGCTATTTCATTTCAAGCCATGAATCACATTTTCTCCTTACATTGCATGGCGTTTATGCTTGAGCGCTCACTATTACCACCATCAGAGCTATTCCCCCTTTTTTGGTAAGGTATTTCAGGTCTCTTAAGGTTTTTTTTTGTATTATGGTTCTTGTGGTGGTCATGGTGAACGCTCTTGCATTCATGCTGCTGCATTTCTCATCCAACATGCTCACACACATGACTTGCTCCTCTGGACATTCTAGTGACACTTGTACTCATTCACTCCTTCTTCTCCTCCCTTGATTCGCTTTGCAGATTCCTCATCATTCAAGGCCTTCAATGGACGCCAACCTCTCAGGATGGTCAACACTTAGAGATCTCAAGATTTCAAGATTTCATATCCCAAGATTTCAAGACTTCATATCCCAAGATCGCAGGCCCCCAAGGTATGGCCTCAATCCTTTGGCAAATTAAGTTTTTGGGACATTAACTAACTTTTTGCTTTCTTCCCGCAGGTCCGGCTACATGTCAACGTACACTCAAGGTGCTCAACAGTCACTTACACTCAGCAGTCAAACATCTGAAGTTCCTCAACGTAAGTTTTCTATCATATTATCATTTGGATTTTTATACTTGCTGCATCCTTGCACTTTCTGGTTGAAAGCTGACCTTCGTTTTGTCCTCTTGCAGGAAACCTGGATGTGAATGCAAGAGGCATCTTCCATGAAGCGATGGCTTAATAAGGCATGATGCGGATTAAGGCCCTTAAGGTAAGGCTTCAATCTCTTGGCAGCTTAAGTTCGTGACACATTTTACTAACATTTCCGTTTTCATCCTGCAGGTTCTTCAACATGGGAGAGTTTCAACAGACATCACTACTCGACATGCGCAACGCTCAGTGACGTCCAGTACTCAAGGATCTGAAGTCTCTCGAGGTACTGTTTTTATCCTTTTAGCACTTGAAGTCAATGCTTTCTTCGTTCTTGCATGCTCTGGCTGAGGACTGACTTATCTTTTTGTCCTCCTGCAGGGAACCTGGAGGCAGCAGCCTGTGGCATTGCAAGTGGCATGGTGCTGAGGGACCCTTGGAGTTGTCTAAAGACTCGGATCCGGGCCATACAGGCTGATTCTGTTGGTACAGAGCTGACTGCAACAGTTCTGTTTCAGCAAATTCAGTCTATGAGAATGGGTCCCCGCATGCCTTGGGTTTAGCGACTTCAAGGTGCTCAACAGTCACTTTCATTCAGCGGCCAAGCATCTGAAGTTTCTCAGTGTAAGTTTCCAATTGTCTTAAGCATTTAACTTCAATACTTGCTCCAATCTTGCATATTCTGGCTGGAAACTGACCTTCGTTTTGTCCTCTTGCAGGTAACCTGGAGGCAGATGCAAGAGGCATCTGGCATGAAATTATGGCCTAAGGCATGAGGCGAATCAAGGCCCTTAAGGTAAGGCTTGGCAGCTTAATTTTCTGACACATTGACTAACATTTCCGTTTTCATCCTGCAGGTTCTTCAACATGGGAGAGTTTCAACAGACCTCACAACTCAAGATGCTCAACAACCACTGACGTCCAGTACCCAAGGATCTGAAGTTTCTCAAGGTAATTTTTTTTATTCTTTTAGCAGCTTAACTTTGTGACACATTGACTAACATTTTTGTTTCCATCCTGCAGGTTTTCTCAACATGGGAGTTTCAACAGACCTTACAACTCAAGATGCTCAACAACCACTGACGTCCAGTACTCAAGGATCTGAAGTCTCTCAAGGTAATGTTTATATCCTTTTAGCAGCTTAACTTTGTGCCACATTGACTAACATTTCCGTTTTCATCCTGCAGGTTTCTTCAACATGGGGGAGTTTTAACAGACGTCACAACTGAAGATGCTCAATGATCATTGACGTCCAGTACTCGAGGATCTGAAGTCTCTCAAGGTATTGTTTTAATCCTTATAGCACTTGAATTCAACGCTTTCTACGCTCTTGGATGCTCTGTCTGAGAACTGACTAACTTTTTGTCCTCCTGCAGGTGACCTGGAGGTGGCGACCTGTGGCATGGCAAATGGCATGAAGGCATGAGAAGGCATGGTGCTGAGGGACCCTTGGGGTTGTCTAAAGACTCGGATCCGGGCCATACAGGCTGATTCTGTTGGTACAGAGCTGACTGCAGCAGCTCTGTATCGGCAGATTCAGTCTGTGAGAATGGGCTCCCGCATGCCTTGGGTTTAGCGACCTCCAAGGGTAGACCAGTCCTCCCTGTGGTGGGGGAGGATGGCCATGCCTCAGCAGCCTGCCACTATGCCTTCAGCAGCCTGTCGCCATGCCTTCAGCAGCCATTATCTTCAGGCCAAGACAGTTTTATCCATGTGAGTCGCTTTGGTTGCTCTAGAGTTACTGCTTACATCTGCCTGAATACTAACACTTTCTTTTGTGCTCTGCAGGTACCTTATTATATGCTTTGATGATATGCCTTAGCAGCAGCCATAGTGGCATCTCTCCTACCGAGTAGCAGCAACATACTCTAGGACATGAAGATGTTCTGTAACATGCTATGTTTACTGAACTCTTGAATGTATACAGTACTTGTGCATATTTCACTTGAAAGCTGAAAGATAGAGTTGACCTTGTACGGCAACTGTCAGCCAATGTGTTTGTACCGTACAACTGTACACTTTATGACAAACTTGCTTCTCACCCAGGCACCCTTTTCCGCTGACCATGACACTTCGTTTATGATGGTTCCACCAATTCTTTCTTATTGGTAAAAACAAATTTTCCTGTATGGAGCTAAGGATGTGAAGCTGACGTGTTCAAAGAATGTGAATTGCAGATAATAATGCTTAGTAAGCACCTTTCAAATGTGTAGTGTAGGGCATCTCCTTTCGAATTTAGCATCAATTTTGTTTGTTCCTCCTCTCTGCCTCGTACAGCTTAGCTGCCACCACAGGCCCGGCGTTATCCACCATACTAGCAAACACCGACCCCCCTTTTCCACTTCTAACACCACGCTCGTTCAACCCCTGGCGCAACAAATTCGCCGGGGTATCAAACTCTGCAACCCTACCTCCAGGCGCAAGCACCAACACCCTGTCTGCATCAATAACGGTATCGATGCGATGCGCTATAGTGAGCACTGTAGCTCGCATGCCTGCAGCACCGAACTGCTCGCGCACTGTAGCTTGGACGAGCGCGTCGGTTTCCCCATCAACGGCTGCGGTTGCTTCATCCAGCACCACCACTCGGGACTGCCGCAGCAAGGCGCGTGCGAGACAGAGAAGCTGCCTCTGCCCCACACTGAAATTCTCCCCGTTTTCAGACACGTCCATGTCAAGAGTCACTGGACGCAGCCTTGTGGTGGGAGCTGACTCAGCGTGAGACGGGGATTCCCTGAGCAGCGTAATCGAATCATAAACACACCCATTCCCGTCTCTTGCACTGTTGCTACTCTTGTCCTCCAATTCTGCTTCACCAGTGCTGAGAGCGGGAGGAGGAGTTGGTGGCGGTGCTGAGGGGTTGGAATGCGAGGTGGCAGGAGAGAGATGGGCGCGCCTGAGAGCATCCAGCATATCAGCATCGGAGTAGTGCCCAAAGGGGTCCAGATTCTGCCGCACACTGCCCTGGAAGAGCACCGGGTCCTGGTGGGTAAGTGAGAGAGGGAGGAGAGATTGAGAGTTCACGAGGCAGAGGGAGTGCAATGCATGGAGGCCGAACGAGCAGAGAGTGGAAGGAACGACAAAGCAGGTTACAGCATACGAGTTCGTATACCTGGGGAATGATGGAGAGGCGCTGCCGGAGGTCATCCAGCCCCACGCCTGTGAGATTCAGGCCGTCGATGCTGACGTGGCCTCGGCTGCGGCTGTTCTCCACCAATCGGAAGAGCACCGCTGCCAGGCTGGATTTGCCCGACCCCGTTCGCCCCAGAATGCCGACCATCTCACTGCCCATCACCTGGCAGGATGAGGTTGGCCGGATGCAACGCGGAGAGGGTATTGTGTGAGAGTGAAGAGGATGAGCGGGAGAGATGAGAGGAGCGAGGAAGACGGGCGAAACCTGGGGAGTGAGGAATCAGTCAAGTACTCACAGTGAAGGTGAGGTCATTGAGTGCATAAGGCAGGTCCTCTCGATAAGCCATGTACACGTGGCAGAACTCGACTCGCCCCTTGTCCGGCCAGGCGGGCGGCAGCGTGCCAGGTGGCGAGAGGTGATTGGCCTCGGAGGGCAGCTGCATGAAGGCATGGATGCGCTCCACAGAGGTGAAGTAATTCTCACTCTCTGCTGCTTGTCTGATCGCATACTGGAACAGGCCGGTAAGTTGCAGGGACTGCACCAGAATCACCCCTGTTGGAGGGGAAGGAGTGGAAGCAGGGGGAGTGGAGGGGGGCAGCTGCATGAAGGCGTGGATGCGCTCCACTGAGGTGAAGTAGTTCTCACTCTCTGCTGATTGCCGGATGGCGTACTGGAAGAGGCCTGTCAGCTGCAGGCTCTGGACGAGGATGACACCTGAGGGGTGGAAGGAATGAAGGGAGAAGGGATGGAGGGTCAAGGGCGAAAGAAGGGAGAGAACATGTTATTTGCAAGGTTTCAGAGCTGTCTGCCGCCTGCCGCATGGCGTACTGGAAGAGGCCTGTCAGCTGCAGGCTTTGCACCAGAATCACACGTTTGGGGGAGGAGAGGAGGAGGGGAAAGGAGGGGGAAGGCACGTGAGGGTTCGAGGAGCTCTAATATTTTATCCTGCCTCAAGTATGGCGTATTCGGAGAGGTGTGCCAGCTGCAAGGCTCTGCACCAGAGAATCACCGCTGCATGTGCGACAAAGAGGGGGGTGGTGGTTTGCACAAGTCAATGCTCTTGCCCATTCCCACATGCCTTGCATGCCTCTGAACCTCTATGCACGCCTTGATGTTCAAAACTGAGCCTCCATACTCAGTACTCTGTATGAATACACCCCACTGCCCACTGCCCACTACCCACAGCCACTGCCCGTCACCCACTGCCCCCCCACCACTGCCCATTACCCACTGCCCACTGCATGTTACAACGACTACTGTTCAAGCCACCACTCACCAGCATACCCGGCCGGCAGGGAGCCGTGCAGAACGACCACTAGGATGGCGACAAGTGTCACGAGCGCAGAGGCACAGAGGTCTAGCCGAATCCCGAGCCACCGGCCGGCGTGCACGAACTGTATGTAGGCGCGGTGGTTGGCGTCTATCAGTGCGATGAAGTGCTGCAGGAAGGCGGGGGCAGCTCCGTATGCTCGCACTGAATGTGAAGCTGACGTGTTCAAAGAATGTGAATTGCAGATAATAATGCTTAGTAAGCACCTTTCAAATGTGTAGGGCATCTCCTTTCGAATTTAGCATCAATTTTGTTTGTTCCTCCTCTCTGCATCCATGGCTGCCTCGTACAGCTTAGCTGCCACCACAGGCCCGGCGTTATCCACCATACTAGCAAACACCGACCCCCCTTTTCCACTTCTAACACCACGCTCGTTCAACCCCTGGCGCAACAAATTCGCCGGGGTATCAAACTCTGCAACCCTACCTCCAGGCGCAAGCACCAACACTCTGTCTGCATCAATAACGGTATCGATGCGATGCGCTATAGTGAGCACTGTAGCTCGCATGCCTGCAGCACCGAACTGCTCGCGCACTGTAGCTTGGACGAGTGCGTCGGTTTCCCCATCAACAGCTGCGGTTGCTTCATCCAGCACCACCACTCGGGACTGCCGCAGCAAGGCGCGTGCGAGACAGAGAAGCTGCCTCTGCCCCACACTGAAATTCTCCCCGTTTTCAGACACGTCCATGTCAAGAGTCACTGGACGCAGCCTTGTGGTGGGAGCTGACTCAGCGTGAGACGGGGATTCCCTGAGCAGCGTAATCGAATCATAAACACACCCATTCCCGTCTCTTGCACTGTTGCTACTCTTGTCCTCCAATTCTGCTTCACCAGTGCTGAGAGCGGGAGGAGGAGTTGGTGGCGGTGCTGAGGGGTTGGAATGCGAGGTGGCAGGAGAGAGATGGGCGCGCCTGAGAGCATCCAGCATATCAGCATCGGAGTAGTGCCCAAAGGGGTCCAGATTCTGCCGCACACTGCCCTGGAAGAGCACCGGGTCCTGGGGGGATTAGGGAGGAGAGGAGGAATGTTTATCAGGCGGCTAGAAAGTGCAGAGAGGGCAGAGAGGGCGTCGTGCATGTGGGCATCGGAGTAGTGCCCAAAGGGGTCCAGATTCTGCCGCACACTGCCCTGGAAGAGCACCGGGTCCTGGGGGGTAAGTGAGAGAGGGAGGAGAGATTGAGAGTTCACGAGGCAGAGGGAGTGCAATGCATGGAGGCCGAACGAGCAGAGAGTGGAAGGAACGACAAAGCAGGTTACAGCATACGAGTTCGTATACCTGGGGAATGATGGAGAGGCGCTGCCGGAGGTCATCCAGCCCCACGCCTGTGAGATTCAGGCCGTCGATGCTGACGTGGCCTCGGCTGCGGCTGTTCTCCACCAATCGGAAGAGCACCGCTGCCAGGCTGGATTTGCCCGACCCCGTTCGCCCCAGAATGCCGACCATCTCACCGCCCATCACCTGGCAGGATGAGGTTGGCCGGATGCAACGCGGAGAGGGTATTGTGTGAGAGTGAAGAGGATGAGCGGGAGAGATGAGAGGAGCGAGGAAGACGGGCGAAACCTGGGGAGTGAGGAATCAGTCAAGTACTCACAGTGAAGGTGAGGTCATTGAGTGCATAAGGCAGGTCCTCTCGATAAGCCATGTACACGTGGCAGAACTCGACTCGCCCCTTGTCCGGCCAGGCGGGCGGCAGCGTGCCAGGTGGCGAGAGGTGATTGGCCTCGGAGGGCAGCTGCATGAAGGCATGGATGCGCTCCACAGAGGTGAAGTAATTCTCACTCTCTGCTGCTTGTCTGATCGCATACTGGAACAGGCCGGTAAGTTGCAGGGACTGCACCAGAATCACCCCTGTTGGAGGGGAAGGAGTGGAAGCAGGGGGAGTGGAGGGGGGCAGCTGCATGAAGGCGTGGATGCGCTCCACTGAGGTGAAGTAGTTCTCACTCTCTGCTGATTGCCGGATGGCGTACTGGAAGAGGCCTGTCAGCTGCAGGCTCTGGACGAGGATGACACCTGAGGGGTGGAAGGAATGAAGGGAGAAGGGATGGAGGGTCAAGGGCGAAAGAAGGGAGAGAACATGTTATTTGCAAGGTTTCAGAGCTGTCTGCCGCCTGCCGCATGGCGTACTGGAAGAGGCCTGTCAGCTGCAGGCTTTGCACCAGAATCACACGTTTGGGGGAGGAGAGGAGGAGGGGAAAGGAGGGGGAATGCACGTGAGGGTTCGAGGAGCTCTAATATTTTATCCTGCCTCAAGTATGGCGTATTCGGAGAGGTGTGCCAGCTGCAAGGCTCTGCACCAGAGAATCACCGCTGCATGTGCGACAAAGAGGGGGGTGGTGGTTTGCACAAGTCAATGCTCTTGCCCATTCCCACATGCCTTGCATGCCTCTGAACCTCTATGCACGCCTTGATGTTCAAAACTGAGCCTCCATACTCAGTACTCTGTATGAATACACCCCACTGCCCACTGCCCACTACCCACAGCCACTGCCCGTCACCCACTGCCCCCCCACCACTGCCCATTACCCACTGCCCACTGCATGTTACAACGACTACTGTTCAAGCCACCACTCACCAGCATACCCGGCCGGCAGGGAGCCGTGCAGAACGACCACTAGGATGGCGACAAGTGTCACGAGCGCAGAGGCACAGAGGTCTAGCCGAATCCCGAGCCACCGGCCGGCGTGCACGAACTGTATGTAGGCGCGGTGGTTGGCGTCTATCAGTGCGATGAAGTGCTGCAGGAAGGCGGGGGCTGCTCCGTATGCTCGCACTGACACCACTCCCTGTGTGTGGGGTTGGTGTGAGAGGGAGAAGGAGAGATATAGATATTCGAAAGAGAGAGAAAAGGGGCGTGCACGAAAGGCATGTGAACTGCTGCAGGAAGGCTCCGCATGCTTGCAGTCTCTCAGTAATGTTCTAGTCACCTGAGGGCTATGACTCAATAGACACCACCCACCTGCAGGCTCTGTGCAAAGTGAGCATAGATGGGCGAGCGCGAGAGGCCGTCAAAGCGCTTGAGCTCGCGGGAGACCCGCAGATGGCGGCCTACCACACACATGAAGGTTACAGCCCAGCCAGCACACCCCACCCACCTGCAGGCTCTGAGCGAAGTGCGCATAGATGGGCGAGCGCGAGACACGCAGATAGCGGCCTACAATCCAGCACCACACCACCTGCCTGCAGGTTACAACCCGACACACACCACACACCTGCAGGCTCTGAGCAAAGTGAGCGTAGATGGGCGAGCGCGAGAGGCCGTCGATGCGCTTGAGCTCGCGGGAGACGCGCAGATAGCGGCCTACAATCCAGCACCACACCACCTGCCTAGATGCTACAACCACCACCCACCTGCAGGCTCTGAGCGAAGTGTGCATAGATGGGCGAGCGCGAGAGGCCGTCAATGCGCTTAAGCTCGCGGGAGACACGCAGATAGCGGCCTACCACACACATGCAGTTACTTACAGCCAAGCAGGCACCCACCTGCAGGCGTTGAGCGAAGTGAGCATAGATGGGCGAGCGCGAGAGGCTGTCGATGCGCTTGAGTTTGTGGGAGACACGCAGATAGCGGCCTAGCACACACATGCAGTTACTTACAGCCAAGCAGGCACCCACCTGCAGGCGTTGAGCGAAGTGAGCATAGATGGGCGAGCGCGAGAGGCTGTCGATGCGCTTGAGTTTGTGGGAGACACGCAGATAGCGGCCTAGCACACACATGCAGTTACTTACAGCCAAGCAGGCACCCACCTGCAGGCGTTGAGCGAAGTGAGCATAGATGGGCGAGCGCGAGAGGCTGTCGATGCGCTTGAGCTCGCGGGAGACGCGCAGATAGCGGCCTACAATCCAGCAGCACACCACCTGCCTGGATGCTACAACCACCACCCACCTGCAGGCTCTGAGCGAAGTGTGCGTAGATGGGCGAGCGCGAGAGGCCATCAATACGCTTGAGCTCGCGGGAGACACGCAGATAGCGGCGCTGCAGCAGCGCGAAGATCACCAGCAGCGGCGGCAGCGCCAGGAGGAACCACGGTACCAGCACTGCCGTGACTGCTATGGCCCCCGCGCACCCCAGAAATAGCTCCATGGTTTGCTGAATAAGGGGTTGAAGAGGGTGGAGGGAAAATAGGAAAGAATTGGCGGAAAAGCATGAAGCAGGCAATAATTTGTTACAGCTACAAAAGTGTCGAGATTGCTGGCAGGGCAGGTGGGATAGGAGAGGAGTGGTTGGGAGAGGGAGAGCAGTGGGTGGCAGTGGCAGAGCGCGTGGTGAATACCTGAACGGTGGTTGGGAGGAGATCGTCCACGAGAGACTGGTCCTTGCTGAATCGGTTGAGGATTCGGCCCACTGGGTTCTGCCAGGACGAAGGGAACACGCACACGCAGGGACGACTTTGAGTCGATTATCAACCGTAGTGGGTTCTGACAGGATGAACGGGACACACAGGGAGAGGGAGTTGGGGGTGGGAGAAGAGTTGAGAGGGGGCGTTATGGATCATCACCAAAGTAAAGTCGACTCAAATCACCATATTAATGCATAGACTTACGTGCAAGGGATGGGGAAATGGAACTTTCGGACATCATATTGTGTTGCGCTCGCTGCCCACCTGGTCGAAGAACAGTAGTGGGGAGCGCAGCACGTGCACGGCCATGAGGTGGTGCATGTGGCGCGCTGCAGCGAGGGCCGCATGGGTGAACCAGAAGGCCCGCAGCAGCGACAGCACGATGGCTCCCGCTGTCAGCACCGCATATATGCCCACGTACAGGCCTGGTGGGGGTGCGAGGGGAGGGGTGCGGAGATAACTGCTGCAACGGGAGCTAGGCTACGGGCTAGGCACGTGTGCTCGTGTGATCTCTGCGTTCGTTCACTTAGTCGTTTCCTTGTGTTCACGCTGCTTGCTAGTTCACGGGGAGAATTGGCAAGAGTTTCACTAGGAAAACATGACAATAATGGTTGCAACAACATTGGCATCACAGACTACATCAGTGCTAGCTAGGCTGCTGGTCGACCTCCAGCGCAGCACGGTCGACCGCGCTCCAGCGCAGCAGCGCTCGCACCGCTCCAGCGTTGCAGAGTAGCGGTTCGCCAACGTTGCAAGTCCACGGTGTGCCAGCGCTGCAGCAAGTCGGCTGCACAGCGTTGCACCCGCAGGACAACGGTGCACCTGCTTCGCAGGTGCGCGCAGCTGGTTGGCGCTCCACACCTTGTCACGAGCACAGCGCAGACGCCTGGCAGACTCCACGCCAGCGACTGCGCCCACCAGCCACGTCGACCTCGGGATACCACCCCCGAGGTCGGCCTCGCAGACTCCACCCTGGCGACACTCGCACACGTCGCCCGGGTATTCCGGTCGACCGGGCAACCACGCCTGGCCGACCAGCGCAGTCCGTAGCCGGCCACGCATGCCCGGCGTCCCCAGTCCGCCATCCAGGCGCCCAGGACGCCTTCCGAACCCCCAGGTCGGCGTCCAGACGCCCAGGACGCCGAGCAAACCTCCAGAGCGGCGTCCCTCCTCCCAGGACGCCGACCAGACGCCCAGGTCGGTGTCTGGGCCCCCCGGGACGCCCAGGTCGGCGTCCGGACCCCCAGGACGCCGTGCAGACGCCTAGGTCGGCGTCTGGCCTTCCAGAACGCCGTGCAGGCGCCCACGACGTCGACCAGGCGCCCGGGTAGTCGTGGCGACGCCCAGCTCGGCGTCCAGCTTCCCAGGACGCCGTCCAGGCGTCCGGGACGCCAACCAGGCGTCCAGGGCGGCGTCCTCCTGCTCGGCGCCCTCCAGCCAGGCGCCCTCCAGCTTGGCGCCCTTGCAGTGGCCACCGTGCCCACTGCTGCAGGTCGGCTGCAACCCCCGCACATCCGACCACAAGGTTGGCTCCGCCCAAGCGAGGACGGGGCCTTACAACACTCCCGTTGACAAGGGGTTTGGGGAGGGTAGAGTGGATAGTGAGTAGGCAGCACGATGGCACGCACTGTCAGCACCGCATATATGCCCACGTACAGGCTTGGAGGGGGGGAGCGAGGGTGTGAGTTGAGGGAGGGTGGCTTGTTAGTGGGTTTCAAACAGCCATCTGAACCGGAAGCCACCATAACTTGAACGCACCTTAGGAGAGGGAGTACTTGTCGTCGATTCCACCCTGAAATCCACCTGAAACGCACCTCAGGAGAGGGATTGCTTGCAGTCGATTCCACCTGTAACCCACCTCAAATCCACCTGAAACGCACCTGAGGAGAGCGAGTACTTGTGGTCGACCCAGACGCCTAGCCAGTAATCCACGAGGGTGCGAACGGTCTGTGCCACCATGAAGGCCAGCAGCAGCCCAGCAAAGAGCACGAATCTGGGATGGGCGAGGGGCAAGTTATGAGGATGAAAAATGGACGAGGTCCCACTGTTGAAACTCCCTCCGGAACTCCCGCTGCACCTCTACTGCGGGAGTTGCAGAGGGAGTTTCGGTAGAGGTGGAGGGCGACAGGCGATGCAATGGAATCGAACAGTGTCGCAGAGAGCAGTGCTCACAGTCAGTGAGCAACAAGGGAAGGGATGAAAAGCGCATCAAGAAGGGGAGAAGGAATGTTAGAGAGGGGTACAGCGCTCACCCTCCTCCGGCCTTGATGTAAGCACAGTAGGTGGCGCGAGTGACCTGCCCCTCCACTCTGTCCTCCTTTATAGTCACGCGCCCCATGCTCCTCTGCCCCCACTGCGCCCGCTTCTCCCTCTGCCCATCTGTCAACTTCACTGACTGCTCCCTTCCATCCCCCTCCCCAGGCACTGCCCCATTCTCTCCCCCACACGCCCCATCAGTCACCCCGTTATGCCCATGATCCGCCCCATCAGTCACCCCATCGGCCATCCCATCAGCAACCCCATTCTCTGCATTCTCCCCTTCCCTCACGGCACCATCCTGCACCACCACTTCCTCTCCTCGCGTCTCCGCCTCCTCTACCCCTCTCCCATCCACCGCCACTGCCTCTTGCCCTTCACGTGCCCCGCCCTCCCTGCTCTTGCCTGCACCTCCTGCTCCCCACCCCTCTCCATTCTCCCCTCCCCCTTGAACCACCTCCCTGCCCGCCACCTCCCCCAACACCTCCCCTCCTCCTTGCCCACCCCCAACTCGATCCTCCCCCATGCTTTTCCCAGCCAAACCTTCCAACCCCTCCCCGCTCTCCCACCCTCCCCGCCCCTCATATCTAGCCGAGGGCACCGCTTCCACAGCGGCAGCAGCAGCTGCCGCCATGGCTTCAACACTCCTCACTCGTTTCATCTCCCTCCCGCTAATCGCCCCCACCTCTGCTAGCTCCTCCGCGCTCCCGGCCAATCCCAGCCGCCCATGTGTCATCAGAAGCACCTGAGAGCACGCGTCCAGCGACCATCTGTTGTGTGTTACGAGCACGACCGTGCGGTTACCGCGTTGCATGACCCCTCCTTGAAGCACGTTCTCTATAAGGTGCTTCGCTGTAGGCACATCCACTGCGGCTAGAGGGTCGTCTAGGAGAACAAGGGGGGCGCTGCTGTAGCATGCTCTGGCGAGGGATATCCGTGCCTTCTGCCCCCCACTCAGGTTTATGCCCCTCTCGCCCTGACAGGTAAAGAGGGAACGGGTGAGGGGTTGGGGGGGGGGAGATGCGGGGATTTTCATCAAAAGGAGAACAAGGGGGGCGCTGCTGTAGCACGCCCTAGCAAGGGATATCCGTGCCTTCTGGCAGCCACTCAGGTTTATGCCCCTCTCGCCCTGACAGGGGGGTGGGAGACGAGGGACGAGGGGACGACGAGGGAACACAAACTTAATCTGGAGATTCAATAGCAACGGAACTGAACTGAGGAGGTCGTTTTGGAGCACAAGGGGTGCAGTGCGGTAGCAAGATGTAGCAAGGAATTTCAGGCTGTACAATAGACTAAGCTAAAGCGACTCACGATTTCCGTCTGGTGCCCGGCGGCCAGGGCAGAGATGTCACGGTCCAGCGCACAGGCACAGACCACCTCCTGGTACCTGCCCGCATCAAAGGGCTGCCCGAAAAGAATGTTCTCCATGACCGTAGCATTCAGAATCCACGGCTGCTGCGCTGCATACGCCACGTTCCCTAAACTGCTCACCCACATAGCGCCGCCCACATACTGCATCTCCTCTAGTATTGCCTGCAGGAGGGAGGACTTGCCACTGCCCACCGCCCCTGTGACTGCCACCACTGCGCCTCTCTCCACTCGCAGAGTCACTCGTTCCAGGTGAAACCCTGTTCCTGCAGCAGCAGCAGCATCTGCTGTGGTAGCAACAGCATCAGCAGACGCAGCAGGCATAGCAAGCGAGGAACCAACCCCCTCTCCCTCCTGCTGTTGCTCCTTTTCCAATTCATTCTGCCTACCCTCCTGCAAGCCGTTCTCTTTGCCCGCCTCGCCATCACCTTCCTTGGCCTCTCTCTGCGTGCAATCTGGCTGAACGCTCCCAACAGCTCCATTCCTCTTCTCCTGCGCTTTCTGAGCGCCAAGCCTTCTCCTCCACAGACCTCTGGCGCCTTTCCCCTTGCCCCCCTCTGCTTTCTGCTGCTGCTCTGTGCTGGAGGGAAGCTGCTGGGCAGTGGTGGGCGGCAGCTGCCAGGAGAAGGAGGCGTCTTGGAGCGCCACGACCACGCCTTTGCTCTCCGCCTCTGCCCTCAACTGCACACGGTATTGATTTTGAGAAATTCGGATCGGTATGGGGGTCACTGGGACATAAGTGACACAAGGAAGAGATCCAAGTCGCAAAACAGGAGAATCGAAAAAGTATTTCCTTTCTGACTGCCATCCATCCCTTGCCTCCCACTGTCACCCACCTCCGCCCTCTTATCGTCCGGGCAGCCGCCCTGCCCATCGGGCAGCGCGAGAAACTTCTCCAGGCGGTCAACGGCGACGACGGCTTCCCCGGCGAACTGGAGGCCGGTGGGGGCGATGAAGAAGATTCGCACCATGATGCTGAACAGCGCCAGCACTGCAAAGGCCGTCTGGGGTGGCAGGTGGCCGTTTATCGCCACGTAGATGCCAAATGTGGCTAGAGACGCCAGGGGCGTGACGGAGTCCTGATGGAGTGAGTGGCGGATGGGGGAGATGTGAGTGTGGAGAGCTGAAAAGGTTGCAGAGCCACATAGCCGTCAAATGTGGATTAGGGAAGCGAGGGATGGCATGGGCGTCATGGGAGGGCAGCGAGGGATGGTTGAGAAGAAAAGAGGCATTGCACCCCACTCCCCACCAACCAGGCCAGGCCAAACGAGACCAACCTTGAGTGTGGAGTTGACTGATCGCACGTACGCCGCCCGGCGCAGCCACTGTAGCTCGTTGTCTCGTAGTACGCGAATGCGGTCCAGGAAGGCGGCGGTCCAGCCGTTGACCTTGACCACGCGCATGCCAGATAGCACCTCCCCCAGCAGCCGCACGCGTGCATCCGTGAACTTGAGCGCCTTGGGCCTCAATGCTGCGACTCTCTTCGCCATCCACACCTGGTGCATGGGGTAGCGAGGAGGCAGTCCGTTTCTTATGCATTGACTGAGCTCATTGGCACAGCACAGCCACCTCCTTCACACAGCGCGCCAGGCATGGAAGCAAGCACAGCACGCCAGGCATGGAAGCAAGCACAGCACGCCAGGCATGGAAGCAAGCAAGTCTCTGAAGCACAGCTATGTTCCCAAGTGGGACTCTTCCTTCACAATGTAGAGAACAGTCTGAGTCGTATAGAGAGCATGCTGTTGATCGAGACTCGTGACTCACGATGAGTGGTTGGATGAGGAAGACGACTGCCACGCCCCCCAGTGCTGCCACTCCCGCCTCCACTATGACCAACGCACAGATGACTGTCAGGTCCAACACCGCCAGCCACACTGCACAATGGGAAGGGAGGGAGAGAGCGGGGGCAGGAGGGCTTCTGAGATGTCTCACAAAACGCACAGATGAGTGTCAGGTCGAGCATTGCCAGCCACACTCGCACAGGGGAGAAGAACGGAGGGAGAGGGGTGGAGGAAAGCAATGCAGCTAACTTCTAGATAGGAAACACAGAGATAGGAGCTGGCAGTAAGAAGATGACTGTCAGCAGGCACACTGGTGTGGGGGAAGGAATGGGAGGGGGAAAATTCGGGCATACCATAATGGAAGTATGTGATGGCGTCGAGGAGCTTCTGAGTGTCGTTGGTGATAAGGTTCAGCATGCGCCCAGATGTCGCCTCCCCCAGAGCCACCTGCTTCATTCCCAACGCCTGCACGGACCATCCACCCAAGCAGATAAAACAAGGTTAAGCTTAATACACAATAAAACGCTTTTTGATGCACAGGTAACAAATGACACAGTGCACTGCACACCCTATCAACCCCGCTCCAACCCAACTACACGACTACTAACCGACGCACCTTGTGGTATACCACCGTGCACACGCATGCACGCACGCGCATGCCGGCCTTCTGAGAGCGAGTGAAGCAGTGGTGCATGCACACGCTCTGCAGCGTGGACGTCACCGCCATGCCCACCACCAGCAGCGCCGCCCTCCACGCCTCTGGCGGTTCGGGCGCTGCTGCTGCTGCCACCAGCTGCTTCAGCACGTACACCTGCATAATGGAGAGGAACAGGCAAGAGGGGTAGCTTTTGAATCACAAAAGCACTTGGCCTCGCAACAGCTGGCAAGCCGGCGTTTGAGAAGATTGAGCTGAACCAAGAGACGCCGCACTTGGGTGCGCTTGTGTCCCTTTAGCTCGTTTTGTCGTTGCGATGAGAGTTGAGCAGGCGCACGCACCTGGGTGCAGACGGCGGCGAGCCAGATGGGTTTCCATACGGCCGCCACGAAGTAGTACCGCCCGAACGCACGACCCAGCACCCGCCACACTCGCCCCACCCTGCGCCTCCCGCGCTTCCTCCCCTCCTCAACCCCCTGAGACAGCCCCGTCTTTTCCGCGTGTGCTTGCTCGAGGGCGACCTCTGTCTGCCATGCTCGGTTCCAGCAGTCCACGCTCTGCTGCGTTGACTCCACCGGGTTTAACTCGTATAGGTCGTCTTCCTGTCAGGTTGGGATTCGGCAGGATGGCAGATGGGCACAACGACATATTCTGAGCCGCCTCAAAAGTCACCTCGTGCTCGAGATAGAGCGCTGTCTGCCATGCTCGGTTCCAGCAGTCCACGCTCTGCGCGTTGACTCCACCGGGTTTAGCTCGTACAAGTCGTCCTCCTGTCAGGTTCGGGTGCAGCATGATGAAAGATTGAGCGCGACGACAGGTTCGGTCCAGATACTGCCGAACGGCAAGTTCGAATTCAGAGGACGACAGATTTGGATTCAGCAGGACGAGCTACGGCGTACTCCGCAAAGAATCAGAACGGCGGTTTGGGACATACGGACGCGAGGACGAGATCTACCATGATTCACGCCATTGCGCGGCCCTCTCGGGATTTAACCGCGAAACATACGACCGTGACTGATCGTTATCCTGGAAGTTGTGAACCGGGAACGCGAGGGTGACGAGCTACCTGGACGACTTTGCGGTAGCCGTAGTGCATGAACGGAGCGACCCAGGACCAAAAAAGAAAGCTCGGCCATGACGCCGATAGCTCGGGAGAAGGTCCTGCTGTGGGAAATCCCTTTCCTTCTCTGTTGAAGAAGCTGTCGCCCGCTGCTGTCGCGTCGGATTCGACATCACCTTTTGACATTGCTAGCGGTCTCTCAGAAGAGAATGCTTTTCAAAGGGAATTATGTTTTTAAGCCGAGTGAGCGGTTCTAGAAGGCTCTTAACGCAACGAACTGTCAACGACTATTCAGCGCGTTCTCAGAATTGAATGATCCGCCAGTACTGGGCCTGAGAGCCAAAGCTGGCATCGAAAACGGACGACGCGAGGCGAGGCTTTGACGATCGATCCACGCCATTTCACCTCCTCCACGCTAATCCGTAAAAAATCTTGGAAGAAATGGTTTTGTGAAGTTGAGACAGCTTTTCATGCAATGCTCCAGCACGTAGAGCTCTCTTCCTAACTTCACCTTGAAGTTGGTGCGAGAAGGAGGCGTGGAAGGAAACACAGGATGGATTTGCGGCTGTGATGGATGATGAGAGAGGTGAAGGTGGGAAGCACAGCCAATCCCGACGCCGATCATCCCAAGGCGCGAACGACGGAAACTGCCTGCGAAAGTGGCGACAAGCAGGAAAGATTCGTCTTGCAACAGAATTTCCCTGCCTTGTCGTTTCGCAAATCAAGAGGGCGGCTAGCTGTGGTACGTGGCATGGTAGCCGAGTCTGGCGAGAGTATTGTTACCAAACCATCTCATTTGCAACATTCGCGAGCCACCCCATCGCAGCAGCGTTACGCGGCAGTGCAAGTCCCGTTGCAAACAAAAACTCCTCTCCAGGCATTGCAATAAACGCCACGTAAATTAACTCTATGTTCCATTTTCACCTGGAAGACATATGTTGCATGTGGATCTTCCATCCCATCAGCTGCCGAACCTAGAAATGGACATTCCATTGATGGTGCGCTTGTGACTTTGAAACCAAGACAGCAACTAGCTGACCGCTCGATATGACCAGCCGCGGCTGATGCGAACGGGAGCTTCGTTTTAAGCACTTTTACTATCTAGACTAAGTTTCCTGATATTGTTGGGTCCAAATATCGTCAACCGTTCCTCAAACACTCCGCTTCGCCATGTCGTTGAAGGCATGTCTTGAAAGTCACGCGGTGGGCGAGCTCGTACGCGCTAAAGGCATCATGGTGGATGTGCCGCATAGTGCACCAGGTGTGCCTCTCTAATGCTCATATGCGGACATGCTTGCAGAAAGTGACTGTCTTTTTTATCCTCCCCGGTTGTTTTCACATCTTGCTGAATTGGGTGACATTACTGTATCTTTGTTTATCGTGCAAATTTTCTTAACTCCGCTCCGCCATTCCCTCCTTCCGCACCGTCACCCGTCTTCCCATAACTCCCAGTCATCCCTTGCGCTCCCCGCGCCCCGCGACCCCCTTCCCCCCTTCCCCTCTCCTCCGCGCGGCAGTGCGCGATGCGCTGCAGCTGATGCGAATGCACGGCATCTCCGCGCTGCCCGTGTGGGCTCCGCCCAACGAGTGGGTGGGCGCGGGGGGTTCCTCCATCATGGTCACCGACGGCAGCACCAGCGGAAGCGGGGGCGCAGGGTCAGGGACCGGCGGGTCGGAGGTGGTAGAGGCGAGCGAGGAGCGCGGGGGAGCAGGGGAGAAGGGCGCGGGGGCGGGGGCGAGCGGGGGAGCGGGCGCGGGGAGGGCGCGGAGGCAGTACATCGGGATGGTGAGCGTGCTGGACGTGCTGATGCACTTCGCACAGTCGTCCGCGCGCGACGACCCTACGTGGGCGCTCGACGTGCCCATCTCCACCCTCATTGGCCACTGCCTCGAAGGCCTCTCCTGCTGGACCCTCCCCTTCCACCTCTCGTAAGCGCCGCATTTCCCCACTTCCTGTCCCTTCCTCCCCCCGTCTGTCCCTTCCTCCCCCCGTCTGTCCCTTCCTCCCCCTTTCTCCCCATCCTTCCCCTATTCCCCTTGCCCCCGTCCCCCTCCCTCTGATCCTCCCTCCCGACTTCCTTTTCCTCTTCTCTTGTTTCCCCCCCCTTTGTCCTCGTCGTCACTTGTTCTATCTCACTTCTCCTCTCCTCACTGAGCAAGGGTGTGCCCGGGTGCTGCATTCAGATACTCTTTCTTTGTTGCTGCAGTGCAGGTCATCTTCTCACCCACTCTCTCCCACCTCCCCCGCCCCTCACACCCTTTCCCCAGCGTGCTGGACTCTTTGGAACCCACGAGCAAGGGCGTGCACCGGGTGCTGCATGCAGAGGTGTTTTTTTACACACATGCGGATTCTCTCTCTCTTCTCCTGTCCTCTCCCTCCTAACCCTCCCCCAGGGTGCTGGACTCGTTGGAGCCAATGAGCAAGGGCGTGCACCGGGTGCTGCTGCCACTGCCATCCGCGGACCGCCCCCCCTCGGGCCCCATCGTGCCGCTCTCCGTGGCCACTCACGGCGGCTTCTCCCGCGGCCTCCTCACCACCGGCTGCGCCCCCGCCTACACCATCCTGAACCAGGTGCATTGCATTGTCAACCTCCTGCCGCTTCTCTCACCTGGTGACGAATAACCATATATCAAGGGAACTGTCATGAGACATTATGTTTTCATGTGCTTGGCTACTCATACCTGTTCGTGCCTGTTATCTATCAAGGATGTTCACACATGAGGTTTTCCCTGTTTCTCTGCCCTATGTGTTCTTATGAGGGGAAGAGTGATGCCGTGGTGATTGAAACCATGCCCTGTGTCCGGCTTGCACCATGCCATTCTCTGGCAGGTGGATCTGATCAAGTTCATGATTGCTGAAGCACAGGCAGAGACAGGCGGCCAGCACCATCACTTCAAGTCCACCAGCAGCAACGGCACCACCACCGCCACTGCCACACCCTCCTCCTCTTCCTCCGCTGCTGCTCCTGCTGCCACGGGCAGTGGCAAGTCTCTAGCAGAGCTGCTGCAGCTGTCAGTGAAGGAGGCGGGGGCGGTGCATGGGACGGTGTTTGCGGTGCCGGCGAGCATGAAGGTGCTGGACGCCATTCGCTGCATGCAGCAGGCGTCCGTCGCTGCTGTGGCTGTGCTGGAGCCCACACCTGATGACAAGCTCGACGACCCCATGCTCACCTTTGTACGTGCTGCTTGCTTTTGAGTCAATTCAAAAGATGCTGGACGCCATTAGCTGCATTGCATGCAGCAGGCGTCCGTGGCTGTGCTTGAGCCCACGCCTGATGACAAGCTTGACGACCCCATGCTCGTCTTTGTACGTGCCCGTGCCCACTCGTGTTGCCAGGCTAGCTTCAGACTGCACTTCCTCTTCTTGCATCGCCTCTACCTTGTACACGCCTCCCTCCACCCACAGTTGACCCGCTCCTCTATTGCCCCTACAGCCCCTCTTGCCCCTGCTTTCCCTAGTTTTCATTTCCATGCTGCCATTTCACACTGCCTTCGACACTCACCTGCCCGTCCTCCCCTTGGCCCCCCCAATCATGTCACCAGGGCCAAGGGCGTTGCCTGGTGGGCACACTGTCAGCCAGTGACCTGCACGCCTGCAGTGAGGAAGCAGCTCTCACAGCACTATGTGCGCCTACCCTCCCATTCTCCCCCCCCACCAACCCCGTCTTATGATGTCACCAGGGCCAAGGGCGTTGCCTGGTGGGCACACTGTCAGCCAGTGACCTGCGCGCCTGCAGTGAGGAGGCAGCACTCACAGCCCTCCCCCGCTTGACCGTTGGTGACTTCCTCGCCACTCTCTCTGTCGCTCAAGACGTCGGAATCTCCGCCGCTTTCAGCCCGTACGCCCCTCCCCCCGCCCTTGCTACTCTTGCGTCAAACTCCCCGGCGTCGTCTCCCGCTCGCATGTGTGAGGCGAGGTCCATGGTTCCGATTACTTGCCGAGAGCATTCCCGGCTAGGCGTGGTTATGTCCCAGGCAATTGCTGGGCGCGTGCATCGGGTGTGGGTGGTTGCGGATGACTCGTCGGGGATTCTTGTAGGCGTGGTAACCTTGTCGGACATTCTGCGCTGCATAAGAGAGCACGCTGAAGGGGAGCGATAAGGTTTGTCCTGGGGATTAGGATGGTGTGCTATGCTTCGAGGTGTAGGAAAATAAGATTGACGAAATTATGTATTTTACTTTCTGTATTTGCGAAAGTTGAGTCGCAAAATTAAAGTGGTGATCAAAGCCGAAGCCGCTCTAAGCGAGGAATGTTCAGCCACCTACTCAAGAAGTCAGTCCTGGAAGTCTCGAGAATCTCGTGGCCAAATTCTGAGGCTTCAAACAGCCTGTTCTGTGCATGGCTCGCCTCGGCCAATAGCCAGCTGTGCTGACGGCATGGCGCAAATCCGCCTAGAATTCTCCACTTGGCGTGTAGTCTGTAGACTCGCTCGCCATACGTTTTGGCGGGCTGAAAATGTGTCGGTGACAGATTTGGCTGAGCTGCCTTTTGACGGGAATTCCAGCATTCTCCCGATTCCCGACGCAGCGCCACGCGTCTGACCAATGACAGGCCTCCAGTGACCAGCTGCAGCGTGGGTTGACGCGCCGCAGGGCAGCCAAAATCGGTGCAGGTCCGAAGGGTCGGCGAAGGTCTCTTTCTGACGGAAGGTGCGAGACGGATCCAGGTGGAAGGGAGGTTGGCCATTCGGGTCCGTCGAAGCCAGGCCAAGCGAAATGAAACCTGGGTTTGCGAAACATGCGAAGCGAGCAGTCAGTGATGTCACGAAGTCTTTGGTGGTGGTTTCCGCCGGCCCTTCCAGTCGACGTCACCTCCACGCTTTCGTCCTTCCCACAGGAAAAAACATTTCGCCAGGGGCAGAATCCATTGCGTGAGGTGGAAGCGAAGAAAGTGACCGCGACTCGGCACTGTGGGCGCATGAAATGGTTTGGCGCACATGATGGAATGGCAAGGAGGGAGGGCACGCCACGAATTGGGGCACGAGGTGAAAAGACGTGTGCGTGAATGGCGAAGTGTATGCGTGCATGGGGCACAGCGAAAGGGTGACAAAAGGGAGCTGCGTGAAGGTTAGAAGCTCAAGGCCCCAAACGTCACGTGTATTGTGCTGGATCCTACGTCTTTCTCGTTCCTCTTGCTTCCTCCACTGTCAAACCCTACCAGTGCGTGCTGCTGGATAAATCTGCTGTTTCAGGGTTTGTATCTTCAATCTGCGAATTCTTGAAACAGCTCTACTAGTCTGCTACCAATCTACCGCATTATCTCGCATTCAGCTATTAGTTTCTTTTAGCACTCACCTCGAAATTAACAGCATTCTTCCGCATTTCACTCATTCTTCCGTTCTAACTTAGCGCCAATGGCGGAATTAAAGTCATCGAGTAGGTGCCCCAGCTGGGTTCCAGAGCTCCTCAGTGGCCATTACTTCTCTCCGTGCCGCCAGCACGCTGCGGCGCACAAATCCGAGCGCAACTTCTTCTGCATAAAATGCCGCGGCGACCCTCTCTGCTCGCTGTGCGTGCAGAAACACCACGCCGGTCCAGAGCACGACATTCTGCAAATCCGCCGCTCGTCGTACCACGACGTCGTGCGTGTCGGCGAGCTCTCGCGACTTCTAGACCTGCACCACATTCAGGTGTACGTGATAAACAGCGCGAAAGTGGTTTTTATCAATCCGCGGCCGCAGTCTCGCGTGGTTAAAGGCGCGCCGTTCTTCTGCCGCACGTGCCACCGCACATTGCTCGACGCCAGCCGATACTGCTCCATTGGATGCAAGCTCGCCGCATTGCGCCACGACCCCGCGCTCACATTGCGCCCGCGGGGGGGAGGCACCGCGGAGCACGCAGCGCGGCCGGCTGCGGAACATGCGCATTTCGGGGTCAACGCGGGCGTTGACCGGCCGGCGCGGTCTGGGGACGGGTTATCGGACGACGACTCGGGCACGTGGTCGGCGGGGCACCGGCGGAAGGAAGGGGGAAGCGAATGGCGGAACGAGTGGCGCAAGCGCACATTGCCCCCTCTGTTGATGGAAGACAACGACGCGGCGAGCTCGGGGGAGAGCGACGAGGGGCGCGCGGAGGAGGACGGGGACGAGGAGGTGTCCGCGGACTGGCGGAGGGGCGGCGGAGAGAGGGAGAGGAAGCGCGCGCGCTACGGCAAGGTGAATGGCGCGGAGTCTCTGCGGTATCCGGAGCTTCTTGGCGCGTCGTCCCCGGTGTTCTCCCCCGTGACACCCCCGCTGGCGTATCAACATGAAGGCAGCACCGGCTCCCCCTGGCGCGCGCACAGGCGGAAGGGCGTTCCGCACCGCTCCCCCTTGTCTTGAATTCAAATATGGAGCAGCAAGGCGACTAAGGAATGCCTGGAATGCCTGACTTGGAGCGCGCAGCGTCGGGTTTCTGAGACACCAAGAACAAGCTTGGGACTTGCTTGCATGCCCGTATACAGGGCTTTGCGATTCTGTTTTGTGGCCAGCAAACCTCGTGCAACGGTTTACGTTTATGTAGGGCTGCCTTTACTCCGTGCCAGGGTGTTCCCTGTGTGCGGCTGTGCATAGTAGAGCTAGTAGTAGTTTACCAAAGACACATACTGACTAGTTCAGAGGTTAGGATACAGCTCTAGGACATGTGTACATATGTTCTTTTGTTACCACCTCTGTGACGAGTTGTTTCCAAGACTCTCTGACTTGTCCTGTTTGCGTTGCATTGCATGAGCTCTAGGAAGCGCTGTACTGAAGCATTGCATGAGCATTGTTACTTGAATGCACTCTTTATATGGGAAGAGTATGGAGCAAGGGGGGAAGAGGTGGGAGATTTGGAAAGGGGAGGCGAGGAGTAGCTCTATGATGAGGGGGTTGGGATAGGTGAGGGAAGAGCAGAATGATACCGTAAGTTGTCCACAGGAGGTTTGCACATTTGGTCTGCTTCTACAGAAGCTGTCATGACCCAAGGTCCTGACCGAGACTCCCCACCCCACCCAAGAGGTAATTCAGTGTCCATTGGTTGCTTATGGTGCAAGTGTGCAAGTATAATGCAGTACCACCAAAATAGACCTAGACCTTGGCTGTCAAACTCACTCAAGTAACGGCACAACATGATGATTCTTCTTCTTTAGAGCCTTCCTTCCCTTGTGCTAATACTGGAACGTGCTGGGGGTTAAAAAGCTTGTCACAGCATATTCTTTTTGAACAACGCTCACGTTGATTCTCCTGTCCTGTTTTCCTTTGACTGCCGAGACTGCTGCCTTGCCAGAATCTCAGAAATCTCCCCACCCACTCCCGCCCCTCTATCTCTCCACGTCCCACCCCTCTCCCCTTCTCTCCCTACCAAGCCCCTCATCTTGAGCGCATTGGCTCTCAAAATTGCCACATAAGCCTCCTCCCTGACACGTGGCAGCGTCTCATTGGCCAGGGCCATCTGCTCCCCACCTTCAGCCGCCGCCCGGATGAAGGGCTCGAGGGCTTTAAGCACCAGCAGCTGTACGTCCTCATCGGACAAATCAGAGGGCGACATCTGGCGCAGTGCGGCGCAAGCAGCATCCTCGTCCTCTGCTGTTATGGCCGTTCGAAAGAGACTGGAGGGGGAAAGGGTGCGTGGGAAACATGTATGGATTAGATATGCTTAGAATAAGGAATGGTAGGGCGACATTTTAGAGCAAAAGCGCCAATGTCCAAACGTCCCGATGCAACGATTTGAAGTGGGGGAGGGGGAGGAGGGCGCAATGCATTTCTACATTGACCGAAGATCACAAGAGCCTTAAAAGGCACGAGAGCGCACCGGAAGAGAGTGAAGACGGTGGGTGGCAGGTCGTTGCGATGCATGTCATCCATCACATGGAGGGCGCGGGGCAGGTCCCCCATGGCCGCACAAGAATCCAACAGCGCTTCCAGCACCATGCGGGACGCGTGCACTCCCACCTGTGCCGGGTGTGGAGGGATGGAAAGCGGAGTGGGCAAGAAGGGAGGAAAGGCATGCAAGAACTTTTAAGACACAATGCATAATGCGTGCATGCCCACCCGCGCGGGGTGGGGGGGAAGTCATGAAAGGGGGAAGGGATAGTGAGCAGGTTTAGAGTATCTCTGGCAGACAGGGAGGAAGGGGACGAGGGAAGGAGGAACATTTGCAAAGTGCAGGGAGGAGGCGGAGGAGAGAAGGAAGGACATTCACAGAGTGCAGAGCGGAGAGAGAGAGAGGGGGAAGCGGCGAGCTCAGTGGCGACTCACAGTGCGCAGGGCTTGGAACATGCGAAGAGCCTCTCTCACCCCGATCAGACACACCCCCCTCTCGTCCGGTAACCCCCTGGCCACTGGCAGTAACACCTGCCGGGAAGGTGAAGTGAGCGAGAGGAGGCAGGGCGGGAGAGTGTGAGTGGGGCCATGAGAAGGCTCAAGAGCAGCGCGCGGGATCAGTAGTGTGAAGATTTGTGTGAGCAGCCGTGGTAGGCACCCACCTGGTCGAAGATCTGCTGGCGGTTGAGCTGAGGGTCGTCCTTGATCTCCTCTGCTACCTCCAGAATGCGCCTGCATGCACGCAGCGAGAGGAGAGAGGCGCATGGGGAGTGGGGAGCAGAGGCGCACATGGCGTTGCATGGGAGAACGGTTACAACGATAGGCCAGGGTTCGCCGCAACACTCCTCCTAAAGGTAGGGTGGGAGGGCAAGAGGCAGGAAGGGAAACGAAGGAGGGAGAGAAGAGCAGGGGCCGTACTGCACGTCGTGAAGCTGCACGAGGCACGCCAGCGTCTGCACCACCAGCGCATGCCCACTCCGCATCTCCTGCTGCCACGTCACGCCCTCCCACTGCCTCCCCCCCTCACCCCGCTCCCCCTTCCGCCCGCTCTCCCCATCCTCCCCATCCTCCCCTCTCTCCTTTTTCCCCCGCGGTTCCCCGTCCCCCCAATTCTTCCCCCTCTGCGCCCCTCGTGCCCCTCGACGTGACTCGCGGAACAGCGTCATCATGTCGTCCACCTTGCCTGCCCGCCCAAGCGCCATGATCATGGTCCCCACGGCGTATGGCAGGGGCTGCACGCCCTGCGCTCGCCCCCGGTGGAACGCCGCTAGGGCTGCATCTGTGCGCCCGGCTGCTGCCAGGGCCTCGACCAGCGCGCTCACTGCGTTGGCGCCTACTTTGTGCCCTGCCGCCTCTGCTTCTGCCAGGTACTGGAAGGGTTGTGGGGATGGAGGGGGTGGGAAGGGGTTGGGAGGTGGGTGGAGATGGGAGTGAGGGTGCTGGGGCAACGAGAAACGGGCTTCCCGCTGCTGCCATGGCCTCGACTAAAGCTCTCACTACATTGGCTCCCTCTGCTTCTGCCAGGTACTGGTGGGGTGGAGAGAGGTGGGAAGGGGTTGGAGCTGGAGCTGCAGTCCCACCGCTTGGGGACTGGAGCTGCAGTCCCACCGCTTGGGGTTTAAGGTTTAGAGTTTAGGGTTTAGCTGCAGTCTCGGCTTGGGGACTGGAGCTGCAGTCCCAGTCATTGGGATGGGCATAGTCAACCACACCATTCCACACCCACCCATGCCACTCTCCACCCTTCCCCTATCCTCACCTCCATGGCGCCATTCACGTCGCCTGTCTTATGGTAAAGCTCCACCATGGCGGCATGCAGGTAGTCATTGGGTGGCACGCCGTGCTGCTGCATCATCTCATGCACGCGCATGCCCATGGCTCGGTTGCGCGCGAGGGCACAGCCGTGCAGCAGCTGCGTGAACACCACCACGTTGGGGCGAATGCCGTCTGCCATCATCTCCCTCAGTACCCCCATCGCTGCTGACAGCTTCCCCTGGGCTGTCGGCAGTGGGGGGTCAGGGAGGGGGGTTTTGGGGGAAGTGGAGGGAGAGAAGGGGGGGGAGAGTGTGGGGCGGAAGAGGGGAGCATCGGGGAGACATGGGGAGGGGGGAAGGAGGGTCAAGCAATGCCACGTGCATCGGGTTTGGTGGGGGTTGTGCATCCGAGCATGCATTGCACAGCCGAGCATGCATTGCACAGCCGAGCATGCATTGCACAGCCGAGCATGCATTGCACAGCCGAGCATGCATTGCACAGCCGAGCATGCATTGCACAGCCGAGCATGCATTGCACAGCCGAGCATGCATTGCACAGCCGAGCATGCATTGCACAGCCGAGCATGCATTGCACAGCCGAGCATGCATTGCACAGCCGAGCATGCATTGCACAGCCGAGCATGCATTGCACAGCCGAGCATGCATTGCACAGCCGAGCATGCATTGCACAGCCGAGCATGCATTGCGCATCCGAGCATGCATTGCGCATCCGAGCATGCATTGCGCATCCGAGCATGCATTGCGCAGCCGAGCATGCATTGCACAGCCGAGCATGCATTGCACAGCCGAGCATGCATTGCACAGCCGAGCATGCATTGCACAGCCGAGCATGCATTGCACAGCCGAGCATGCATTGCACAGCCGAGCATGCATTGCACAGCCGAGCATGCATTGCACAGCCGAGCATGCATTGCACAGCCGAGCATGCATTGCACAGCCGAGCATGCATTGCGCATCCGAGCATGCATTGCACAGCCGAGCATGCATTGCACAGCCGAGCATGCATTGCACAGCCGAGCATGCATTGCACAGCCGAGCATGCATTGCACAGCCGAGCATGCATTGCACAGCCGAGCATGCATTGCACAGCCGAGCATGCATTGCACAGCCGAGCATGCATTGCACAGCCGAGCATGCATTGCACAGCCGAGCATGCATTGCACAGCCGAGCATGCATTGCACAGCCGAGCATGCATTGCACAGCCGAGCATGCATTGCACAGCCGAGCATGCATTGCACAGCCGAGCATGCATTGCACAGCCGAGCATGCATTGCGCGAGCATGCATTGCGCATCCGAGCATGCATTGCGCATCCGAGCATGCATTGCGCAGCCGAGCATGCATTGCACAGCCGAGCATGCATTGCACAGCCGAGCATGCATTGCACAGCCGAGCATGCATTGCACAGCCGAGCATGCATTGCACAGCCGAGCATGCATTGCACAGCCGAGCATGCATTGCACAGCCGAGCATGCATTGCACAGCCGAGCATGCATTGCACAGCCGAGCATGCATTGCACAGCCGAGCATGCATTGCGCATCCGAGCATGCATTGCACAGCCGAGCATGCATTGCACAGCCGAGCATGCATTGCACAGCCGAGCATGCATTGCACAGCCGAGCATGCATTGCACAGCCGAGCATGCATTGCACAGCCGAGCATGCATTGCACAGCCGAGCATGCATTGCACAGCCGAGCATGCATTGCACAGCCGAGCATGCATTGCACAGCCGAGCATGCATTGCACAGCCGAGCATGCATTGCACAGCCGAGCATGCATTGCGCATCCGAGCATGCATTGCGCATCCGAGCATGCATTGCGCATCCGAGCATGCATTGCGCAGCCGAGCATGCATTGCACAGCCGAGCATGCATTGCACAGCCGAGCATGCATTGCACAGCCGAGCATGCATTGCACAGCCGAGCATGCATTGCACAGCCGAGCATGCATTGCACAGCCGAGCATGCATTGCGCATCCGAGCATGCATTGCGCATCCGAGCATGCATTGCACAGCCGAGCATGCATTGCACAGCCGAGCATGCATTGCACAGCCGAGCATGCATTGCACAGCCGAGCATGCATTGCACAGCCGAGCATGCATTGCGCAGCCGAGCATGCATTGCACAGCCGAGCATGCATTGCACAGCCGAGCATGCATTGCACAGCCGAGCATGCATTGCGCATCCGAGCATGCATTGCCCAGCCGAGCATGCATTGCCCAGCCGAGCATGCATTGCACAGCCGAGCATGCATTGCACAGCCGAGCATGCATTGCACAGCCGAGCATGCATTGCACAGCCGAGCATGCATTGCACAGCCGAGCATGCATTGCACAGCCGAGCATGCATTGCACAGCCGAGCATGCATTGCACAGCCGAGCATGCATTGCACAGCCGAGCATGCATTGCGCAGCCGAGCATGCATTGCGCAGCCGAGCATGCATTGCACAGCCGAGCATGCATTGCACAGCCGAGCATGCATTGCCCAGCCGAGCATGCATTGCACAGCCGAGCATGCATTGCACAGCCGAGCATGCATTGCACAGCCGAGCATGCATTGCACAGCCGAGCATGCATTGCACAGCCGAGCATGCATTGCACAGCCGAGCATGCATTGCGCATCCGAGCATGCATTGCCCAGCCGAGCATGCATTGCCCAGCCGAGCATGCATTGCACAGCCGAGCATGCATTGCACAGCCGAGCATGCATTGCACAGCCGAGCATGCATTGCACAGCCGAGCATGCATTGCACAGCCGAGCATGCATTGCACAGCCGAGCATGCATTGCACAGCCGAGCATGCATTGCACAGCCGAGCATGCATTGCGCAGCCGAGCATGCATTGCGCAGCCGAGCATGCATTGCACAGCCGAGCATGCATTGCACAGCCGAGCATGCATTGCACAGCCGAGCATGCATTGCACAGCCGAGCATGCATTGCACAGCCGAGCATGCATTGCACAGCCGAGCATGCATTGCACAGCCGAGCATGCATTGCGCATCCGAGCATGCATTGCCCAGCCGAGCATGCATTGCCCAGCCGAGCATGCATTGCACAGCCGAGCATGCATTGCACAGCCGAGCATGCATTGCACAGCCGAGCATGCATTGCACAGCCGAGCATGCATTGCACAGCCGAGCATGCATTGCACAGCCGAGCATGCATTGCACAGCCGAGCATGCATTGCACAGCCGAGCATGCATTGCACAGCCGAGCATGCATTGCGCAGCCGAGCATGCATTGCGCAGCCGAGCATGCATTGCACAGCCGAGCATGCATTGCACAGCCGAGCATGCATTGCACAGCCGAGCATGCATTGCACAGCCGAGCATGCATTGCGCAGCCGAGCATGCATTGCGCAGCCGAGCATGCATTGCACAGCCGAGCATGCATTGCACAGCCGAGCATGCATTGCACAGCCGAGCATGCATTGCACAGCCGAGCATGCATTGCACAGCCGAGCATGCATTGCGCATCCGAGCATGCATTGCCCAGCCGAGCATGCATTGCCCAGCCGAGCATGCATTGCACAGCCGAGCATGCATTGCACAGCCGAGCATGCATTGCACAGCCGAGCATGCATTGCACAGCCGAGCATGCATTGCACAGCCGAGCATGCATTGCACAGCCGAGCATGCATTGCACAGCCGAGCATGCATTGCACAGCCGAGCATGCATTGCACAGCCGAGCATGCATTGCACAGCCGAGCATGCATTGCGCATCCGAGCATGCATTGCACAGCCGAGCATGCATTGCGCATCCGAGCATGCATTGCACAGCCGAGCATGCATTGCACAGCCGAGCATGCATTGCACAGCCGAGCATGCATTGCGCAGCCGAGCATGCATTGCACAGCCGAGCATGCATTGCACAGCCGAGCATGCATTGCACAGCCGAGCATGCATTGCACAGCCGAGCATGCATTGCACAGCCGAGCATGCATTGCACAGCCGAGCATGCATTGCACAGCCGAGCATGCATTGCACAGCCGAGCATGCATTGCACAGCCGAGCATGCATTGCGCATCCGAGCATGCATTGCGCATCCGAGCATGCATTGCACAGCCGAGCATGCATTGCACAGCCGAGCATGCATTGCACAGCCGAGCATGCATTGCACAGCCGAGCATGCATTGCACAGCCGAGCATGCATTGCGCAGCCGAGCATGCATTGCACAGCCGAGCATGCATTGCACAGCCGAGCATGCATTGCACAGCCGAGCATGCATTGCGCATCCGAGCATGCATTGCCCAGCCGAGCATGCATTGCCCAGCCGAGCATGCATTGCACAGCCGAGCATGCATTGCACAGCCGAGCATGCATTGCACAGCCGAGCATGCATTGCACAGCCGAGCATGCATTGCACAGCCGAGCATGCATTGCACAGCCGAGCATGCATTGCACAGCCGAGCATGCATTGCACAGCCGAGCATGCATTGCGCATCCGAGCATGCATTGCGCATCCGAGCATGCATTGCGCATCCGAGCATGCATTGCGCATCCGAGCATGCATTGCACAGCCGAGCATGCATTGCACAGCCGAGCATGCATTGCACAGCCGAGCATGCATTGCACAGCCGAGCATGCATTGCACAGCCGAGCATGCATTGCACAGCCGAGCATGCATTGCACAGCCGAGCATGCATTGCACAGCCGAGCATGCATTGCACAGCCGAGCATGCATTGCACAGCCGAGCATGCATTGCACAGCCGAGCATGCATTGCACAGCCGAGCATGCATTGCGCATCCGAGCATGCATTGCACAGCCGAGCATGCATTGCACAGCCGAGCATGCATTGCACAGCCGAGCATGCATTGCACAGCCGAGCATGCATTGCACAGCCGAGCATGCATTGCACAGCCGAGCATGCATTGCACAGCCGAGCATGCATTGCACAGCCGAGCATGCATTGCACAGCCGAGCATGCATTGCACAGCCGAGCATGCATTGCACAGCCGAGCATGCATTGCACAGCCGAGCATGCATTGCACAGCCGAGCATGCATTGCGCATCCGAGCATGCATTGCACAGCCGAGCATGCATTGCGCATCCGAGCATGCATTGCACAGCCGAGCATGCATTGCACAGCCGAGCATGCATTGCACAGCCGAGCATGCATTGCACAGCCGAGCATGCATTGCACAGCCGAGCATGCATTGCGCATCCGAGCATGCATTGCCCAGCCGAGCATGCATTGCCCAGCCGAGCATGCATTGCACAGCCGAGCATGCATTGCACAGCCGAGCATGCATTGCACAGCCGAGCATGCATTGCACAGCCGAGCATGCATTGCACAGCCGAGCATGCATTGCACAGCCGAGCATGCATTGCACAGCCGAGCATGCATTGCACAGCCGAGCATGCATTGCACAGCCGAGCATGCATTGCACAGCCGAGCATGCATTGCGCATCCGAGCATGCATTGCACAGCCGAGCATGCATTGCGCATCCGAGCATGCATTGCACAGCCGAGCATGCATTGCACAGCCGAGCATGCATTGCACAGCCGAGCATGCATTGCGCAGCCGAGCATGCATTGCACAGCCGAGCATGCATTGCACAGCCGAGCATGCATTGCACAGCCGAGCATGCATTGCGCAGCCGAGCATGCATTGCACAGCCGAGCATGCATTGCACAGCCGAGCATGCATTGCACAGCCGAGCATGCATTGCACAGCCGAGCATGCATTGCACAGCCGAGCATGCATTGCACAGCCGAGCATGCATTGCACAGCCGAGCATGCATTGCACAGCCGAGCATGCATTGCACAGCCGAGCATGCATTGCGCATCCGAGCATGCATTGCACAGCCGAGCATGCATTGCACAGCCGAGCATGCATTGCACAGCCGAGCATGCATTGCACAGCCGAGCATGCATTGCACAGCCGAGCATGCATTGCACAGCCGAGCATGCATTGCACAGCCGAGCATGCATTGCACAGCCGAGCATGCATTGCACAGCCGAGCATGCATTGCACAGCCGAGCATGCATTGCACAGCCGAGCATGCATTGCACAGCCGAGCATGCATTGCACAGCCGAGCATGCATTGCACAGCCGAGCATGCATTGCACAGCCGAGCATGCATTGCACAGCCGAGCATGCATTGCACAGCCGAGCATGCATTGCGCATCCGAGCATGCATTGCACAGCCGAGCATGCATTGCGCATCCGAGCATGCATTGCACAGCCGAGCATGCATTGCACAGCCGAGCATGCATTGCACAGCCGAGCATGCATTGCGCAGCCGAGCATGCATTGCACAGCCGAGCATGCATTGCACAGCCGAGCATGCATTGCACAGCCGAGCATGCATTGCGCAGCCGAGCATGCATTGCACAGCCGAGCATGCATTGCACAGCCGAGCATGCATTGCACAGCCGAGCATGCATTGCACAGCCGAGCATGCATTGCACAGCCGAGCATGCATTGCACAGCCGAGCATGCATTGCACAGCCGAGCATGCATTGCACAGCCGAGCATGCATTGCGCATCCGAGCATGCATTGCACAGCCGAGCATGCATTGCACAGCCGAGCATGCATTGCACAGCCGAGCATGCATTGCACAGCCGAGCATGCATTGCACAGCCGAGCATGCATTGCACAGCCGAGCATGCATTGCACAGCCGAGCATGCATTGCACAGCCGAGCATGCATTGCACAGCCGAGCATGCATTGCACAGCCGAGCATGCATTGCGCATCCGAGCATGCATTGCACAGCCGAGCATGCATTGCGCATCCGAGCATGCATTGCACAGCCGAGCATGCATTGCACAGCCGAGCATGCATTGCACAGCCGAGCATGCATTGCACAGCCGAGCATGCATTGCACAGCCGAGCATGCATTGCGCATCCGAGAATGCATTGCCCAGCCGAGCATGCATTGCCCAGCCGAGCATGCATTGCACAGCCGAGCATGCATTGCACAGCCGAGCATGCATTGCACAGCCGAGCATGCATTGCACAGCCGAGCATGCATTGCACAGCCGAGCATGCATTGCACAGCCGAGCATGCATTGCACAGCCGAGCATGCATTGCACAGCCGAGCATGCATTGCACAGCCGAGCATGCATTGCACAGCCGAGCATGCATTGCACAGCCGAGCATGCATTGCACAGCCGAGCATGCATTGCGCATCCGAGCATGCATTGCACAGCCGAGCATGCATTGCACAGCCGAGCATGCATTGCACAGCCGAGCATGCATTGCACAGCCGAGCATGCATTGCACAGCCGAGCATGCATTGCACAGCCGAGCATGCATTGCACAGCCGAGCATGCATTGCACAGCCGAGCATGCATTGCACAGCCGAGCATGCATTGCACAGCCGAGCATGCATTGCACAGCCGAGCATGCATTGCACAGCCGAGCATGCATTGCACAGCCGAGCATGCATTGCACAGCCGAGCATGCATTGCGCATCCGAGCATGCATTGCACAGCCGAGCATGCATTGCGCATCCGAGCATGCATTGCACAGCCGAGCATGCATTGCACAGCCGAGCATGCATTGCACAGCCGAGCATGCATTGCACAGCCGAGCATGCATTGCACAGCCGAGCATGCATTGCACAGCCGAGCATGCATTGCACAGCCGAGCATGCATTGCACAGCCGAGCATGCATTGCACAGCCGAGCATGCATTGCGCATCCGAGCATGCATTGCCCAGCCGAGCATGCATTGCCCAGCCGAGCATGCATTGCACAGCCGAGCATGCATTGCACAGCCGAGCATGCATTGCACAGCCGAGCATGCATTGCACAGCCGAGCATGCATTGCACAGCCGAGCATGCATTGCACAGCCGAGCATGCATTGCACAGCCGAGCATGCATTGCACAGCCAAGCATGCATTGCACAGCCGAGCATGCATTGCACAGCCGAGCATGCATTGCGCATCCGAGCATGCATTGCACAGCCGAGCATGCATTGCGCATCCGAGCATGCATTGCACAGCCGAGCATGCATTGCACAGCCGAGCATGCATTGCACAGCCGAGCATGCATTGCGCAGCCGAGCATGCATTGCACAGCCGAGCATGCATTGCACAGCCGAGCATGCATTGCACAGCCGAGCATGCATTGCGCAGCCGAGCATGCATTGCACAGCCGAGCATGCATTGCACAGCCGAGCATGCATTGCACAGCCGAGCATGCATTGCACAGCCGAGCATGCATTGCACAGCCGAGCATGCATTGCACAGCCGAGCATGCATTGCACAGCCGAGCATGCATTGCACAGCCGAGCGCATCCGAGCATGCATTGCACAGCCGAGCATGCATTGCGCATCCGAGCATGCATTGCACAGCCGAGCATGCATTGCACAGCCGAGCATGCATTGCACAGCCGAGCATGCATTGCGCAGCCGAGCATGCATTGCACAGCCGAGCATGCATTGCACAGCCGAGCATGCATTGCACAGCCGAGCATGCATTGCACAGCCGAGCATGCATTGCACAGCCGAGCATGCATTGCACAGCCGAGCATGCATTGCACAGCCGAGCATGCATTGCACAGCCGAGCATGCATTGCGCATCCGAGCATGCATTGCACAGCCGAGCATGCATTGCGCATCCGAGCATGCATTGCACAGCCGAGCATGCATTGCACAGCCGAGCATGCATTGCACAGCCGAGCATGCATTGCACAGCCGAGCATGCATTGCACAGCCGAGCATGCATTGCACAGCCGAGCATGCATTGCACAGCCGAGCATGCATTGCACAGCCGAGCATGCATTGCACAGCCGAGCATGCATTGCACAGCCGAGCATGCATTGCACAGCCGAGCATGCATTGCACAGCCGAGCATGCATTGCACAGCCGAGCATGCATTGCACAGCCGAGCATGCATTGCGCATCCGAGCATGCATTGCGCATCCGAGCATGCATTGCGCATCCGAGCATGCATTGCGCATCCGAGCATGCATTGCGCATCCGAGCATGCATTGCGCATCCGAGCATGCATTGCACGTGCACAGCCGAGCAGAAACTGCGTGAAAACCACCACGTTGGGGCGAATCCGTATGCACTGGGTTACACGACATGGCTGCTGATAGATGATGTGGATTGCAACGCGTGCCTGTTTACAGAAGGCGTGGATGATGGGCGTGTAGATGTAGCTGTTCCTCTGCACGCCCGTGCTCCTCATCTCTGCCACTAGCTCCAGCGCCATTGGGATCTGCCACAGGCGATGGGGATGGCGGGATGAAGAGCGAGCAATGTGCACCCAACCACGCAGCACATACACACATCACACCGCACATGCACACACTGTGCACGCCCGTGCTCCTCATCCCCGCTACTAGCTCCAGTGCCATTGGGATCTGCCACGGGCGATGGGGATGGGGAGAAAAAAACAAGAGAAGCATTCTCACATGACAGCCAAACCGCCCAATCAAGCCTGTCCGGCACAACACAACATCCACCAACCCCAACCAACGTAGGCACGTGCACACGCATGCATGCGCACGCACACACCTACCATGTAGTCTAGCGACTCACATGATCGACCTGCAGGCACGCCTCAATGAGACTGCTGAAGGAAGCCACCGTGAGCCCACCGTCCATGCGGCGCATGACATCAGCCAGGGCGAGCGCCTCCTTGAAGAGCTTGGAGCGCGCGAGCTGCAGCAGCAGCGGATCGAAGACGCGTGGCGTGAGGGCGAATCCCATCTGCTGCATCTCCTCCAACACATCCATTGCCCTGTCGAGCTGGGGAGACGGAGGCGCCAGGGGTGGGGGATGGGATGGGGGAATAAAACTCCTCCTGACCAATTCACAGCTGCTGCATCTCCTCCATCGCCCTGTCAAGCTGCTTTTAAGGGCAAGGGTTGAGTGAGTGGGAAGGGGCAGAGATGCGGGGTTAAGATAGTGGCGAGTACAAACCCCGCAAAGTATGTTTTGGCATGGAGCACTCTCAAACGTAATGCACCCACCCATTCACCAAAAAGATAGCGCACATACAAGCAGAGAGAGCACACCTGGCCGTTGACGCAGAGCCCAGAGATGAGGAGGGACGAGATGCCCTCGTGGGGGTGCAGCCCCGTGGCCGCCACGGCCTGCCTCACCAGCCCCCACGTGCGCTCAAACTCGCCCCCTGACACCCCCTGCCGCCCCTGTCGCTCCACCAGCGGGCGGAAGCCCTTCCAGTAGTTGGCTCCCAGGAACTGCCTGCGGGTCAGCTGCGTGCCGTCAGGGAGGGAGAAGGGAGCTGGGACAGGCAAGGAAAGGGAAGAGGGGGAGGAGGACAGAGAGTTGTCGGCCCTGCCGCTCCACCAGCAGCCAGAAGCCCTTCCAGTGGTTGGCCCCCATGAACTGCCTTCGAGTGAGCTGTGTGCTGTCCCGGAGAGAGAAGGGGGCTGGGACAAGGGGAGGGAGGGTGGGGAGGGGCAGGAGGGTGTTTGGGGAGATTGACAGGCAGGGGGAGGGGGGGGGGGGGGTGGGGGGAGGGGCAGGAGGGTGTTTGGGGAGATTGACAGGCAGGGGGAGGGGGGGGGGAAGAGGGGCAGGAGGGTGTTTGGGGAGACGGACAGGGGGAAAGAGGCGCATCGTGAACCCTAGTTGCCCACTCTCACTCTCCACTCACCATCAGCCAGCCCGGTGGCTTCAGCAGCATCCACCATGCTCTTGAGCACGTCCGGGCGGCAGCCTAGAGGACCTTTGCGGAATGTTGCATACCGGCTTTTGATTGAGGCGCATCACAAGCCTACTCGCGCACCCTCACCCAGCACTCACCATCAGCCAGCCCTGTGGCTTCAGCAGCATCCACCATGCTCTTGAGCACGTCGGGGCGGCACGCCTGGCCCACAGCAGCGAAGGCGGAGCTCCAGAGGGTGATGCGCTCCCACCCGTGCGACTCAAAGTAGCAGGTGAGCGCGTGGGGGAGCAGCAGCAGCATGTCATCCCACTGCTGCTGTAAGGCTAGCTTCTGGATCGTTATGTCTGGTGAGGGGGGGTGAGAGGGAGTGGCGGAAGGGACGGGGGAAGGGGTTAGCAAAAGCGGCCGTAGCAGCAGCATCAGCGGCAGCAGCAGCGAGGGCTGAGCTCCAAAGGGTGGTGCGCTACCACCCGTGCGACTCAAAGTAGCAGGCGAGCGCGTGGGTTAGCAGCAACAGCATGTCAGACCACTGGTGCTGTAAGGCTAGCTTGTGGATCGTGATGTCTGGTGGGGGAAAGGGGGGGTAGAGGGAACGGAATGGATTCGCATCGGCAGCATGTGAATTCCACCCATGCGACTGGAATTAGAAGGTGAGCGCGTGGGGGAGCAGAAGCAGCATGTCGCCCCACCGGTGCTGTGAGGCTAGCTTGTGGATCGTGATGTCTGGTGGGGCAAAAGGGGGGTAGCGGGAAAAGAATGGATTGGTAGCAGCGTATGAGTTCTTTTTCTTTCCACCTGCGCGACTGGAAATAGGAGGTCAGCGCGTGGGGGAACAGATGTGGTGACTTTTGACTTTTGAGTCGACTCAAAAGTCACCTTTTCTTTCCACCTGCGCGACTGGAAATAGGAGGTCAGCGCGCGGGGGAACAGATGTGGTGACTTTTGACTTTTGAGTCGACTCAAAAGTCACCTTTTCTTTCCACCTGCGCGACTGGAAATAGGAGGTCAGCGCGTGGGGGAACAGATGTGGTGACTTTTGACTTTTGAGTCGACTCAAAAGTCACCTTTTCTTTCCACCTGCGCGACTGGAAATAGGAGGTCAGCGCGTGGGGGAACAGATGTGGTGACTTTTGACTTTTGAGTCGACTCAAAAGCCACCTTTTCTTTCCACCTGCGCGACTGTAAATAGGAGGTCAGCGCGTGGGGGAACAGATGTGGTGACTTTTGACTTTTGAGTCGACTCAAAAGTCACCTTTTCTTTCCACCTGCGCGACTGGAAATAGGAGGTCAGCGCGTGGGGGAACAGCAGCAGCATACAGTCGCGCAGGTGGAAAGAAAAGGAACTCACAGCATGTGATACTAATGCTGTGCGCCTAGCTTTTGGATTGTGATGTCTGGTCGGGGGACCAGGGGGGATGGAGGGGAACCATGGGAGAATAAGGGATTGATTGCAGCAGCAGCAGCAGCAGCAGCAGCAGCAGCGAATGGAGCACGGCTCAACACGCACTCACCAGGGCTGCTGGTGAGCACGGAGAGCAGAGGCACGTGGGACGCAGCAGCAGGCGTTGACTGGCCCAGATGGCACAAGCGTGTGAGCAGCGCAGGGAAGCTGGGCGCCTCAGTCACTCCGTCCTGCTCCATCCATGCCCGCACCTGTTCGGGGCAGTGTTAGGAGTGAGCAGACTTTTGAGTCGACTCAGGGAATCTGGGCGCTAGAACCACTCCGTCCTGCTCCATCCATGCCCTCACCTGCTGGGGGCAGTGTTAGGAGTGAGCAGACTTTTGAGTCGACTCAGGGAATCAGGGCGCTAGAACCACTCCGTCCTGCTCCATCCATGCCCTCACCTGCTGGGGGCAGTGGTGGGGGTGGGCTTGGCGGAGAGGAGAGGAGTGCAGGTTCTCGCAACTCAGCAAAATGCACCCCTGCAAAACGTGCCTCATCAGGGACCAGTTATCTCACCTGAGCAATTTCACCTGCGAGCGTTTTTTTATAATTCTGAAAAAACCCATTCAGACTTTGCCTCCGCAGGCACAAAGTTACCTCACCTGAGCAATCTCATCACCCCTCCTCTCAGAGCCATGAGCACCCTGTGGTACGGCCAACTTTTGAGGCGCCTCAAAAGCCACCTCAGAAAAACGCACCAGGCATTTCTCTCTCACCTGAGCAATCTCATCCTCCCTCCCTCTCAGAGCCAAAGCCATCAGCACCCGGTGGTACGGCCGAGCCAGCTCCCCTCCGAACCTCTGCAACTTGCCCCGGGACTCGGCCAGAATCTCCAAAGCTGCTCTCTCCCACAGCCCCAGCGCCCGAACCTCCTCCCACGCGCTCGAGCCTATGCCGAACCTCTCCTCGAACCTGATCAGCGCGGACAGCACAGGGAAGCGGGCTTCCATGCCTGCCCAGGAACCTTGGAAGTACTGAGATTCAGGAGATGCTGGGGAGTGAGGGGAGGGGTCAAAGTGAGGGGCGGGGCCAGAGTGAGGGGCGGGACCAGAGTGAGGGGCGGGACCAGAGTGAGGGGCGGGACCAGAGTGAGGGGCGGGACCAGAGTGAGGGGCGGGGCCAGAGTGAGAGGTGGCCTGATCAGAAATAACCAGAGCAGCAGCTCCATCTGCTTCCACTGGGCCAACCTCTCGCGGTCCACTCTCTAATCCCCCTTGCACTTCCGCCTCGCGCCTTCCCCCCTGGGTCTCTTGGTGTGCCACCTCCCCCTCACCCATGCGCCCTGCCTCAAGCCCCTGTCCAGGCAGCATGTACAGCGCTGGCAATTGAGCGGGCTCCAACTCACTCTGCCCCGTGTTAAGGCCCTGCTCTGCCAGCATGTGCAGGGCGGGGGCAGGAGCGTGGGTGCCCAGAGCTGCGTGCACGGTGGGACTCGTGAGCACCCACGGCGGGGGCATGCCCCTGCTGTGCCAGTTGATGCTCGCCCACCCATCGCTGTGCCACCCATCGCTGCGCCCGCCGTTTCCCCAGCTGCTGCTGCTGCTGCTGCTGCTGCTGGTAGTGCTGCTGCTGCTGCCACCCGTCTCCCAATCTCCCTCGCCTCCCTCGGCCCCCTCCTCCCCTTCCATTCCCTCCTCCATCGCACCAACTTCACTTCCTCCCTCCCCTTCCTTCTCCTCTACTTCCTCTTCTCCCCCCTCCTCTCCCTCCTCCCCCTCCAGCAACCCATCTCCTTCAGAGCTCCCCAGAAACCCCATCTCCTCCGCTCCCCCTTTCCCCTGTGCACCTCCCCCGGCCCACCCTCCCCCCTGCCGCCTCTCCGCCCTCTCATACTCCGCCAGTCTATAATCCGTCTCCACACCACAGCACGCGGCGAGTGCCACGTCATTGCAGTGAAACGACAGCTGTCCAGCCGCCCTCAGCCTCCAGTACACGTGGAGGGCCACCGTTGGTGCGTGCTGCTTGCGTAGGGTATGCAGCACAGCAGCGACACTCCGAGCTGGCAGCAGATACGGCTGATGTGGCATGTTGGAGTTCGGTGAAACGTTCCCAGCCGTTGATTTTGATTCTGACGATGGCCTTATTGAGCTTTCACGTATAACGTTCGCAAACGGAAGGTTCTCAGGTGAAACAACAGGTGATGCTTCAGGTGGTAACGCTTCAGATGGCGCGGCTTTCGTGCTGCTTATGCTGCTGCTGCTGCTGCTACTGTCGCTGCTGCCACAAGTCTCATCCCTTTCACTGCCTTCATGCCCCATTCCCCTCTCGTCTTGGCCTCTCTCTCCGCTGCTGCTCATCCGCTCAACGCTCTCCCGCCAATGCCTTTCCTTCTCGTTCACTGGTTGTCCAGCTAGCGATAGCAGAAGCTCGTAGTTACCCGCTACTGCTGCTTGGCTCATTCGCCACAGGAGTTCGCGAGCTCGCCTTCTGACTTGGCTTCGCTCGAATCGCCAATCTAGCTGATTCAGGGGACCCTGATCCGGATAACCCTGTCCCGTATAACCCTGTCTTGGGTCACCATGTCTCGGGTAACCCTGTCTTTGGTAACCATGTCCCGGAGAACTTTGTCTCGGGTAACCCTGTCCTGGGTAAACCTGGGGAATCCGCGTGCCAGTGTGACTTGTACTGTCACGTGTCTCCGGGTTTCTAGGAGCACCATTGCAAGGACCGATTGATCCTTGCTCACTGCCAACGCCATTGTTGCTGCCACTGCTGCTGTTGCTGCTGCTACTGTCACTGGTGTAGGGTCGAGCGGAGCTTACTACCGGCAACGACCGACACGCGGCTGCTTGGGTTCTGCACGCGTGAAACGAAAACTGGCGAAAAATTGGGTAAACGCCGAGAGGTTCGGTCTGCCGAACCACATTCCGAACGAGGCTATGAGCCGGTCGTTGAGCCGGACCATCTGCACCGAAGCTGTTAATTTCCCGTCCAAGCCACCAACGGATGAGATATCGGTTCGCTTCGCCTGATCGCCACGTGGATGCTGAATGCGGCGGACATGCGATCGACCGATGCAGGGTGACGGGGCAATCTAGCGAGTTTGATCTGGCGGCGACGAACGAGCGAATCTCGCACCCAGCGTGCTTCCCAGGTGATCTCGCAGCGGCGCGCGACGCAGCGCGGAAGCAAGACCACATGACCCCAGACCCACCGTTAACTCAAACCTAACAGGCGCTAATCCACCTGTTGTCATCCACCCTGCTCCGCCATAACGAAAAACCGTGTCATTCACTTCTTACTCCCAACAATGGCCGCCAGGGCATCACAGTGGAGGAGGAATGATCAGGAGGAAATCACGCGGGAGAAAGTTCTTTGTGAAGGGGAATGCTTCGTTTCGCGATAATTCTTTTATCTCACTAGTCTAGCTGTCTGTATCTTCACACTTCACCTGAATATTTCTTCCACTACAAGGTTCGGTGAAAAAAGAAAGGGGTCATAACTTCAGGGAAACATGATTGATTAGCAACATGATACTTTATGAACGGATCACCAAATGCGTCCTTAGTCAGTATCTGTAAACAATGCACTTTCACCACTGCACTGAAATACACATGTGCTGCTGATACGGTACCTTAAAGTATGAATAAAATGCCACTTGAACATAATACCATACGGTAGTACTTGCAAAAAGCTTCCAAAACAAAGCAACCATGTCATTGCCCTCCTATCATCCATCGTCTCTCCAGGTCCCATTGCCTTCACACAACGCTCGGTCCCTTGGCAGAGCTGACATCACCATCCACCCTCCCGACGCGACAGCATCACCTTCACAGAGCACATCTTCCCAGCCAGAGAGCATCACCCACCTTCCGCCCTGCCTCCATGCCACCAGCCACAGCGCCTTCCACCAGCCCTCCCCCTGACCCCCCACATGACAGCTTGACAGCGTTATCCTCACTTCACAATGCACTTCTACCCAGCCGAAGAGTATCACCCAGCTTCCGCCCTGCCTCCATACCGCTAGCCACAGCGCCTTCCACCAACCCTCTCATTGGACCCCCCACACAGAAATCCCCACACGCCGCCACCCGGCCCCCTTCGCTCCACAAGAACTTCTCCCCTGCTGCAGCCACCCCCGCTACAGGAAACGCCCCTCCCCACCGGTGCACCTTCCTCAAAATCGGCTCTAACCCTTCGTTCCCCTCCACCCCTCCCACACTCTCACCACCTCCCCTCCCACTGCCACCTAGCAGTATCGGCTTCACAGCGCGCCACATGTCATCTGTCACGCGTGCAAGGAGCTCTGGGGAGGGGCGGCCAGGGGGGGCAGAGGCGAGGAGGGAGGAGGCATAAAGTGCAGTGGAGTGAACCACCCAGCATTCTGGGTACTGCTCCTCCTGATACCCTTCTTCTGCTCTGCTCTGGTCCGCTCTGCTCTGCTCTGCTCTGTCTTGCCCTCCGTCTCTCCTTGCTCTGCCCGGCTTGCTGCTGTCCCTCCCAATCCACCCCACCACGTCACTCCCCACCACATCCACGCCATCAAACGCCACGTGGCTGAGAGGCTCGGCGAACGCCAGCATCATCGCGAACCTGGGCGACGCCCGGACCTCCGCCAGGGCCTGCCGAACCTGTGCTAGGCTTGGCAGGTCGGGCAGGAGCACAGGCATGGTTCGGTATGACGCACCAATTACCAGGCCGTCGAAGCAACCTAGGGAATCTCCGGAAGCCGAGAAAAGCTCCCAAGACGGAGAGAGAGGGGTGCCCTCGTCTACATCAGTCACTCCTGTAGGGTTTTTGTGCTCTAGCCAATCCGCTCGTGCCACCTGGACTCCGAATCTGGCGTTGATGTTTGCGGCAGAAGCCGCGTGTGAGGGGAGAAGCAGCGTTTGACAGAGGGCGTTCATACCAGGTACCCCCACAAACCGCTTCTCGAAACCAATATTACCCCCTTGGTGCGCTTCTCCTCCCCCTTGCGCTCTCCCCGCGTCCTCCAACTCCTCTGGAGTGAATTCCCCTTTTTCCGCGTCCCAAACTCCGAACCGCCCCTGCCATTCCGCGAGCGCCCCCGTCCCTCCGAACCTCTGCTCCAGGAACGACAGCACGTTCGGGTCGCTGAGGGTGATATATTGCGCACCATGGTCGAACCTGGCCTCTACGTTCGGCAAATCGACGGCTGCCTCGGTAGAGCTGCCAAGTGGCGGAACGGCGATACTTTCCCTCCGCTGCGACATGCGACCGCCGGGACCCCTCCCCAAATCAAACACCGCCACGTGTGCCCCGCGCTCCGCGAGTATCGACGCGGCGACGAGCCCCGAGATTCCCGCGCCTACCACCGCGACTCGCGCCGTCGCGGTCTTGACGGACGGGTGTCCATCGAGCGCAGGTGCAGCCTCCATGGAAGTTGCCGAGGCGAATGAATGTGTGCCACGTGTCAGTCTTTGGAGAGGTATGGTCGTTGAGGGTACCTCGGCTGTAAGACGCGGAAATTGAGAATGAAGGTTCCGGGAAGCTCTCCGGTCGTGGATCGAGGGGGGGCTAACGGGTGTGACACAGCGAGGTGTGACAATAGGCGGTGGGGACGCGCGAGTAACGGGAATGCACGGACTGCTGCTAAGTCTGACTAAATGGAGGTCAATGCGGAAAATTAAGGGAGATTTAGTCACCGCGCGGCGGGTGTGGAACGGACAGATCTGACGCGCTCGGAGACGAGGGAGAGAACAGCGAGGAAGGGACCTGGCGACGAGCGAGGACGACATTCACATTCAAATGATCTTGTGCGGGACTTTTGACAAGTTTTAAATTCTCTCTTTTCGCATCAACGTTCAGCTTTACGCTCGAGAGAGGAGCAGCGAAATGAGCAGTGCCGATCGTAAACGGGAGGGGTAACGGCGGCGAGGCGGGGATCAAACGGGGTGCGAGAAACGGCTGCAATGGTTTACAAGGCCCCACAGTAAAGCGCTCTAGAAGTTGATACTAGTCAAATGCAAAATGCAGCTTTGATTTTCATTTTGGAGCTCTGGTCCAGAGACAGGGAGGTAGAGCGAGAATTTGTAGGGTGGGATGGGATGGCTGCGAAACAACAACACGAATGCGAACGCGGCGCCGACTGTCGTGACCTATTTCGCCACGTTGAATCCAATCTTCTTCGCAGACAGAGAGTGGAGTGGTGATTGCTGCGGTGACGTGGCCGAGCGAGCACCAGCCGATGGAGAGTCGTGGTGCGATGTCTCGTTATTAGTCACGGTTGGTCCTCACAAATAAACAAGTGCAATATTTATACATGTTCATGCATACTTCTAATACGGCACATCTATCCAAGTTCAGAGGTGCAGCCGTATGTGATGAGCTAATTAGATCAGCGGCGTCTCATCCCCTCCTTGGTGCTGCTGTTTGCCTGTGATCGTTGCATTGGGCCTCGAGGGGATGGTGAGGGAGAGGGACTGTGCAGTGCAGTCTCCGCTGGCTCGCTTTGAAAGGATAGTGGAGCATACGGTACCTTGTCGAGAATGCAGATGGAAATGAAGGTGGATCTCTGACTGATGGGTTCCTTGGCAGGTTGATCGCCAGGAATCGCCAGGAAGGTGGGCAGTCAGAGAAGCAGCAGCGGTGGTTGGGATGTGAAGGGGTGACTGAGGAATGAAGGATGGATAGGTGGTCCGGAGGAAGTTGAAGCTATACGCAGGAGTCGACGCAATGGAGGGGTTGGGGGTGGTGGTGAGAGCTTCTGCAAAAGGCACGCTCGCCAAAGGTCACCTGATGAATGGGTGCATCAGCGGGCAGCTTCACTTCAGGCAGAAACAAAACATACTAGTACACACGGTGTTTCGGATTAAAAAAGGACTTCCAGTGATCCCTCTCCATCCGCCCCTCCCCCCTCCCCCTTCTCCAAAAAAACTTTGGCTTTACTGCAAAGCATGCAAACACAGAGTTCCATTCTCAGACCCCCAAGGGTTCAAACGGTTGCATCTGCTGCCAATTCTGCCGGCCCGCACCCAGGAATGGCATCTAGTAACGGGGACGCCAGAACCATCCCGCCTTCCATATAATCCCCTCCCTCCACCTCACCAGCTCTTCGCTCCTGCTGAGCTGTCAGTGCTGACGTGGCAGATGAGTCCGGAATGTAAGAGGCAGGAGTGAAGCTGGAGAGAGAGGAGGAAGAGGCAGAGGAGGGGAGGAGGAAGAGCAGCGCGGTGGTGGCGGCAAGGGAGAGGCCCAAGCCTAGGAGGGTGGACTTGAGGCGATTGAGCACTGGCTTCACCTGTATCACACAGGTGGGGTTTGAGGAAGAGAGATTGGTGAAACCTTTCAAAGTGGTTGCATCTTGAACGCAAGGAGGAAGAGGAGGGCGGTGGTGGCGGCAAGGGAGAGGCCCAAGCCCAGGAGGGTGGACTTGAGGCGATTGAGCACTGGCTTCACCTGTTGGGGGCAGGTGGGGTGTGGAGAGATTGGTTGGAATATCAGACTCCCTTCATCGTAAACCCGAGGAGAGGCGGAGATGAGACAGATGGGCATACATGGATGGTGCACACAGCGCTTGCAACAACAGGGGCATAGCGAGGCTCAGAAGAAGCAGGTTATCTGCTGTGTGCGGCCCAACCCACCTTGTAGGAGGCGAGCAGTCTGTCTCGCGCCAGTAGCTCAGGGGTCTTCACCCACACCTGCCCATCATACCACCCCGTCTCCTCGTCTGTGAGTGTGGGGGAAAAGGGGAGCGGGGAAGGTGAGAGTTGCTCAGGAGCTTGGTTGTGAAACAGTAGCACTGACTGTTTTGCAGCTCAGGGGTCTTCACCCACACCTGCCCGTCGTACCACCCCGTCTCCTCGTCTGTGGGGCATAGAGTGGGGGAAAAGGGGGTGGGGGAAGGTGAGAGATGCTCGAAGGGCTTGAGAAAGCGATGTGTGTGTGTGTGTGTGAGGAAAGGGAGGGGGGTGGGGGCGGCTGGGGGGTGGGTGTGTAAAACAGTAGCACTGCTTACTATGTACTTAGTACCAGACTATAGCTCACATTCCACTGTAGCACTGAACAGTCTGTTGCCGATATATGACCACCCCAGATACAGCCGAAGCGCCGCCAGAGTAACCGCCAACTGACCGCCGCCCAGAGACCCCAGCAGACACTGTAGCGCGTCCCTCTGGGAAAGGGGGAAGGAGGTGAGGGAGGGAGGAAGAAAGGGAGAGACGGAAAAGGAAAGTACGGATGCAGGAAGGGAGGGAGGTAGGAATGTAGGGGGGCGTGGGAATGGGGTTAGAGAAAAGGCAGGAAGCGAGACGGGGGGACGGGAGGCGGAAGGGAATGGGGATGGAGGAAGAGGGAGGCAAGTGGGAGGCCTCGACGGACGAGAGAGGGGGAGGGAAGGGAGAGCCAATACACTTTGGGGTTGCACCCCTACCTTAGGATCGAACGTCAGCGACGCGATAGGCCAGCCAATCAGCGCGGAGACAACCACTCCAATGCCCAGGAGCCGCAGCGCGTAGTTAAGGCCGTCTAGCGTGACCCACGGGAACACCGCGCTCTCTAGAAGGCTCTGGTACTCGTTAATAGGCTGCTGCTCCTCCGGCACGGGGCAATCTGTTCCCGAGTCTGCTAATAACGGGTCCCACCGCGGCCCGCTTCTCTGACTCGAGCCATTGTCGGCTTGCGCGCGCGGAGCGGATACGCGGAGAGCGCGCCGCCGGTGCGGAACGGCTGGGCGCGCAACTAGGGTGAAATCGACGTTTGGATGTGAAGGAACGGGGAGAAGCGTGCGGTGGGACAGGGAGGCGGACACGTGGCAAAGGCTTGTCGAGGCCATGGTCACGGGATTCGAAAGAGCGGTTTCCGATCCGATGCGCGGAATTCGATGCTCTTAGCAGTAGAGAGAGTAAGGGACACTAACGGTTGCAGACAGACGAGACGGCTTGCCGTCGGGGGACCGTCATAGATGCTTCACTGCGGCCTAGACGAACCAATACGAACCCCTCAAATATATAAAGAAGCTGGTGCCTGATGGTTTAGAATCGCTTCAGGAAAAGAGAGCACGAGAGGCGCGAGAGGCGCGAAACGCGGGAGAGAGGGAGAGATTTAGGCGAAAGGGACTCCCTACTCGTATTGTCAATGCGCGACTCGTACTGTGTTCCGTAGAGCACGCAGTGACAGTGAGGGCGCGGAAAAGGGCGAATCTGTGTGGCGCGACGAACTTGAGAAAGGCAAGTGGCTTCACCCATCGGGTAGGGAAGGGCTAGATGCATGCGCGGTGGTCAGTCAGTCGCCACGTGGTCAGCAACCACTAATAGCGAGGCACGTAGCTGAAGCTATGGGAATGATACAAATAACCTTTATGAGCCTCCTGCGATATCAGCCTTCACAAACAATTTGGAGCTTGCATCAGTATAGCAATGAGAACAAATATAAGATATGATCCAGTTTTACTTGTAACTCAAATTATCTTTGCATGATGATTTTGTTTCGTACATCCTATCAGCCATCAATATGAGTGACTCCTAACCCCCGGTAAAAGCTCAGCTCTACGTGCTAGTTGGCAGCTTAAACCCCAACTTAGCCAACCCTATACGCTCGACAAAAAACACTCGGTGCGGCCCATGGTACCGAAACACTACAACCCCGCTATAAGCCGTGCGCGGCACCCCTGCCTTCCACTCCTGAAAAACACCAAACTCCCCCGCAAGCTCCGCGAAACTGCCTTCATCCCGATACTCCACCATTACATCGTAACCGAGCTCCGATGGGGTTACCACCTCGGTGTTGACTGCTGCAAGTGGGATGAGGCGAGCCGAACGCAGCTGGGAGAGCATGTAGGACGGGTAGCTGACGTCCAGCAGGTAACTGAGGTCCTTCTGAGCCCAGTTGATGGGCTCGGTGTTGAGCCTGATGGGTGCCAGGTACTGGCTGAAGTATTGACCCATGCTGGAACCCTGGGGGAGAGGAGAGGAGCAGAGGCAGGAAGGGAGGAGGGAAAGCAGGTAGGGTTTGACAAGGTGGGATCAACAGGCGGCACGGGCTGAGAGAAATTGGCTGAAGTACTTGCATTCAGATTCAAGGTTACAGGGACTAGGGTTCTAGGCTACAGAGAAAAGGACCGTAGCCAAAGTGAAGTGTTCCAGAATCTGTAAGTCCAGACCTGCAGACCCACTCACATGCTCCCCGAAGTTGTAGGTTCGGCAGACCTCCGGGCGGATGGTCTGACGGCCCTTGCGCTGCTCCGGGAGGCGCAGCCAGTCGTCCCAGTAGGCCCTGGCCCACTTGGGCTTGAGCTCCGCCCACAGCTCTCTCCTCAGCATCCAGCCCAGCCCTGGGAAGAAGTCCGAGCGGTACAGCTGGTGCGCGTCGTGCACGAATTGCTTCTGCCCGTTGTCGTTCCAGGAAGATACCGCTAGGATGGACCTGCAAGGATGGGATGGGGACGATGGAGGGTTTGCGAGTTGTTGTTGGCGTCAGGGAGCATCGCACCGCACCGCATCCCATTGCATTGCAACACATCGCATCACGACTCAGCACATCGCGTCGCGTGAATCACGCTGCACCGTACTGCATGTCACCTGACCGGGCTGCAGCTCATTGCATCATATCACACCTCATTGCATCCAACCGCACCGCATTCCACAACACGTGCCTTCACTCACTCGTCCACATCTAGCAGGTTGGAGGCGGCCTCAAAGTAATCAAAGAAGTCAGGAGCTAGCTCCATGTCGTCTGGGCGGACATGTGGGAGAAAGGGGTTAAAGAAACGGGGATGGGTGCATGAGTGGGTGGGTGGGAAAATGGGTGGATGGGTGGCAAAGTATATGCCTGTGAGAGGGCATGACGAGGGTCATATAATGAACAGCAATACGCCAGGAGTGACAGCGAAGCAGGGGTGTTTGAACGAGTACCTTCGAGAATGATGACACGTGGAAACTGGCGTCGGTCAAAGAGCTCTGTGAGGGCGAACTTGTAATGCTCTGAGCTTGCGTGCACACATGAATAGTGATAGGCAGGGAGGACGTGGGCAGGGGGTGTAGAGAAGGGGGGGCAGGTTACGTGGACAGCTCTTGTTTGTACTCCCTACAGTACAACAACGCAGAGCTGCACTGCACACACGAGCAGTAAGATAAGCAATAAGGTCAGCGTGGCCCTCAGAAGCATTAACACTGCACACGCCATCAGTGGAACCTGTGTGCTGTGAGGATACTGGAGTGACACAATGGGAAGCACATGGAATAGGTGATACCCACGAGGGAATTCAAAAATCACCCAGCTAGAACTGCGCATTCACACAGAAGGGGGGCATAAGAAACCACCCGCATCCCCACCTGCTATTCTGTAATACGCAATGTTCTCCCCTGGGTTGTTCATTCTGGGGGGTGCTGTCTCGATGTGCTGTATGCACACAGGCACACAGGCAGGCAGGCATACAGGCACACAGGGACACAGGTGGACACGCAGACAGGCAGACAACAGGAGGGGGAAGGGGGATGAGGGGACCGAAGATGTACGAGGAGCTAAAAAACTGTTGCACACCTGCAAATAAGTGCCTTACCACAATTCCCAGTTAACAGCTGTCTTGCGGGTAGGTTACTCACCAGTTGGCACGTGAAGTGCCGGAATGAGCTCACCTGTAGGTAGGTGAACTGGTGGGCCTGCTTGGCCCTCTCCTTGACGCCTGCATTCGTGCCGTCCTGAGTCCAACCACACACAGAGGGTTCAGGGTTAGGGCTTCGGGTTTAGGCATGGCGGCATACATACGGGGAAGGTGACAAGTGGGAGGAAACGAAATCAGAAAGCCGGGCGAATGGGATGGGCTGTCATCTCATGCCATGCGCCGTCAGACAATGTCATCTCATGCCATGCGCCGTCAGACAATGTCATCTCATGCCATGCGCCGTCAGACAATGTCATCTCATGCCATGCGCCGTCAGACAATGTCATCTCATGCCATGCGCCGTCAGACAATGTCATCTCATGCCATGCGCCGTCAGACAATGTCATCTCATGCCATGCACCGTCAGACAATGTCATCTCATGCCATGCGCCGTCAGACAATGTCATCTCATGCCATGCGCCGTCAGACAATGTCATCTCATGCCATGCGCCGTCAGACAATGTCATCTCATGCCATGCGCCATCAGACAATGTCATCTCATGCCATGCCATGCCATGCCAAGCCACGCAAAACGAGGCTATGCAGGGGGCATGTGGCACCTGGGAGATGAAGAGGGGGAACTTGCTGTCAGCGCCCTTGTGGTGCCTGCACGGAGGGTAAGTAGTGCGGACAGGGCAGAGAACACGGGATGGTGAGGGACGGACAACAGCAAGGAAGCAGGATGGGTGTGGAATGCAGTGGACTTGAATGACTTAATTCACTAGCCCAATCATGGCACCTGAAGGCAGCACTTCGAATGGCAGGGCACACTCACTGCATGCGAGTAGAGGCGTCTCAAGTTCTTATGCGAGGCTTCGTCAATCTCCCACATTGAAACGTCTCCAACCTTGATACTCACAGCAGCACGGATTGGATGGTGCGATCGAGATAGTCAACGCGGTTACACGCCATGATCACCACCGCTGCCACGGCATCCTTTGCCTCGCCCCCTCCCCGCATCCTCCCTGCTCTCCCTGCTCCCCCTGCCTGCACCACTCCCCCATCCTGCACCTTCCCTCGTATGTTACCTCCCGCCCCCCCTGCTCCTGTCTGCCCTTCCGTCGCTGCCTTTACATGTGCTGCTTCTTGTTTCTGCTGTTGCTGTTGTTGTGCGCTATGCTCTTGCGCCTTCTGCTGCTCCTGTCTTCTCTGAGCAGCTTCCTGCACACGGACATGAATATGCATGCTTCTCACTCGATGGTTCAACGTCAGGGCGAAATTTGGGCACTAGGATTACAGTGCGACCTCCAAGCAGAAGGGACATGAGGGCAACTCACCAGCTCTGCAGTGAGTAGACGGGCACCAGCAGGCCAGGCGGTGAGCAGGTGCGCAGCAGGCGGGCCGCAGGCGGGCGGCAGGCGACATTACAGAATGAACGCCGAATACAGAGGCGCATATGAAACATATCCAAGGCAGCATGGCGCAGGAACAGTGAGTCGTTAGTGGGTGTTGGCCGTGCAGACAGCGAAGAGGGTGGGAGGCGAGGAGGGAGGGTGAAGGCACAGGGGGGGGAACAGGTATGAGGACACAGGGACGGGGATAGGTAAGCCATCGATAGTGGTGCAAAGTGGAGTGAGCAAGGAAGCAGAGAGCAATTACTGCACAAATCACATGCAAGCAGGATACAGACAAGCATTTCAGGCTTCCCACGCATCCTAGGCTCCACCCTACCTGCACCTAACGCTGCAGCGCCCGCATCTATGGCAATGCCGCAACGTTACTCTCATCCATTCACATACCTCACCCACGCGTGGAATACCCAGTCCCTGCCCACACATAGCACCGACCATCCATACCACACTGGTGGAACCCATGCGGGCGCCTGCGCCACTCACCTTGCCGCGTCTGCTTGTAAGCCGTTTGCGCCTTCTCCAGCTCCTCCTCCAGCCCCATCGCGACTTATAAGACGTCTCAAATGTCGTGTACCGCTTACCTTGTTGCAGCGCTTGTACGCTGGCTGCGCCACTCACCTTGCCGCGTCTGCTTGTAAGCCGTTTGCGCCTTCTCCAGCTCCTCCTCCAGCCCCATCGCGTCTCCTGCGTCAGTGGGAGAAGACGTGTTCCATTTGTGTCGATTCAGGCAAACATTACGTTCATTTATCGGCCTGAATTGTCTCAACTTTCAGCACGTGCAGCAGCAGGTTCAGTTAAAGAACACTGATCAGCAGTTTTTCCTCTACAAGCGTAGGCGAAAATGCTCGTGTGTGATCTAGTCGAGATTCATAACAGGAAAAGAGCTTGGCCTGTTATATTATTCATGGAGATTGGCGCCCTATATTAATCCTGTGAGGTTCAAGCGTGGTCATATCGTACAGTGTGCAGAATAAATGGTGAGCTATCGCATGTCCCAACGGCACTCACGGGTGACATCTGTCAGGTTCTTCCGCAGCGCGCGAGCCTCGTTGGCCCACTTGCGCTGCGCCTCCATGAGCACCTTCACGCGGTCCGAGCACTCCGTTCCCACCATCAGCATCCGAATCTGCACGCAATATCGAGTTTTGACGAGATGCGAGATGGATAGGCATGGCGGTATGGAGAAAATAAGGTGAATGTGCGCTAGACTTCCATGAGCACCTTCACGCGGTCCGAGCACTAAGCTCCTATCACCGGCATCCGAACCTGCCCGGGGAGATCAGATTTTGACGGAATACAAGACGGATAGAGACGGCAGTATGCAGAAAATAAGGTGATTTTACGCTGGTGCAGAGGCCGGGACGACGACGGGTTGCACACATACATGCTCTAGGACAAAGCGATCGCTGGAATGACATCGAGAGAATGAGGCACGTCGGCTGCGCTATAATCGGATTCACAAGAACGAGTGCAATGCGAGCCGACCTGAACGAGCACGAAGGAGAAGGCGCACGCGATGAGCAGCCATCGCACGATGGGAAACGACGACCTGCGCTTCGCCATCCCTTTGATTACAGCCGAAGCGCGCTACAGAGTCGAATCAGATCGGTGCGCAGACGTTATATCGCATAGCTATGCTCGTAATGAGAAGCCTCCACACAGAATAGTAAGAAATCTAGAAGAGATGGACTGCGGGAATAAAACGGTCAAATAAAAACGATGATCGCGGGACCAACCATAATCTCGAGCGCACCGCGCAGTGTTTCTGGTATTGCAGGGTGCGTGATGTATGCAGGGAAGAGGAGACCAAGGGACAGGTAATGAGGCAATTTGCCTGGGCACAAAAAACTCGACAGAAATCGGCGGGATCTTAGGAAATGCAACTCCAAGGGAGACAGAATCCCGAATCCCGATATCGATAATAATAAAAGAAAATGGTGTACACCGTTCTACTCATGACCCACTGAGTCTCTCAAATACCAGTAGGAGACATCTTGGAACAGAAGCATTGACATGCATCATACAAACATAGCTAGCACCATACACAAACCAAACATGTCCAATCTTTATGATATGTGAGATTTCGAAAAACAGATTTGCAGGTGGGGTGCATCATGCATGCATATACACATCTGAGTACCTAGCAGCAAGCACCTTGAACTAGCGTACTGAATTAATATTGCAGATCAGGAGCCCATGGCCAAAAGACAGATCATTACAGAAAGAAGTTTCACTTTGCCACATACTGTAAGAAGGTAGGCTTCATGGACCCAACACTGGTGGCCTTCTCTTGCCTCTGACCCTTCACTTGTCAGCAAGTGCCAGTGGCAATCACCACCACCACTGCACATGCCATGCCATCTCATCCGCATCACCCCCTTGTTCCAGGCACTCTAGCCACTCTCCACTACCATCACTGAGGATGGGAGGTGAGTGAGGAGAGCGGGAGGCGGTGGAGGGGAGGGGGTGAGGCCCCAGGAGCGAGGCGACAGCAGAGCAGGGAGGGAGGTTGAATTCCCCAGAGTAAGGAGGTCGAGAGGCAGGTGAGAGGGTTGAAACACCCTGGATAAAGCGGGCAAGAGGCAAAGGAGGGAACTTCCCTGCCCATTGCTTGCTTCAGCCTGAAGGTTTCAACCCCTTCCTCCCCCCCACCCTGCCCCTCAAAAGCCTTACTCTGAAGGATTCAGCCCCCTTCCCCGCCCCTCAACTTCCGTGTTGAGGCCGGTGTGAGCAACCAGCGCCTGCGGTTGGGGAAAACAGCAAGGCTTCCACAAGGAAAAAAAGAAGTCAGAAGAGAGGGAAGCTGCACACGAAGATGCCAACATCAAGCGCAAGAGTTCTGTAACATGGGGCGAGAAGGGTGAAAATGCAGGGCAACGGCAGTCACAAGGGGCATAAAGTGAAGCCTACCCTGATTTGATAAAGCCTGTCGTCCTGGCGATGCTGCCCTTGCCATTGCCCGGCCAGCATGCATCAGGGCGGCCCTACAACCGGTCCCAGAGTCACATCACCAGCCGCCACAGATAATCAGGACGCCAATATTTGTGAGATGCCTCAAAGCTCATCGCCACGCGGTCAGAACAATCATCAGGGATGCAGCGGCTCTTGAGACTGATTCAAAGATCATCGCCAGGCGGCCACAAACAGCATGGGCACGCCACGCCAGCTGAGCTGCAGGGCGCCCGTCTCAGCATGCACTTCCAGCCGGAACCGCCTGTCCTTCCCCTCTGTGATCTCCCTCCCAGCCGCCACCGTGTCCGGCCCTAAAGGTACGGGTTCCAGCCCCACAGCTCTCATCCGATGCACCCATTTCTCGAGCCGCTCCGCCCGCAGCCATCGGTTCATGCCCTCGCATGCGACTCCATTTATAAAGTCGTGTGCAAGGATGCTTTCTACCGCGAAGCGTGGCGTGGCAGCGTGCGGCATGGAAGCATCAAAGGACTCGACGAACGCTGCAAAGTTGGCGAAGGCAGCGTGGAAGCGCGAGAGGAAGAAGGGGCCGTTGGCGTCCAAATCAATGTCGACCTGGAGTAGCAGCAGCGGGCGCAGGTCGCGAATCCACCTGAGGATGGAGTTGCGGGGGTTGGAGCGAAGCACTGTGTCGTCTGGAAAGACCATGAGGCCCCAATTGGCCGACACCACCACCTCCTCTCCTTCATCCACCTCCATTTGCGACGGATGGAAGTCGTGTGGCGTGGTTTCTATGCCGTGGAAGGTGAGAGAGAGGCCCATCATAGATGCCACCTGCTCCAGGTACTGCCCCCCCAAATGCACCAGGCCCGTTGGATACTCCTCCACTTTGACAACACCTAAGTCAACGGCTGTGATTCTCATGTGGACCGTAGGGCGGGGCGGGGGAGTAGCGTGTGAAAGAGGTGTGGTGGGGTTTGTGGGGATCCCACTTGGCGGAAGGTCATTGTCGGCGGCAGCAGAGGCGGGGATGAGAGGAGGGGTGGAGAAGTGAGCTGCGAGGCGCATGAGAATGTTGATCCAATGCGGCCCGCCGTAGAACCCAATGGCTATGATGTGCAGCCGCCGCTGCCGCACGGAGTGGCTTGCAGAGGCAGGGAAAGAGACATGCTGGGCGGAAGGAGCAGGCGGGTGCAGTTTGTGTGGGAGGGTGGCAGCGGAATGGGGAGCATGGCCGAGTGCGTGTGCATGTGGGTGCGTGCGTGCGTGAGCATGTGGCTGGCGGGTGAATGCGTGAACGACTTCGTGCACGGCTGCAGTGTTGGCGAGGTGCATGAATGTCGGCATCCCATGCTCGTTGCCATGGCCCATCGCTGCCAACGAATCCTGCTCACATAGGACACGTCACATGCATGGGACACTTGGCATGCATGGGATGGATGGTATGCATGGGACCTACGGCATGCTTGGGGAACATCGTATGCATGGAACACGTGGCGTGCATGGGACACGTGGCGTGCATGGGACACGTGGCGTGCATGGGACACGTGGCATGACATGCATCGAAGGGGGAGAGGGGGGGTAAGGGGGGAGAAGGTGGGGAGGGGGGAAGATGGGGAGGGGGAAAGGTGGGAAGGGGGAAGGCGGGGAGGGGGGAAGGTAAGTACCTGAAGGGTGACTTTCAAGGGGGTGCGCCATCTTGTGAGCGCGGTGCCATCTATGCGTGCCCGCAGCGCCTCCAGCGCGTGAAAGGCGATGCGCTGCAGCGTGTCCCCCCCTGCTGCCGCCTCCCTCCGCACCTGCCGCATGAACTGCCGCCACCGCACCTGGTGGAGGGAGGGGTTTGGTTGAGGGCATGAATCCGCTTTTGTTGAACCATCAAAAGAGCTTTCGGGAATGAGCACCTGTGCATGCACTGCCACCACTGCACCTGGTGGGGGGAAGGGGTTTGAATGCGTGTGGTTTGGGATAAACAGGTCAGTGAGACGGAGATATTTGGGGGACAAGAAGAAATGAGATGAAGGACAGGAGGAAGTGAGACGACGAACAAGACTCCAAATAGTGCACTGCTGCTCTTGCTCAGCCATGCATCAGCACAAGCCAACGAACATTCCACTCCCCACTTGACACGAGCCCCACACACCGAGTCATCAACAGCCATGGCTTCAGCAAGAGCCATGAGCTGCTGCTTCAGCATGCCCTCCCTCGCGCCACACATGGGCCGTGGCAGCATGCCCGACACATCCACTCGCAGGGGCCTCTCGGGGCCGAATGCAACAACGTGGGGGGTGGCGACAGACGCCCTGCTTGCTGCACTGTGCCCTGCACTGGCTGGGGCAGTGTTCAGTGGGTTGCTGTGCGCCTTATTGACGTGAATCCTGCCTAGTGCACTGCTGTCCAGAGAAGATGCTGGCCACTGCACTTGCTGGTCATATCCACAAGTAACAGCATCGCTACTGTTAGCAGCAGAGGAGAGCAGTGTTGAGCGCATAAAACCATTCGCGTCTCCCCGACTGCTTCCAACCACGAGCCTGCTCTCAGACGCCTGTATGCAAGAGACTGCAGACGCTACTGCTAACTCTACTGCTGCTGCTGCTACTGCTGCTGTTGTTGCTACTGCTGTAGCTGTCCCTGGCGCTGCTGCTACTGCTGCTGCTGCTGTAGGTGGTGCTGGTGAGATCGATGCTGCTGCTGCGGATGAACCCAGCACGGGGAACGACCAAGCTCCAGCGGTAGACGCACTGGCAGAGGGAGCTGCAGGCGCGGCGGGAGCTGCGGGCGTGGCAGCACAAGGAAGGCACGGCTTGGGCAAGCAGGGGAGGGTTTGCCAGGGGGAGGTCGCAGGCCCCGGTGGGTTGATGTTTTGCAGCACGGCGGCAAGGCGGGAGGAGAGGTCGGGGGGTCGCCGAGGCAGCTTGGACGGTGGCGGAGCGGAGGGAGGATCGGCGGGAGGCCCTCTGATCCCGCCCACGCCTATGTCACCGCCGAGATAGGGCGAGAGGCGCTGGGTGGGAGAGGAGCGCTGGGGGGAAGAGGGTCGGGCATGGATGGCGGAGCGGAGAGGACGCGTGCTGGGGGGTATACTCGACCGAAGGGATCCCTGCTGCTGCTCGCCCAGATCGTGATCTTGCCCTTGCTGCTGCGTCTGCTGCTGCGACTGCTGCTGCGTCTGCTCCTGCGGTGTCAGCAGCTGAATCTGCGCTTCCTCCTGCTCTGGCAACAGCAGCTGCGCCCTAGGTGCTTGCTCACGCTGCACTTGCTCACAGCGGCCCCTCGCGTTCTGAAAAGGCGCTGGCGCTACCGCCGCGAACAACCGCTCGTAAGCTTCTTCGAATGTCAGCACCTGCGGACGGGAACCATCAGGCTGCAATGCGCGCAGAACGTATGCTGACGTGGCAGGGAAACCTTGTTCTGATCCCAACTCCGCATTCCGAGGTTGATCAGGAAGCCACGTGGACGGACCAGCCTGCTCTGACACGCACGTGTCTAAATTGCTGGGTGCAAAACTGCTGCCTGCATTATTGCTGGCTGCAAGAACGTTTCCTGTGTCCGGGACATACCCCTTCACTTGATGGGACAATTCAACCCTTTCTACTCGGCCGTCTTCGGGGGTGGCAGAGTCATGGCTATGGCTCACGCCGCTGAAGTCCCACGCATCTATTAAATCCGCGAATGCTTCACCTGATCCATCCGTACGCGCCTCACGTGTATTTGTTTGTCGTATGGGATCTACGCCATCCGAATCAGGTGGAGTCCCCCTTTCCGTGAATTCTCCAAGTAAATCATCCAATCGAAATTTTGGACTAAATTCGACTGGGTTAGCTGGAGCACCGAGTGCAGGAACATAGTCTGTGTGAGCGTCTCCTATATATGCATCACCTATAAGAGCATCGTCGCCTATCAGGAAAGCAAGTGACGGATCTAAAGAATTGAACGGTAACTCCGGGGGAAGCTGTGTCTGCAAGTGAGGGTCGTCGGTGGAAGGCGGAGGATGAGGCAAAACGGCTTCGTCGAACGACAGCCAGTGCTCAACGTCCGCAGGCGCCAAGTCATCAAAGACGAAGACCGTGACCGGCTCGCCGATCATGTCTCTACGTGACAGAAACTACAGCTGTGGTCGGATCTCGGAAGTTAAAGGCAGCAGGTTGTATCCCATAGTCGTGCCCTTAGTAGTATGTCTACGTGATCGGTTATGGAGTGGGGAGGTTGGCAAGAATATGCTATGGATGGTGTGGATAACCGATCCATCCATTAGAAAGCTATGGCATCGGGTCTAGAAAGAATTCTCAAGGCTTGAATTCCCCAGATGTGATTCTTCGTTTGACACGTACACTATTTCTGATAAACCATCAAATATTGGAAAATATTAGAACATATCATTCTCTTCACCACTTGCACCTAGACTGCTAGTAAGCACAAACAAACGCTTCTTCATTTAACGTTTTTGGGACGACATTGAAATTTTGGCCAATGTCATTTCCAAGACATAAATGGAGAGTTTTCCCAAGTAGCTCGAAGGATGGGTCACATCTCACTTATGCAACTCCATCTCGGGAAGGCTTACAGCACGGATTATGAAGCCTGCAGCAACAGTTAGGGATGATGTACGTGTAAATTTAGTCTCAACACACTCGAGTTGAGGTTCCGACAAGTCAGAAGGGAGGCAAGATGGACAGGCATGAGCAAATGCAAAACATTAAGCACAAGAAACAGAAAATTAGGACAAGAAATACGGTTGAAATGCAGGAGAGTGGAGGTTAAATTAACCAGCCTGAACCTACCCTGGTTTGATAAGACCTGTCTTGTATTCATGAGCTTGGCTATGCTGCCCTTGCCACTGCTCCGCCAAGTTGTGGAACGCAGCAACCTCGGAATCGGTCACAGATTCATCTCCAGTCAACAACGAGCATCGGTGCGCTGCAGCTTATGAGACCAAGGTGGTCTTAGATCCAGACCGACTCCCAACTCATTCCAGGCAGCCACGAATTCAAGGGCACGCCGCACCGGCTGAGCTGCAGAGCGCCCGTCTCACCATGCCCGTCTCTCCCAGCCGCCACCGTGTCCGGCCATGCCACCTGTTGATCAGAGGGATACCCAACGGCCAACCCCAGACTCATCTCAGGCCACTGTAAAGATCATGGAAACGCCACGCCAGCTGAGCAGCAGGGCACTGCGCTCACCATGCACTTGTAACCTGAACCGCCTCCCATCCTTCCCCACTGTGATCTCCTTCACAAGGGCCAATCCCGGACTCATCTCCAGGCCGCTATGAAGATCATGGGAACACCACGCCAGCTGAGCTGCAGGGCGCCACTCTCACCATGCACTTCTAACCTGAACCGCCCATCCTTCCCCTCTGTGATCGCCTTCCCAGCCGCCACCGTGTCCGGCCCTATAGGCACCGGCTCCAGCCCCACCGCTCTCATCCGATGCACCCATTTCTTGAGCCGCTCTGCTCGCAGCCATCTGTTCATGCCCTCGCATGCGATCCCGTTCATAAAGTCCCGCGCGAGGATGGATTCTGCTACGAAGCGTGGCGTGGCGGAGTGCGGCATGGTGGCATCAAACGACTCAACGAATGCCGCAAAGTTGGCGAAGGCAGCGTGGAAGCGTGAGAGGAAGAAGGGCCCGTTGGCGTCCAAATCAATGTCGACCTGCAGGAGGAGCAGAGGGCGCAAGTCGCGGATCCACTTAAGGATAGAGTTGCGGGGGTTGGAGCGCAGCACAGTGTCGTCTGGGAAGACCATAAGGCCCCAATTGGCCAGCACCACCACCTCCTCCCCTTCATCCACCTCCACTTGCGACGGGTGGAAGTCGTGAGGGGTTGTTTCTATGCCGTGAAATGTGAGAGAGAGGCCGAGCATAGATGCCACCTGCTCCAGGTACTGCCCGCCCAGATGCACCAGCCCTGTCGGATACTCCTCCACTCTGATGATTCCGAAATCAACGGCTGTGATTCTCACGTGGACCGTGGGGCGGGGCGGAGGAGCAGCATTGGTCAGGGATGAGGTGTGGGTCGTTTGTGAAGGAGGTGTGGGAGGATTTGGAGTGTGGGGTGCGGGGTGAGTGCTCCCACTGCTGCCGCTCGTGCTGCCGCTGCTGGTAGAGCTATTGCTGCCTGCCACAGGGCCGACGGCAGCAGGGGTGGCGGCGGCAGAGGCGGCGGCGGCAGGGGCGGCATTGGCGGTGGCGGGGAGGAGGGGCAGGGTGGAGAGGTGGGCGGCGAGGCGCATGAGGATGTTGATCCAGTGCGGCCCGCCGTAGAATCCAATGGCTATGATGTGCAGCCGCCGCCGCCGCACGGACTGGCCGGCAGAGTGTGAGGCAACGGGAGGGAGAGGGGCAGGCTGGGGGAGAGAAGCAGGGTGGGGGGCGTGTGGGTGGCCGCGACTCTGTGCATGTGCGTGTGTGTGTTGTTGTGGTTGGTGGGTGAAGGCGCGAACAACTTCATGCACGGCTGCAATGTTGGCGAGGTGCATGAATGCCGGCACTCCATGCTCGTTGCCATGGCCCAACACTGCCATTGAGTCCTGCTCACATGGGACACGTCGCGTGCATGGGACACGTGGCATGCATGGAACAAGTGGCATGCATAGGCCACGTGGCATGCACATGAAGGCTTAGCACATAAAGCGGCTGACGGGAAAGGGTACGTGTCCGAAGCAAAAAACACAGAGCATGTAGTGTGTGCGAGCATCTATCAACCCACATCTAGATACATATAGGCATAGAGATGTGTAACAACATTGCCCGGAGGGGGGAGAGGGAGGGAGAGGGGAAGATGAGGAGTGGGGAAGGTCGGGAGTGGGGAAGGTGGGGAGTGGGGAAGGCGGGGAGGGGGGAAGGCAAGTACCTGAAGAGTGATGTTCAAGGGGGTTTGCCATCTTGTGAGCGCGGTGCCATCCATGCGCGCCTGCAGCGCCTCCAAGGCGTGGAAGGCGATGCGCTGCAGCGTGTCCCCCCCCGCTGCCGCCTCCCTCCGCACCTGCCGCATGAACTGCCGCCACCGCACCTGGTGGGGTAGTGTCGGGACAGGGGAGGCAGGTGGAAGGCCGGGAGGGCGAGAAGGAAGGAACAGGGGAATGCAAGGGAAGGGGAAAGGTGTGTGAACGAGGTGTCCCCTTCTGCTGTAGATTACACATGGGTGCACCTATAGAGGGTTAGGATGGGAAGGAAGTGAGGCGGGGGACAGGATGAAATGAGTAGGAGACGGGAAGAAGTGAGGTGGGGGACGGGGAGAAGCAAGGCAGATAACAAGACTTCAAGTAGTGCGCCCCATCTCTTGCTCAACAATGCATCAGCAGGAGCAAACGAACACAAGCCATGCCTGGTTGTTGACTACTCATCCCAACCCCCACTTGACACTAACCTCATGCACCGAGTCATCAACAGCCATGGCTTCAGCAATGACGACTTCTTCACCCATCCCCATCCCCGCATCCCTCCACCCCCCCATCCCCGCATCCCTCCACCCCCCCATCCCCGCATCCCTCCACCCCCCCATCCCCGCATCCCTCCACCCCCCCATCCCCGCATCCCTCCACCCCCCCATCCCCGCATCCCTCCACCCCCCATCCGCCCATCCCTACACCCCCCTATGCACCCACCCCCCCACGAGCCTCACGCACCGAGTCATCAACGGCCATGGCTTCGGCGAGAGCCATGAGCTGCTGCTTCAGCATGCCCTCTTTCGCGCCACACATGGGCCGTGGCAGCGTGCCCGACGCATCCACTCGCAGGGGCCTCTCGGGGCCGAATGCAGCAACGTGGGGAACGGGGAGGAACGCCCTGCTTGCTACGCTGGGCTCTGCACTTTCTGCAGCGGTGCTCTGTGGGTTGCTGTGTGCCGTACTGAGGCGAATCCTGCTAATTGCATTGTTGTCCGAACTGGATGTCGTCCATTGCGCTCCCTGGTCATATCCATAAGCAGGCGGCTGTATACAAGACACTGCAGAAGCCACTGCTACCGCTACTGCTGCTGCTGCTACCGCTGATGATGCAACTGCTGGTGCTGCTACTGCTGCTGCTGCTGCTGCTGCTGGTGGTGGAATCGCTGCTGCTGCTGCTGCTGCTGCTGTGGAGGAACCTGGCATGGGGAACGACTGAGCAACAGAGATAGACGCAGTGGCAGCGGGAGCTGGAGGCGTGGCTGCAGAAGGGAGGCCCGGCTTGGGCAAGCTGGGGGGGTTTCGCCAGGGGGAGGGCGCAGGGCGTGGCGGGTTGATGTTTTGCAGCACGGCGGCGAGGCGGGAGGAGAGGTCCGGGGGGCGCCGAGGCAGCTTGCACGGGGGCGGAGCGGAGGGAGGGTCGGCGGGAGGTCCTCTGATCCCGCCCACTCCTATGTCACCGCCGAAGGAGGGCGAGGGGCGCTGGGCGGGGGAGGAGCGTTGGGGGGGAGCGGGACCGGCATGGATGGCGGAGAGGAGAGGCCGTGTGCTGTCGGTTACGTTGAACTGGGGGGCTCCCTGTTGCTGTTGCTGCTGCTGCTGCTGCTGCTGCTGCTCTCCTGGATCGTAATCTCGCCCTTGCTGCTGAGACTGCTGCTGCGTCTGCTGCTGCGCCTGCTGCTGCGGCGTCAGCAGTTGATTCTGCGCTTCCTCCTGCTCTGGCAACAGCCGCTGCGACGTCAGTGCTTTCTCCAACTGGCCCCTCGCGCTCTGGAAAGTCGCTGGCGCTGTCGCCGCGAACAGCCTCTCCGAGGCTTCCTCGAAGGTCAGCACCTGCGGACCGGAACCATCAGGCTGCAATGCGCGCAGAACGGACGCTGACGTGAAAGACAAATCCTGTTCAGGAAACCACGTGGACGGACCAGCCTGCTCTGGCACGCACGTGTCTAAATTGCTGGCTGCGAAATTGCTGGCTGCAAGAACGTTTCCTGCGTCCGGGACATGCCTCGTTCCCGGACGTAACAGTTCAACACTTTCTACCCGGCCGTCCTCGCGCGTGGCAGTGTCATGGCTATGGCTCACGCCGCTGGATTCCCACGCATCTATTAAATCCGCGAAACTTGTTATAATCGCATCTGCTTCACCGGATCCATCAGTGCACGCCTCGCGTGTGTCTGCTCGTCGTACGAAATCTTCGCCGTCCGAATCAGGTGGAGTCCCCCTCTCCGTCAGCTCTCCAAGTAAATCATTCAATCGCAACTCTGGACTAACTTCGACGTGGTTAGCGGGAGCAACGAGTGTAGGAACATTGTCTGTGTTAGCGTCTCCTATATACGCATCAACTACAGGAGCATGGTCGCCTATCAGGAAAGCGAGTGAAGGATCTAAAGGATTGAACGGTAACTCCGGGAGAAGCTGTGTCTGCAAGTGATGGTCGTCGATGGGAGGCGGAGGATGAGGCAGAACGGCTTCGTCAAACGACAGCCAGTGCTCAACGTCGGCTGGCGCCAGGTCATCAGAGACGAAGACTGTGACTGGCTCGCCGCTCATGTCTACGTGACAGAAACTATAGCAGTGGTCGGATCTTAAAAGTTAAAGGCGGGTTACATGCCATGGTCATGCGAAAAGACGATCGCTAGGTCAAAGAACCAAGCAATCCAGCCATGGAGTTTTTGGGATGGGAAGCAGCAGTGGGTCCAGAAAACTGCCAATCCCAAGTGTGAATTCCCGATGTGTCAGGTCCAGATTCCTGCTTGCTGTATTTGCAAATTGGTACACTTTGTTTCTCAACGTTCTGACAATCGGGAGCCGGGGCTACAGTGCGAACGTGCGCCTGGATTTTGCGGGCTGGTGCTTGCAGCCGAACCCCAGGTAAGTGGCGGGCAAATGCAGTCCATTTGAACGATACAAAACGATTTATGACAGAACATTGCTATCGTGTACGGTTGAGTGCGGCAAATCGTGCTTATATGCAATGTTCTGGGACCGTTTTGGACGCGTTGATGTCAGAATAGGCGGCATGTTAAAGCTTTCGTATACATTTGAAAAAGGGAGGTTCAAAAGTTTTGAAATTTGAAATATTGGTAACCCAGAAACAGCTAGTTTCACTCGCTTCACAAGGGAGGTGATCTCCCCGTCACCCAGGGCTCACTGGTGATTCAAAACTTTTGGACTAACAAAAGTATACGAAATCCAGTCCATGTGAGATCTACGCCACTACGCTCAACAGGCAGCATAAATCGTAGCAAAGCACATCGCGACAACAGCCAGCGCAAATCACTCCCGTTTCCGACACAAACTTAGACGCGTGGGGCAGTTTAGTGTAATTACACGTCCGAGCCAACGTCAGTTCCGCCCTCTAACACGGCGAGCCCGCCGGACCCCTTCTCACAGCCTCGCCTCGTCGTCCGTCGCGTTGCCTCACCACGCGGCCTCCTCACGCCACCATGAACGCGCACGCTGCGTCTCAAACTGCCGAACACGCACGATCACAGTCGCTTCCCGATCGCGCGACCTCGCTACCACGTTTCCGCAGTAGCGGCGGCAGCCGCAATTGAGGTGTCGCGAGGGTAATCAGAAACGATTGCTCCCCATTACCTCTTCCCGCCTCCCCGTTTCCCCTTCCCGCCTCCCCAATTCCCCTTCCCGACACCCCATTTCCTCTTCCCGCTCCCCATTACCCCTTCGCGCCTCCTCGTTTCCCCTTCCCGCTCCCCATTACCCCTTCCTGCCTCTGCAATTCCCCTTCCCGCCACCCCATTTCCTCTTCTCGCTCCCCATTATCCCTTCCCGCCTCCTCGTTTCCCCTTCCCGCTCCCCATTACCCTTTCCCGCCTCCCCAATTCCCCTTCCCGCTCCCCATTACCCCTTCCCGCCTCCCCAATTCCCCTTCCCGCTCCCCATTACCCCTTCTCGCCTCCCCAATTCCCCTTCCCGCTCCCCATTACCCCTTCCCTCCTCCCCGTGACCCCTTCCCGCTTCCCCATTACCCCTTCCCACTCCCCATTTCCCCTTCCCGCCTCCCCAATTCCCCTTCCCGCCTCCCCGCTTCCCCTTCCCACTCCCGATTATCCCTTCTCGCCTCCCTTCTCAAACTGCCGAACACACATCACAGTCGCCGCCCGATCGCACAGCCTCGCTACCACGTTTCCGCACTAGCCGCGGCAGCCGCACTCTCATTTCCCCCCTTGCAGACTCTCATTTTCCCCCTTGCTCACTCTCATTTCCCCCCCATGCTCTCCCTCATTAAAACCCCCTTCTCCCTCTCATTCCCCCCATGAAGCCCCTCATCCCCCCCTTTCTCCCTCTCATCTCCCCCCCTGCTCCCTGTCATGTCCCCACCTTCTCTCTCTCATGTCACCCCCTTCTCCCGCTCATTCCCCCCCATTCTCCCTCTCATTTCTTCCCCTTCCCCCTCTTATATCTCCCCCTACTCCCTCTCATTCCCCCCATGAAGCCCCTCATTCCCCCCCTTTCTCCCTCTCATCCTCCCCCCTGCTCACTGTTATGTCCCCCCTTCTCTCGCTCATGTACCCCCCTTCTTCCTCTCATTTCCCCCCCTTATCCCTCTCATTCTCCCCCCTGCTCCTTCTCATTCCCCCCTTAACCACTCAGTTAAATGCCACATAACCTCCCTCTCATTTCCCCGCATTCCCCCCCCCTTCCCCCTCTCGTTTCCCCCCATCTCCCTCTCCTTTCCCCACGTGCTCCTTCTCATTCCCCCCCCCTTCTCCATCTCGTTTCCCCCCCGCTCATTTCCCCCCATCTCCTTTCATTTTCCCCCCTTCTCCCTCTCATATGCTTCTAACCCCTACCGTACCCTTGGATGATCGCATGCCATACTCATCCATCCGCTGCCATACACCGCCACACCCTTCCATCTCCTCCCATACCCTTCCATACGCCAGCCAAGCCCGTCCCTCATTCTGCCATACCTTGCCATACTCTGCCATACCTTTCCTTCCCTAGCGTAAGTGTACCATTCCCTTCCATACCCCAGCCATACCCATCCATCCCCTGTCATACCCTTCCATTCCCTTCCATACCCTTCCATACCTTCCATTCCCTTCCATACCCTTCCATTCCCTTCCATACCCTTCCATTCCCTTCCATACCCTTCCATTCCCTTCCATACCCTTCCATACCTACCATTCCCTTCCATACCCCAGCCATACCCTTCCATACCCTTCCATTCCCTTCCATACACTTCCATTCCCTTCCATACACTTCCATTCCCTGCCATTCCCTTCCATTCCCTGCATTCGTGCACAGGCATATGACTAGTCACGTGATTGGTATCGAAGAATCCAGGGTTGGGTGATAAAGGTTATGTATATAGTGATACAATTGTAAGGACTTTTTTTATAAAACATGTTGTGAGGCTACGAGCTTGATTTTGGTCCTGAAGTGCCAAAAATGTACTAGAGTTGGGAGTGTATGCATGCTTCTTGAATCACAAGTGCATAGTAATAAATACGCAGGGAGCTGCCGCACAAGTTGGCGGCTGCTGTTGTATGCCTGGCGTTGGTGTGCAGCAGAGGGGAGCGATGCATTGTGTGCTGCTTGGTGGACCTGCCGGTGAGAGGAGTGGGGGGGGTCAGGGCTGAGAAAGGGACGAGGAAGGGGAAAAAGAAGGCACATATCAGGGTGAGCTCAACCAAAGCCTGGAGAGAGTGCCCTTAGTCATCCAAGTGGCGTGAAAACGGTTGTCTAGGCAAGTCCCAAGGCATGCGATGGGACGCGCACAGTACCTGAGAGGCGTGAACGATGGGACAAAACTTGAGATGAGTCGAGCTCGCTTGCACGCACCATCTGCCGCAACAGCCTCGCTACCTCCTCCTTCTCCCTCTCCCTCCGCCTCGCTTCCTCATCGAGCCTCACACCCTGCTCGCTCCCCAGTCCACTGCTGACATGGCTGCTTCGATAGTGTGCACCCATCGTGAGAGACCCGGCATGCTGCATCTCCTGCGGCTTGCGCACTCATGAGCGCGCTCGGCTGTGAGACCGCAGCAGGGTCCACTCGCTCTTGGTTCTGCTGTTGCTGCCCATGCACCTGCCGCTGTTCTTGCAAGATCATCCCAGCTCCAACTCCTCGTGGGAGCTGCTGCTACATTTGCTCCACAAATGCTAGGTCCAGTAGGAGCTCAATCCGCAGGAGCAGAAGTATGGTCAGAACCGGGGCAGTTGCAGAGTCACACGGGTTGGGGCCAACAGCCGGCGTCGGCAGTCCATAGTCAAAGGAGTGGGGCGAACAATCCTCCCCACTGGCTGCTCCTCGCCTCATGTCTCCTCCTCCTCCACCATGCCTTCCCCTCCTTTCCTGAGCTACCTCCTGCTCCGGGGGGAACACCAAAGGAAGGAACACTGGGTGTGGCAGCAGAGGCAGCTCCGGCAAAGGCAGCAGCGGCGGCAGTATGGGCAGGGACTGAAGGAGCGAGTGGGATCTCATGGGAGGTGAGATGACCCTGGAAGGAGGGGGGATGAGAAATTAAGGCATGGCGATGGGAGAGCGTGGAAGGGAGAATGGAAGGGAGCGAGTGGGGGGCAGTATTTTGCAAGGGATCCACCCTGTAAGGGAGGGAAGATGAAAAGGACGGGAGGGCAGTGGGGCTATGCCAGAGCTGGGAGGGAAATGAAGGGGAGCAAGGTGGGAAAAATAAGGGGAGAAGGGGGGGAAATGACGGGGAGCAAGGTGGGGAAAATAAGGGTTTAGGTTGGGAAATGAAGGGGTGAAGGAGGGAAATGAGAGGGAAGCGGGGAAGCGAGAGTGAGCAAGGGTGGAAGTGAGAGGCGGCAAGGGGGGAAATGAGAGGGAGGAGGGGGAGAGATGAGAGGAGCAAGGGGGGAAATGAGAGGGAGGAGGGGGAGAGATGAGAGGAGCAAGGGGGGAAATGAGAGGGAGGAGGGGGAGAGATGAGAGGAGCAAGGGGGGAAATGAGAGGGAGGAGGGGGAGAGATGAGAGGAGCAAGGGGGGAAATGAGAGGGAGGAGGGGGAGAGATGAGAGGAGCAGTGGGGGAAGTGAGAAGGAGCAGGAGGGGGAGAGATGAGAGGAGCAAGGGGGGAAATGAGAGGGAGGAGGGGGAGAGATGAGAGGAGCAAGGGGGGAAATGAGAGGGAGGAGGGGGAGAGATGAGAGGAGCAAGGGGGGAAATGAGAGGGAGGAGGGGGAGAGATGAGAGGAGCAAGGGGGGAAATGAGAGGGAGGAGGGGGGGAGATGAGAGGAGTAAGGGGGGAAATGAGAGGGAGGAGGAGGGGAAATGAAGGGGAGCAGTGGGGGAAGTGAGAAGGAGCAGGAGGGGAAATGAGGGGGAGCAGTGGGGGAAGTGAGAAGGAGCAGGAGGGGAAATGAAGGGGAGCAGTGGGGGAAGTGAGAAGGAGCAGGAGGGGAAATGAAGGGGAGCAGTGGGGGAAGTGAGAAGGAGCAGGAGGGGAAATGAAGGGGAGCAGTGGGGGAAGTGAGAAGGAGCAGGAGGGGAAATGAAGGGGAGCAGTGGGGGAAGTGAGAAGGAGCAGGAGGGGAAATGAAGGGGAGCAGTGGGGGAAGTGAGAAGGAGCAGGAGGGGAAATGAGGGGGAGCAGTGGGGGAAGTGAGAAGGAGCAGGAGGGGAAATGAAGGGGAGCAGTGGGGGAAGTGAGAAGGAGCAGGAGGGGAAATGAAGGGGAGCAGTGGGGGAAGTGAGAAGGAGCAGGAGGGGAAATGAGGGGGAGCAGTGGGGGAAGTGAGAAGGAGCAGGAGGGGAAATGAGGGGGAGCAGTGGGGGAAGTGAGAGGGAGAAGGGGGGGAAATGAGGGCGAGAAGGGGGGGGGGGTTGAGGGAGAAAAGGGGGGGAATGAGGGGGAAGAATGGGGGGAATGAGGAGGAGAAGGCTGGGAAATGAGGGGAAGAATGGGGGGAATGAGGGGGAGAAGGGTTAGAACTGAGAGGGAGAAGGGGGGAAAATGAGGGAGAGAAGGGGGGAAAATGAGGGAGAGAAGGGGGGAAAAATAGGGGGAGAAGGGGGGGAAATGAGGGGGAGAAGGGAGGCAAGTGGAGAGGGAGTAGGGGGGGTTGTGAGGGGGAGAAGGGGGGAGGGGGGGTAATTAGAAGAGGATGCGCTTAGCGGGAGAGGCGCTATGCGGGCGCTAAGCGGGAAAGGCGCGCAGCGGGTGCGGCGCTAAGCGGGAGAGGGTGAGGCGACACGCGGGAAAGGCGCACAGGGGGTGAGGCGCGAAATGAGAGAGGCGCGCAGCGAGTGATTCGTTGCGCGGGAGAGGCGCGCAGCGGTTGCGGAGCTAAGCGGGAGAGGCGCGCAGCGGGTCAGGCGCTAAGCGGGAAAGGCGCGCGGCGAGTGATACGCTAAGCGGCATGGCGCGCAGAGGGTGAGGCGCTAAGCGGGAGAGCTCCCAGCATTGGAGGCGGTAAGCGGGAGACCCGCGCAGTGGGTGAGGCGCTAAGCGGGAAATGCCTACCGAGCGGGTGTTGAGAGTGGCGGCGTGGCCAACGCATGGAACGATGCGATCCCGCCGTCGGCTCCGTAATTTTCAATCGGCTTACTCGATCGCACCTACCCAGCGTGGTGATGCAACCCGTCGAGGCGCCCTTGACAGGGCTTCGACGGGGCCCATCAATGCAGCACGACGCGCTCGACGAATGCAGAGCCTTTCCCTCTCCGATTGCCGCTGAACGGCGCAGCAGTGGAAAGGAGCTGGCGTGCAAGCTAGATGTATTTTCCCACTCGCACAAGCCTATAATGTTACCTAAACTCATCTCACATGAGAATATCTGAGCGGTGTCGATGCTCCGCATGTTCTTTGTCGCGCCCCGGTTCCTCTATCTATGCTTAGCGTATGTTAGTCACATATCATGGTTCCTAGTGAAATCTGACTCCAAGGTTGGGTGACGGGGGAGTTTCCTGTGTTTGGAACTCCTCAAAGCTGCAATTTTTCGCCAAACCTCTCGCCACGCTCAGTTGTTTCGTTCTGGCGAATTTTTCCCTGGCTACAGTGCAAGTCCAAACAGTACTTGCAAATGTATACGAAAGCTTTAATACAGCGAATGTCAGTGTGGCGCGAAACAGGGTGTACATCTTTTGACGCGCCCTGCACAAACATTTCTCAACACACTATATCCCTTATGTGTTTACCTTGAATCGGGCTATCGGTTGCGCTGCTGTGGACTCCGCTCTGCGCAGCACAGTTCGCTTCGCCCCACGCGCCATTCGGGGTGATACTTTGCGGCGCTGTGCACTCCGTTCCGCGCAACACAGTGCGCTTCGCCCAGCGCACCATTCCCCGCGTGTATTTGGTTCAAACCGGCGCAAGCAGATATCAATGAAAGCATGTAACACCGCACGATTCCTTCATAACCCATCACCAGTCAGCTCGCGACGTAAGCATTTCCCTGTGCGAAAATTTGCAACCTGGATCCGTCAGTGTTTCGCAGCGTTCGCCAGACAGCCACACTCCAAGGCTGCTCATCTCTGGGCACCACACCATCCCACCAGGTAACCCTAGCTCCCACCCCATTGTCCTGACACAGCCGGTTTCCAGATCCTGCTCTCGCTGACACGCTCTGCCTCCCAGCCGCTCTCACACTAGAATTTCACTCACTCCAGAAACATACCGCCAATCTCTAGCCACAGGCGGTGCTAGATGTCCCCAAGACACGGCATGTTTACCGCCAGTTCGCCAGTTCCAACTTCCAACGGTCGCGGTTCGAAACCGCGTAGATTCCGTGTGGAACTGATTTATCCGCAGCTCAATACTTCCCTTCTCTCAGTCCGTGGTTAGCCACCGTAGATATCCAACGAATATATAGAACAGCAAAATACCATCCGCTCTCCTACTCAAAGCTTCTAGGTTCTGCAACCATTTCGACTCCAACCTTTGTTCGCTTGATTCGCCTTCTCGTCTACGGGTGGTGCATCTTTCGATTTCATGCTGCAACCTGCACGGGCTGCCGGTGCACGTCGGAAGCTGTTGGAAATTCGCAATCAGCTCAAGCATTTCGACTTACAACTCAAGGTAGATAATGGCTCAGTCTCACAATTTATGTATATATCCGCTCAATGTTTTTGTTGTTGCACAACATAAACTGTACTAATCTAAGTATTCTGTTCCATATTGCAGTGAGGCATGATGAGTGGGAGCAACCAAGGCAACACCGATGGCTTCCAACATTGAAGACGAAGAGGACGAGCTTGAAAGCAATGCGCGGACGTAATACCACACCAAGTTAAAGATTCTACCAAAACCCAAGACGTGAACCCCCCACTTTCAGATAAGTACTGTTTACTCTCAACCTCATTCTAATCATCCTTGGTATGACATCATTTTCATACTTGAGCGCTTACCAATACCGCTGCATGAGCCATTCACCTCACTGGTATAGTTTTTTTTCTCAGGTAACCTTTTCTGGTGAGTTCCTAGGTTCTCTTCTGGTATTTTCTTGGTACTTGGCTCATGTGGCAGTGGCGGTTCGCGCTCTTGTTGTGTGCTTCTGCATATACATCGCATCATGCACATGCATGCTTCGTCTGGACCTCCCAGTGTTGCTTTTTCTCAGTCAACCTTCTCTGTCCTTGTACTGGCAGATGCTCGTTCGTCAACACCATCAACCATGTGGGAGCATGAAGGCGCTTAATGCTTCAAGTCAACGTTCAAGTCGTCCAGCCATTGCTTGGAGCCAACATCGGAGCTTTTTCAGCTCAAGTCTGAGCCCGAAGGTCTACTCCCCTCAACCAAGACTTAAGAAAAAACTAAGTAGCGCTCTCCTTGACTCCTCTTGTGCTCTTGCTGTTCATGTTTCTGTTATTTCGGACCATCATTTCCGCCTTTCATTGCATGGCGTTTATGCTTGAGCGCTCACTAGTACAACCACCTGAGTCATTCCCCCTCTGGTAAGTTTTTCAGGTCTCTTCAGGTATTTTTTGGTATAGATTCTTGTGGCTGTAATTGTGAGAGCTCTTGCATTCATGCTACTGCACATCTTATCCATCATGCACATGCATATGACTTGCACCTCTGGACCTTCCAGATCTACTTTTAATAACTCCTCCTCCTCTCTTTTTGTACTGGCAGAGGCTCTTTCATCGCCACCATCAACCACGTGGGAGCAGCAAGTTCGCTTAATGCTTCGAGTCAACTTTCAAGTCGTCCGGCCAACGTCTGGAGCATACATCAAGGCTTTTTAAGCCCATGCCTGAGCGCTGAGGCAAACGCTCCTCATCCGTCAAGACTTCATAAAAAGCTAAATACCGCTCTTTCCTGAGCTCCTCTTCTGCTGTTTTTGTTCATATTTCTGCTATTTCGAACCATCATATTCACATCTCCGCCTTTCATTGCATGGCGTTTATGCTTGAGCGCTCACTAGTACAACCACCTGAGTCATTCCCCCTCTGGTAAGGTTTTCAGGTCTCTTCAGGTATATTTTGGTACAGACTCTTGTGGATGTAATGGTGAGCGCTCTTGCATTCATGCTACTGCATATCATCCATCATGCTCACGCACATGACCTGCACATCTGAACAATCTTGTGACAGTTGTACTCATTCACTTCCTCTTTCCTCCTTTGATTCGCTTTGCAGGTTCCTCATCATTGAAGGCCTTCAATGGACGCCGACGACTCAGGATGATCAACACTCAAAGGCATTCGGGAGTCCAAGACTTAGTATCTTAAGATTGCAGGACCCCAAGGTATGGCCTCAATCTTTTGGCAGTTTAAATTTGTAGCACATTTACTAACTTCCTGCTTTCTTCCCGCAGGTCCGCCAACATGTCAACGTACACTCAAGGTGCTCAACAGCCACTTACGTTCAGCAGTCAAGCATATCCCTCAAGGTAAATATTATATCATTTTAGCGTTTGAGTTTAAAACTTGCTGCATTCTTGCATATTCTGGCTGAAAACCGACCTTCGTTTTGTCATCTTGCAGGTAACCTGGAGGCGGATGCAAGAGGAATCTGGCATGAAGTGATAGCCTAGAGCATGAGGCGGATCAAGGCCCTTAAGGTAAGACTTCAATCTTTTGGCAATTTTCGTTTGTGACACATTGACTAACATTTCCGTTTTCATCCTGCAGGTTCTTCAACATGAGTTTAGGATTTTAACGGACATCACCACTCAGCATGCTCAACAATTTCTGACGTTCAGTACTCCAGGATCTGAAGTCTTTCAAGGTATACATTTTCTCCTTTTAGCAGCTTAAGTTTGTGACAAATTGACTAACATTTCCGTTTTCATCCTGCAGGTTCTTCAAGATGGGAGAGTTTCAACAAACTTCACCACTTAAGATGCTCAACGATCACTGACGTTCAGTACTCCAATTCTGAAGTATTTCAAGGTATGATATTTATCCTTTTACCATTTGAGTTCATTGCTTCCTTTGTTCTTGCATGCTCTGGCTGAGGACTGACTCTTTTTTTGTCCTCCTGCAGGTAACCTTGAGGATGAAGGCATGAGGCAAAGAATGGTGTTGAAGGACCCTTGGGGTTGTCTAAAGACTCGGATCCAGGCCATATAGGCTGATTCTATTGGTACAGAGCTGACTGCAGCAACTCTGTATTGGCAGATTTAGTCTATGAGAATGGGCTCCCGCATGCCTTGGGTTTAGCGACTCTGAGGGTTGGCCAGTCCTCCCTGTGGTGGGGGAGGATGGTCATGACTCAGCAGCCAGTCGTCATGCCTCAGCAGTCAAGCATCTGAAGTCCCTCAAGGTAAAATAATATATCATTTTAGCATTTGATTTTAATACTTGCTGCATTCTTGTATATTCTGACTGAAAACTGACCTTCCTTTTGTCATCTTGCAGGTATCCTGGAGGCGAATGCAAGAGGAATCTGGCATGTGATGGCCCAGAGCATGAGGCGGATCAAGGCCCTTAGGTAAGACTTAAATCTTCTGGCAATTTTCGTTTGTGACACATTGACTAACATTTCCATTTTCATCCTGCAGGTTCTTCAACATGGGTTTAGGATTTCAACGGACATCACCACTGAGCATGCTCAACGATTTCTGACGTTCAGTACTCCAGGATCTCAAGTCTTTCAAGGTATGATTTTTATCCTTTTAGCACTTGAGTTCATTGCTTCTTTTGTTCTTGCATGCTCTGGCTGAGGACTGACTATCTTTTTGTCCTCCTGCAGGTAACCTGGAGGATGAAGGCATCCTTGGGGGACCCTTGGGGTTGTCTAAAGACTCGGATCCGGGCCATATAGGCTGATTCTGTTGGTACAGAGCTGACTACAGCAGCTCTGTATTGGCAGATTCAGTCTATGAGAATGGGCTCCCGCATGCCTTGGGTCTATGAGGGTTGGCCGTCCTCCTTAAGGTGGGGGAGGATGGTCATGACTCAGCAGCCAGTTACCATGCCTCAGCAGCCAGTCCTCCTGTCAGAATGTTATTCTCTAGCCTGTAGTGGGGTGCTCTATAGCGAGTACAACCCATCTAGGGTTTGCTATATGTATCCTCATTGCTGCTAGTGAACCTCTTCCTCTTTTGCCTAAACTTCTCTTGCCTAGCTAGGACTTACCTAGCTATGGCTCCTAACTCTACCTACTATTTTCACCTGCTATCAGAGCAGGTCGATCCCCTTGGGTCGATCCTGTGGGTGGGCTCACCACCTCACTGCTTCCGCTGCTACTGCCACTCTCTGTGTTGCACGCCCCGTGGCGTGCGACGGATTTTTCATCCCGCCGCGCGCTCGGAGCGTGCGGCGGTTTTCTGCCCGCCGTGCGCCCCGAGGCGCGCGGCGGTTTTCTGCCCGCCGTGCGCCCCGGGGCGTGCGGCGGTTCTCTGCCCGCCGTGCGCCCCGAGGCGCGCGGCGGCCTTCTGCCCCGTCGGTCCGCGCGTCGCCCCCGGGGGGCGCTTCGACGGGCGACGGGGACCAGCCCGTCGTCCCCCGTCGCCCGTCCTGGCCAGCGCGGGCTGCGCCAGCCCCGAGCGCGGCCCGTACGGGCTGCGCCCGGCCCGCGCGCGGCCCGTACGGGCTGCGCCAGGCCCGCGCGCGGCCCGTACGGGCTGCGCCAGGCCCGCGCGCGGCCCGTACGGGCTGCGCCAGGCCCGCGCGCGGCTCGGGCCGCCTGCGCGCGGTTCGTCGGGCTGTGCCAGGCCCGTGGGCGGCCCGTTCCTCTCTGTCCCTGAGCTGCTCGCTGTCCCCCGTGCTTCTGACGGTGCCCCACCCCTACTGCTGCCCGTTCTCCTGAATTAGGGTTTGGGGGTGAGGAGTGTGGGGGTGGCAATTGTGTGTGTCTCCCCTTGCTCCTCCTCCTCCCTGGTCTCCCACTGCTGCAGCTGCCGCTGAGGGGGGTGGGTGTGTGGGAGCCTAGGGTTTAGGGTTTTAGGGGGGTGCGTGGGAGTGGAGCTAGGGTTTGAGCAGTGGGTGTGTGTCGAGGGTGTGGGGCAGTTGGAGGAGGTTGTGTGGAGGTACCTGTCGTGTCGCCTGCAGCGCCTGTAGTCCGTCGCCCTTGCTTCGGTAGCCAGTGAGCCTGCTGCACCAGTCGCCAGTGGGTCCGTTGCTCCTGCCGCTCTTCTATAGCCGCCGAGCCAGTTACTCCAGTAGTCCGTCGCCCTTGCTTCGGTAGCCTCTGAGTCAGCCGCTCCTGTGCCCGTGCCTCTGCAGCTTCAGTCGTTGCCTCCCATCTTCTCTACCTCCACAGCTCCTCCTCCTCCTCACTTGCCCGCTGTGATTAGCTCTAGCTTTGCTTACCTTTGTGAACTCCTGCTCTATACCTGCTTGCTCATTGTACTGATTACACCCCACTTTGGCTATGGGGGTGTGTCAGAATGTTATTCTCTAGCCTGTAGTGGGGTGCTCTATAGCGAGTACAACCCATCTAGGGTTTGCTATATGTATCCTCATTGCTGCTAGTGAACCTCTTCCTCTTTTGCCTAAACTTCTCTTGCCTAGCTAGGACTTACCTAGCTATGGCTCCTAACTCTACCTACTATTTTCACACCTCCCTGTGGTGGGGGGGGTGGTCATGCCTCAGCAACCATTGCCATGCCTCGAGCAGCCATTTTTTTCAGGCCAAGACAGTCTTCTATCCATTTGAGTCGTTTGGTTGATGTGATTTGGTCGCTTACATCCTATGTCTGAGTACTAACACTTTCCTTTGTGCTCTGCAGGTACCTTTTTGCTTTGTTGATTTGTCGTAGCAGCAATCATTGTGGCAGCAACAACATGATTTAGGACATGCTAATGTTCTGTAACATCTTATATATACTAAACACTTGAATGAATACAGTACTTCCATGCATACTTGAATTATGAAAGCATATGTGGAGTTTAACCTAAATCTAAACCCCTGCACAGTTAGCATCATTGTGCCCTGCCAAGAAACAGCAGTAGGCCCAGAGAAGCTGCCAAATCCCACTTCCATATTGACCAGGAGTCGACAATTCAAACAAATGCTGTCCATGTGACGTTGTTTGACTAGTACCTTTTTTTTGGGTTGTGGAGCAACCTATTGCGATCGATCTGAATTGTTTTTTTTTTTTCAATCAATTATTTTTTTATTCGAGAAAAAAAAAACGAAAAGGATCATGAAACTCGTTATAAGCATCCTCTCGAATTGTGCTGGACTATGGTAAGATATCAGCTATATTATAACGTGCCATTTGATGTTTTTTGTGCTACATTACTATTTGGGACTAACTATTTATGGGATTAAAAATAATTCAATCGTTTTGTTTTGTGTAAAACAAAATCATAGAATTTTGAAGAAATATTCAGGGAAATTTTGTCGTTCGCACTACGGGACAGGAACATATTCACCAAACAAACCAGTGAATATGTTCCACATATGCAAAAAAAAAAGGTTTTGAAATATTATATTTTTTAAACACACATTGTGTTTTTTAAAATTGTGTATTGTGAAAGCGAAGCTGCTTGTACTGCACAATTGGCATCGTCGAAGCACGCTAAACGCCCTTCTCCAACTACAAAAACCGTGGGTTGGAGTTCATTTCCCTCCACCCACGTTTCTCGATTTTCAAACGGCTCACTCAACATTTCCGCTCACGTAGTTTATCCCTCCGTCCAAGCTGGCTAGAACAAAATCGCTTCCTAGAGGCGAGTCACCTTCGACTTTACTCAACGATATTTTTAACTTCAATCGCTCAACGATGGCACCGACGCCGACACTTAACAACGGGAACTCGTCCAACCCCGCCTCCGACAACGACCGTAACACCCGCGATTTGGCGGGCTCCGCGAATGCCGTAACAAGCGACGGGCAGAAGATGGACCGCCCGCCCCGACTGCAGTGGACGTGCTGCTGGGCGGGCTCGAGGTCAACAATTCGGCCAACGCCCAGCAGCACCCTTCGGCGCCAGTGGCGCCAGTGGCGCCTGAGGTGCCTGTGGCGCCAGTGGCACCTGCGGCGCAAGTGGCGACGGCCGCTGGCGTGGCACACGCCACTGACGCCGAGCACACGCCAGCACCCGCGGCTGGACCGTCGCGTCAGCGCCAGAGGAGGCGGACGGCGGTCTCCTCGTCTGACGCGACGACCGCCCCTGCGTTGACGCAGGCGTTGACCCCGGACCAGGTCAACGCGCTGCTGTCCCTTCTACAGCAGCAGCCCGTCAGCGTTACAGCCGCGAAAACTGCACTACCCGCTGCATCTGCGTGGGCTAAAAAAGAAAATGCGAAAAAGGAAAAAGGCGCGCGAGGAGCAAGGACCATTCGGCACGACAACGACGCAGCAGCAGCAGCACCCCCCGCTCCAGCGGTCGACAACGACACCGACGACTCTGAAGATGAAGCCGGTGAGGCTCCAGTCAACAATGTTAATTTTAATGGCACGGAACACCTTCCCCCCCTCCCTTCTTCTAACCTCACTTTTTCGGCGGCAACATTCGTCAACGACTCCGTGCGAGAGCAAGCGGAGCTGCTGGAGGACTTGCGCGCGTACCTGCTGCACGCGGAATACAAGGCGCAGCGCGGAGACCCAGCGGGCGGACTCAAACTCATCTCGCACGCTCTCAACCTCATCTCGGGGCGTTTCGAGGTGCTTCAAGTGGAGGACGCCTCCGACTTCCGCACGGCGAAGCGCTTCAAGTTATACCAGCAGAAGAGCCTGCTGACTTCTCGACCCTTCAAGCAGGCGGTCGCGGACATGGCGGCAACGGACCGTGCGGCAAGCGGATATGCTCGTGTCAACCGCGGCGGAAACAACGCGCTGTTACCGTTTTTACCCAAGCGGGGCCCCCCGCCCACGGCCAATTGCCGCGGGTTTCGGGGCTCGTGCTTCCGCTGCGGCCAGCCGGGCCACGTGGCAAGTGCCTGCCCTAGGAACGGGCACGACGGCCAAGGACCCGCTCCGGTGGTGTAGGAGCGGGCCATGGGAATAGGCGCTTGAGCGCTAGGCACGGTGCACTCTTGAGTGCGAAAACCGTGGGCAACCCTAGGGGTTTGCGATGGCTAGAGGCCAGCCCTAGTGAAGGGCAGGAATAGGCTTTGGACCTAGGATAGGGAAGGGGAGCAACAACCCCCTCGGTCCCATGTAGTTGGCCACTCGGTGGCGTGATGCATGCTAGGAGAGCATTGCTATGTGTGTTGGTTGATTTAATAAAAACTACCTTCTTAAAAGCCTACTATTTTTGGCAAAGAGACTCTAAAACAATCAAGAGGAGGATCAGAGAGAGAGAGAGAGAGAGAGAGAGTGTGTGTGTGTGTGAGAGAGAGCGAGAGAGAGCGAGAGAGAGAGAGAGAGAGAGAAAGAAAGAGAGAAAGAGAAAGAACGAGATACAACATGGTGGGCACGCATGTCCATGATTCTACGCACCAGCCCCCATGAACTACGAGTAAGAGAGAGCATGAAAGAGAGAGGGAGAGGGAGAGAGCGAGAGAGAGAGAGAGAGAGAGAGAGAGAGAGAGAGAGAGAGAGAGAGAGAGAGAGGGAGAGAGAGAGAGGGAGAGAGAGAGAGAGAAAGAGAGAGAGAGAGAGAACGAGAGAGAATAAGAGAAACACAATGGACAAGTGTGTCCATAGCCATAGGCATCATCTCCCATGCACTAAGGGCAGGCACAACCACATCCTACCGAGTGCACGATGGGGCGAGGAAAAAAAAAAAAAAAACAAAAAGAGAGGAGGAAACGAGGAGAAGAAGAAGCGTCGTTTCGCGCCCGACACATTCGTTGACATTTCCGTCGGTTTTTTATTTTCTTCACACATTTGATCAATGGTTGCCCGTACATGTACATGCACACGCATGCTTTAA